TGAGCACTGTGTTCTTTCCCACCTCAAGTTAGTACCTTTGTGTGTCCTTCTACGTCCCCCCTTTTTTCTACCTGTCTCCTCTTTATCCTTTAGGTTACAGCTCCATTGTAACTCGGTGAAGTCTTCCCAGACTCCTCAGACTGAGGATCTAGATCAGCCGTGGGCAAACTATGGCCCGCGGGCCGAATCCGGCCCATTTGAAATGAATAAAACTATTGAAAAAAAAGACCGTACCCTTTTATGTAATGATGTTTACTTTGAATTTATATTAGTTCACACAAACACTCCATCCATGCTTTTGTTCCGGCCCTCCGGTCCAGTTTAAGAACCCATTGTGGTCCTCGAGTCAAAAAGTTTGCCCACCCCTGGCCTAGATGATAGATGCCCACAGTGCTCTAGACTTCTCTTTCATAATGCTCCCGGCTTTGGAATTTCTATTTTAATGTTCGTCTTTCCTTCAGGCTTTGAGTTCCAAATTGGGGCACTCTCATTCACTGCTTTACCCCCAAGTGCCTACTGCCAAACACTGGGTAAATATTTGTTTACACAGTAGATGTGACTGCTTCGTGGAAGGGTAGGTTCTTAGGAGAGAGCTCTTAAAAGCTGTGCTCTTATAAACTTATGCTTGAGAAGAAACTCAAAAGATGGGGGTGCATGGGTGGATGGATGGGGCCCCCTGCCCTAAGCCAAGGAGCCGGTTTGGAGTTCGGTTTAGGCGTATCACTTTCACCGTTCATGGAACTTTCTCTTACTGCTGAGGCGCCCAGAGGGTGGAGGAAGTAATAAAACACACTGCTCTTCGGAGTCCAGGTCTCCTGGGAGAGGGCTGGTCATTAACCTTAGTGTTGAGCTAGTTAAATGGACAGTTTATTTGGGGAAAAACACTGAGCCATCTTCCAGTCGGGGTAAGGAGGAGAACTGAGGCATGATTTTAGCCATACTTTGCCTTTGAGGAAAACGGATTTTTCTTTACAGATTCCATAGGTGTGGTTCCAAGATGAGCTTTCTGAAAGAAAATTTACATGAAGAAATCCTTAAGGGTGCACAGAATGCTCTCAGCAGCTCAGATTTTTAAAAAGATGTATATGATTGGCAGGTGGAAGGAGACTGAATCACATTTCTACAGCATCAAGTAGACTAAGAAATAAACATTTAAGGGTTTTTTTTTCTAAAGGAAGCTCACAAGGAGCTGTGATACTTCAGAGAGCACGAAGAGCTTTCAAGGTTGTGTTTGGAGTGAGAGTGACAAGAAGGAAAAGTAGGCTTACTGTCAGATGTTAATGTTAGCTGATTGTAGGCCGATTTCAGATAGCATAGATGAAATTAGCAATAAGCAATGTGACTAGCAATCAGCATTGGTTAGATCACTGGCTTCCATGATCTCGAACTAGCAGAATTACTTTTCCAAGAGTAAAAGGGAAAACAACCCCAAACAGGTGAAATTACATTTTTTTTTTGAAGATTAGGAGATAGCAAGAGGATCATTCACTTTAAATGAATCTAAGTTTTTAGGAACCAACTGAATGGCCTCACAGGAGTTGAAGGGAATCTCAGACACGATCCTAGGGTTATTGTCAGTATTCTTTGTAGAACTATGGAGGATGTGGGAAGTACCAGGAGAATGAAGAGAAACAAATGTCCCAGTTTCTAAAAAGACATAAAGTCCATAAAGTAGATGGTGAAAACTCAAGTCCACTTCCCTCACGTTATTTATTTTTCAATTACAGTTTACTTTCAACATTGTTTTGCATTAGTGTTGGGTGTATAGCACAGTGGGTAGACAATCACATACTTTACAGGGTGTGCCTTCCCCATGATATATTTATATATAGTTATTATATATACTTATGGCACCATATATAGTTATTACAATACTAGAGGCCTGGTGCATGAAAATTCATGCACTGGAGGGGGGGTCCCTCAGCCTGGCCTACTCACAGTCCGGGAGCCCTCAGGGTCAGGAGGCGACACCCCCATCACACTTCTGCTGCTGCCACTGCCAGCAGCACAAGCTTCGGCTGGCCCTAGTTACCTGAGCCTCGGGCATCTCTGGGCAGCTGGGAAGCTGCCATCCGAGGCTTGCCTGCACCTCGGGCCTGCCCTGGGTGGCTGGGCAGCCAACATCTGAGGCTTGCCTGTGCCTCGGGCCAGCCCTGGGCACTGGGGGGCTGAGGGCGGATCCGGCCACACTGTGCACCTACTGCCCCCCACCCCCCCAGCAGGGCTGAAAGGACTGGGGGACTCTGGCAGGGTTGAGGGGACTGGGTGTTACCATCTTGTGGCTATGGGCGCTGCCATCTTTGTGATGGTGTGATGGTCAATTTGCATAGAACATCTTTATTAGATAGGATTGTTAACTCTATTCCCTGTGCTGTACTTTACATACCTTTGAATATTCTGTAACTGCCAATTTATACTTTTTAATCCCTTCACCTTTTTCATCCAGGCCCCCAACCTCCCTCCCCTCTGGCAGCCACCAGCTAGCTCTCTGAGTCTATGAGTCTGTTTCAGTTTTGTTCATTTATTTTGTTCTTTAGATCCAACATATAAGTGAAATCATATGTTTTTTGTCTTTCTCTGCAATCAAAATTTGAAGAGATTATTTAAAAAAAAAAAAATACAGTGTTGCAAGTGCTTAGAAAAGAATGGGATGATCACCAGGAATCGATGTGCATTTATAAGAATAAGACATGTCAAACAGAGCCCATCTTTCTATTTTTTTATTTGATTTTTGTAATGGCTGGATTGGAGAATGCTAAAGACATGTTGTATCTGGACTTCGGGAGACTTCGCCAACCACTTGCTAGGCGACCCCCATGGGAAGACAACGGCGTGTCAGCATTAGGCTGACGCACAGCTGCTCCTGTGGCCACACCTAAGCCAGCGAGCCGCAGGGTTTACCTAAGTAGTAATCAGTGACCCAGGAGTGGATATTAATTTGCATACATTCTGAAAGCGTGGATTTCTACTTCAGAGTTCTTTTGACTAAGGATTTATATATCAAAACTAGCGTGCCTGAATTTATATGATTGAAATTTCGGTTGTAGGCCTTTCCCCACCTGAGCTGTATTTTAGATATGTAGACCTGTTTGTAACTTTCATAAATCAGCCTGACTTATAAATCACTTAGAAGTCAATGGATGAGCTCAGCGCCTAGAGCAGAGGCTGGCTGGGTGAGAAGGCTGCTGTGAGGAACCTTTTTTCTTATTTGTTTGACAACAACTACATTAACCCCGGGTAGATGTGTTCCATGCCCTTGACATACCAAGTTTCTGTGAAATGCTCCCTACACAAAAGGCAGAAGTTCATGTACATTTGATAATATAGGTTCTTCTGCAGTGACTGTTGGCTGGCCCTCTCGTCACTTTAGCCATCTGCCTGTACAAGTTATTTATACTTAAAAATTTTTCCTAGAATCGTATCAAAGAGGCAACAGTAACATTCTGTCCCCTTCTGAAAATTCTTCTGGTTCCCTGAAGCAAGGAAAGTCTATGATGACTGCTGTAGCTAGTGTAGTTCATTGTTCATTGTTCATCTTAAGGAACACCAACCCATATAATTGGCTAACCTTTATAATTGACTTGTTGAACCCGTTACCGGACATGTTTTTATTCGGTAAGCAATGAGATTGTGCGGTATTGATTATGAATTAGGGGTTCCTTCTACCCAGCGACAAACAAGTACTATGATATAAATAACAAATGAAATAATATGCTCCCATCTGGATTGGACTCCAGTTGATGGGGCCCCTAAGTGCCTGGCAGAAGCAATCTGTGGGATTAGGGATTCTTCTGTGTTCTCCCTGTGACTATCTTTAAGTTTTTCCTTTTTTTTCTCTCTTTTCCTTTTTTTTTTTTTTACTGTTTTTTTTTTTTAATATTTTTATTGATTTCAGTGAGGAAGAGATGGAGAGATAGTAACATCAATGATGAGAGAGAATCATTGATTGGCTGCCTCCTGCACACTCCCTACTGGGGATCAAGCCCGAAAACCAGGCATGTGCCCTTGACTGGAATCGAACCCCGGACCCTTCAGTCCACAGGCCAACGCTCTATCCACTGGGCAAAACCGGCTAGGGCTTTCAGGTTTTCTTTCATCATAAAAGTTCCCGGCTTCCTTAGCATCTATTTTTGGCAAAACAGGGACATTTGGGTTTGTGTGTATTCAGTTAAGGATCTGAATATTATCTCTAACTTCAGAAGGACTCTGATTTCCTGCTTATATTAGCACCCTCTCATATGGGTGAAAAGAATGAACTGATCTGTAGTAACCTTTTGATTTATCTAACCTTGTCATAACTATGCTGTTCAAATAAAACAAAGAGCAGCCTGGCCAGCGTCACTCAGTGGTTGAATGTCGACCTATGAACCAGGAGGTCACAGTTCGATTCCCTGTCAGGGCACATGCCCAGATTGCGGGCTCGATTCCCCGGTCAGGGCATGCAGGAGGCAGCCCATCAATGATTCTCTCTCATCATTGATGTTCCTCTCTCTCTCTCTCCCTCTCCCTTCCTCACTGAAATCAATAAAAATATATTTAAAAAATAGAGTACATTTTAATCAAGCAGTTATTTCTTATTCGGTAAGATAATCTATTTTGTCTTAGCATTGCTCTTTCCTAATTATCTGAGGTCTTTCCACTCCACAGTATGGATTGCTTTGGGTTTCATTTTAAGTTGGCGAGAACATATTTGAATAGAGAGGTGATAAGAATTCGGAAGTTGTCAGCATATAGATGGTATTTAAAGCCATGGGACCGAGTGAACTTACCTTGTTGTCTTCTCTGACCTATGCCATCTCCCTCCCCTGCCTTGTAAAATCATGTATATATTTGAATTAGAGTGCCCTTAATAATTTGGTGTTGGTTATCTTGCTTTTAGTAAAATATGCTGATTTCTCTTTATTGTTCATTTTCTGTTTATTGTTTAAGGGTATTTTGTCAATATTTAACTGGAGAGCTAACAGTTAACGCGTTTTGTCTTCTTTTGTTTTCTTTTCTAGGCAAAGTCATTAACAAAGATTTGCGACATTACCTGAGTCTTCAGTTTCAGAAAGGATCAATTGACCACAAACTGCAGCAAGTGATCAGAGATAATCTCTACTTGAGAACCATTCCGTGTAAGTAGGAAACGGAATAAAAGAAACAGATCCTTATGTAACTGGCCGAACACCTAGAACGAATTAGAGTAGAGCATCTCATATGAAATTGTGAAGACTAAGGTGCGGCCCTGGAATGCAACAAAAGTTGGAGAAAGAGAAACATTTTTCGGAGAACTTTCAGGGGTTTTGTTTTCCAAAGTAGAAAAACCCAAAGATTCTATATTGGGACTTTTTGAAAAGTCAGTCTGTGTACATGTTGCTAACTAGATTTTATTCTTATAAATCAATTTCTACAGCCTGAGCAGGAAAAAGGCTTCTGTGCTCTCAGTGCCTCACACATGGAGACATTTTTGTATTGCCTACGAGGACTTTGCTAATTTTAAAGTCTGCCCCATCCCCAAAGGGGGAAAAAAAAGGAAGAAAAACGCAGTGCCTTCCTTTTGGCAACCATTTTGAATGTTGACATTGACGTTGGTGTTTCTACTCCAGTCTTAATGGTTTTCATAGGACCTCGCTGTTGTTGTAACGGTGTTTGGGGTTTTTTGATAAAACACATAACAAGAAATCATGTATGCTGAAGTGTTAGCTGTAGTTAGCGCGGGTCTGGTGAAGAGTAAAAAGCAGTAAACAAAACATAAAAGGACACTTGGCTGTTTTCCTTTCCACTATCTTTAACTCCTTGTGGATGCCTGCTTTTGTAAGGGCTCTGAAATTCTCAATTTCTTTTTCTTGTTATTAGTCTCACACAATGCACAGTCCATTACCAGGCTTTTCCAATGATGCTTCTTAAACATCTGTCCCTCTGCACTGCCTTAGACCTCACTCTTTCTTGCTTGGACTTAAAAACAAATAGCATTATGTAGTGACAAAGAGCTAGGCAAGACGGAGTTCAAAATCCTGATAGCATCTTCCTAGTTGCTTCACTTAATCCTCCTGAGCCTCAGAGAGAGAAACATCCATGTGAGAGAGACATCAGTGTGAGAGTGAAACCCCCATGGGCTGCCTCGTGCACACCCCCTACCGGGGATCGAGCCCACCACCCGTGTATGTGCCATGACTGTGAATCGAACCGGCAACCTTTCGGTGCACAGGACAGTGCTCAGCCAACTGAGCCACACGCGCCAGGCCTATTGCTGTTCCTTCAGTGATCACGGTTGTCTAAAGCTTGTTCTCCGCTAGACTTGCTAGGAAGGGCCCACTAGACCACCGTGTCCGTTTGCTTGTGGTTTTTATGCTTCAAGTTTGTTTGGACGGATATGCAATGTCGGGCTCATATTTTCTTTCCTGGTCTGTCTTCATTATGTTAGTCAATTGTCTTCTGCTGTAAAGCATTGTTCTGAAAAATTCTGAAATAATCTGATTATCATTCCCTTGTAAGGAACTTGGTGCTTTGCCTACACCGGGTGTCTCGGGATAGCATTTTTAGGCTCCTAGCTCTAGAGCTCCGTCGTCCTTGTTAAAACAAGTTAATAAAATAAGTGCCTGTACCTTCTGCTGCCCTCTGCCACTTTTCCTTGGATCTTCTTTCTTAATTGACTTCTGTCCTAGTTTTGCACTTTCTCCTCAGTGTGAGGTTTTGCCCTAGAAAGGAGCTACACTTTATGTAGTTTTAATCCGTAGGGTCCACACAGCTGCAGCCTTTCAGATCCTCACAGGACCGCTTCACTTGCTCATGGAGGTGGCCGCAACCCCATCGGGTCTCTGAATATTATTCTTTACTAAACGATACCAGATCTTCGTGGAGAAAATTCTGATTCCAGGTGTGGGGCAAGGGAAATACAAGATGAGCTTGGAACATCTCATTGTACCAGAAAGTACATAAATGCTTAAGAAATGATGGGGACACATCAGAAGGACTTAAAAAAGGGGGGGGCACCTAGGGGTTCTCCACTGACAAAATCTGAGGCAATGGAGCAGCAAAACTAATGTCAGAGAAAGAGAATGGGCGCTGCAGTTGCCAGTCACCGCAGTAGAGACAGAGTGTGACACGCGAAGGGGTCCTCTGATTTCCTCACCCTCTGCCTGGGTGCACGCTGGCCTCGCTCAGGGAGAGAGCCGGACAGAGCCCAGCAGTCTGCCCAAGCGCCCCGTCTGCTGCTGAGCCCTGAGCCGAGCATTGCCGCGTGAGACCCCCCCCCCAAGGCCAGGCCAGGGGCTCCGGGAGCTGCTTGCTTACCCAGTCCCCGCACTTGCCCCGGACGGGAGAGTTCTCACCAGCCTGCCCAGAGACCTGTCAGGCTCCCGCCTTGCACCAGCTCCTGCAGGCCCGTGTTCGCAAAGGCAATTAAGCCAGCCCCAAAGGGTCCAGCGAACATGCTTGTGACTGAACTATTCGCAACAAGAAAGGAAGGAAGTTGCCAGTGTCTTTCCCCCCATCCTGCCTGCAAAACGACACTCTGCAATGTCAGCCCCGCACCAGCAGGCAGCTTCCCAGAGGCTGGTGGGGGTGAGGGTGTGGGGGGGGTGGAGTGGGGACAGCTGTGGGGCTTCCCAGCAGCGAATCAGCAACACCTTCCCAGGAGGCTTTGTGAGCTGCATGGTGCGCCAGGACTTCTCCGCTTCCTGACGCGTTCCGTGGGCACCCCAGCTGCTCCCCACATTTCATTAATCTCCCCGCACATGGTTTTCCAGTGGGATCTGGCAAGTCCAGCCAGCATCCCAGCTGGTTCTCTAGTAAGTTACTAGCACCTTCCACACACCACTCCCTGCTGCCACCATAGGGAGCTGGCTTGTCAGTTTCATCCAGGCCCAGCAGACATTTCCCTGCCGCAGCCTGACGATGAGGATGGGGAGCCACTCCTTCTCCAATGAGGTCTGGTTCCCAGGCTGGGAGTGTCCCTCTCTTCCAAGTTTTTTTTTCCTCCTTAAATATATTTTTATTAATTTCAAAGAGAGGGAGAGAGAGAAACATCAATGAGAGGGAATCATTGATCGGCTGCCTCCTGCACGCCTCCTCCAGGGGATCAAGCCCACATGCCAGGCATGTGCCCTTGACCGGGAATGGAACTGTGACCTCCTGGTTCATGGGTCAAAGCTCAACCACTGAGCCAGGCCGGACGGGCTCTTCCAAGTTTGTTCCTCACTTGGGTGTTCTCCCTCAGCTCTAGGGCGGTGTGCTTTAGCGTTCCCTTTTACTCCCTCTTAGTTAGTTCCTCGGGAATCTATAATAATAAAAGCGTTATTTGCTAATTAGACTGGATGTCCTTCTGGACGCAGCCGGGGCTGTGAGGGAAGCCCGGGTCCCGGGTGCCAGAGGGAAGCTGGTGCCGGCAGCCGGGGGAAGGAAGGCCTACTCTTGCATGGCTTTCGTGCATCGGGCCTCTAGCGGTTAATAATTCTTTATATTAAGCTGTCCTTGTTCGGGTTACCATGCGGTTTCTCTCTCCTGCTTGTACCCTGGCTGATACAGCATTGGCACTGGCGGTGGCCCCGGGGGACAGGCCCCGCAGGAAGGAATTTTAGACTTGGTTTTGGTTGTGTTCTTGGGCTCAGTTCAGTGCCAGGTGCCAGCCAGTGGGAAGTCGGGTGTTTGTAATTCAGGACCAGAAGTGGCATCACAGTTTAATCACAGGGTAATTTTTGGTTGATTGCGATAAAAGTGCCAGCTGAACCAAGTACCTTGGGACCCGAAATGACTGCGGCAGGTGACCGTTATGGCAATAAAGACGGCTCCAAGCACCGCGGGGCGGGGTGGCTTCTCCCCAGAGCTCCATGTGCTTAAAGAGAGAAAAGGACACTGAATCTGCCGGTTGTTACCATTATGGACTCCTATAGCACGACTATTAGTAACACCTAAATGGCCCGATAGTGCCGTTTGCAAATAGATCAACTTAAAAAGGGGGAGCGTTAACACAAAATAAAAACAATTACAAAATTTGAAAGGAACCATCACACATATTTACTACGTGACTTTTTCACTCCTACAATGAAATTTAAAGCACACAAAGTATCAGTTACATTATCTGCTCGTCTCCCCTTTGTTGGGTAACAGATATTCTAGACATAAAAGAAATTGCTCTGACTTGCGTGGATATTCACCAGATTGGAAGCGTGTATCCAAGAGCGTCTTTAAATTGGGCGTCAGTCATTGGCCGTTCATCTGAGCTTGCTTTCTGTTTTAATGATGAAAATATTTTGTCTCCTGGCCCTGATTGTGGTGTTGCCTTTGAACTCCATGTTGCTTCTACTTCAGATTTTAGACCAGTTTCTGAATCGGGTTGGCGTGTTCCACATCGATCTCCGCATCTTCTCTCTGCACCTCTCCTGTTAGAGTATTTGCAAAGCACGGGAACTTGTAGCTAATACTCAGACGGTGGAAAGTGCCAGAGAATGCTGTGAGGCAGTATTATACCATTCAGAACGCCTAATACGGCTAACGTCATTACCAGATTCACACGCCAGAACTGTCCAGTTAAGGACTCCTTTAGCCTTCAAAGTTGTAGTATTTTGGGAACACTGGTCACAGAATTACATAGTGTGCAAATGCATCTGATCTTAATAATATTGTATTTGCAAGGAAGACCAGCGTTAGCAGGCAGGGCTTGGCCACGCACTGAATTGTGGGAACAGCTGCAGGGAAGACTGAGCAGGTGGTGACCACCGCTCCCCACACGCCTCTGTCCTGGTCCCTGGAAATGCCAAGTGTAAACTTTGATTCTGCTTTGTGGTATTTCCTGCTCTTGCCTTCCATTGCTATCGGTCGATTCCTTCCAATCTGTAGCATCTCTGTGTCAAATTGTTAACCTTTAATTCTCACTGGAGAAATATGATACGTTTTTCTCATTTCCCCTATCAATTGTGATGGTTCCCAAAACTCACAGAATTGTACTGTTAGAATTAGTGAGTTTTGTTGTAGGTAACTGACATCGGAATACAGCGACCAAAGGAGTTCCCACAATTACATTCTTTTATACCATCAACAAGATGGAAGTTTATAAAAAGATACCCTTTATAATATCATAAAAATTTGAAATACTTAGAAATTAATCCTTAAAGAACTATAAAGACCTCTGTAAGGTAAAATTAAGGGACATTGAAGATCTAAATATATTGGCAGAGATTTCTTGCTTGTAGATGCAATATGGCAAAGATATCAGTCCTTCTCAAATTGATTAATAGATCAATCTAACTCCATAAAAATCCCAACATTTTTAGCTTGTTTATTTGGCTCCAGAATTTAGATGGAAAAGGCTATGCATAGAAAAAAACCAAGATTGTCCCTGGCCAGGTAGCTCACTCAGTTGGTTAGAGCATCGTCCCAATATGCCAAGATTGTGGGTTCGCTCTGTGGTCAGGGCACACAAGAAGCAACCAATGAACGCATAGATAAGTGGAACAACAAAAACAAATGGATGTTTCTCTCTCCCCCCACTTTCTTAAAGAACAAAATCAATAGACTTGCTCTACTAAATCCCAAGATTTATCATGAAATGTAATTACCCCATCAGTGGTGCAGGGGTGGTCAGGTCAGGAGGCAGGTGGGATGTGCAGGAGAGCCCGGTGATGGGTACCCAGTCTTGCACCGACAATTCTACGTAAGTTTCTGTGACAGAAGCCTTGTGGTGGATCGGAGGGGAAGTAATGGTCGTTTCAGTAAATCATGCTGAGTAGCCATTTGGTAAAAAAGGAAAGTCGACCACTACCTCTCGCCAGGCCCCCTAATTAAACCATCTGAGTGCATTAAAGTATTAGGCATGAAAGGCAAAGCTGTGATGCTTTTTTAAAAGAATATAGCCTCTCCCCAGGATCTTGAAAAAAATGTCTTCAGGACACCAAAAGCATTAGCTATAAAGGAAAGGATTGATAAGTTTAACGACATTAACATGAAAAAAAACATCAGTCTTCAAAAGGTTATTTTTTCAAAGGTGAAAAAAAAAAATAGAGTGGGGAAAGATACTCTCTGTTCTGCTACCACATTTGTTTCCGTGATGCAAATAAGTTCCTATGTGATTGGTGAGTAGGTAGGAGAACGATGTCAATTTAATTGAGGTCATACTGGTTTGTATTCCATTTTCCTGAACACGTTCATGTTTTGCGTCATCAAGTAGCAGCAAATAAACACTGAATATACAAACACAGCTGAATGACGTGGGCTGTGCAGGATGCTCATTCATCTCAGTTTGGCCTCTTTTCTCAATTGGAACATGTGCTTTATCTTAAAATTGCTTATTGCACATTTTGCCTTATCTTCATCGTTCAGTAGCCTCACCCCTCCCTTGTACCCCTTTCTGTCAAGCTACCTTTTCTTTTCTTTAAAAAAGACAACAGCCCATGAAGGCCCGGCTGGTGTGGCTCAGTGGTTGAGCATCGATCTATGACTCAGGAGGTCACGATTCAATTCCCAGTCAGGTCACATGTCTGGGTTGTGGGTTCGATTCCCAGTGGGGGGCGTGCAGGAGGCAGCTGATCAATGATTTCTCTCTCATCATTGATGTTTCTATCCCCCCTCCCTCCCTCTCTGAAATCAATAAAAATACATTTTTTAAAAAACAAAATATTTTAATGATTCTAGTATTTATAATTAGGAATGTAACATGGCTCTTAAACTGTATTAATATTTTAAATTAGGACTGTTATCGATTTGGGGGTGCTAGAATGCTGACATAGGTTTTGAGGGTTCAACTCGGACCCTATTTTCTCCAATCCCCATGGATACCAAAGGACAACAGTAGTTGTGTTTTGGGGGAGTCACAAGTTCTATGGGGATTTTCACCTGTGTGTTAGGGGGTTCGTGCTCCTCCCCCTCATTGTTCAAGGATCAACTGTACTTTAGCATGAATTCCTTAGCAGATAAAATTCAGGGTTCTGTTGCTGAATTTCATTGAACAGCTTACTTACTGCTTAATTTTTAAAAATTACTTGAAGAGAATAATGGCTAAGAAGCAATGTGTAAATACCTACCTTTATGAAGCCTTAAGCCTTTTTATTCACCTAAAATAATTTCATAATTAATATTTGTCCAAGTTTTTAATATAGAGTTCATTAGAAGACCTTAAATTTTTTTCTTTTAATTGTCCTTTATGCGTCTAGTAAGTAGAATGTTCGTTTCTTTTCTCTAAGGAAGGAAAAAAAAAAATACACGTTAGCTACCTAAAAATGAAGTCTATCATTGGTGGATTGTTATATGTTAAGGAATGATAACTGAGGTTTAAAGGAAGAATTAACTGTTGTGTCTTAGAAAGTTAAGCTTTCTCTGACACTGAAATTTTATAGTCTTTGTAGTTTTGAATTTTATGGCTACCTGTAGGTTTATTCAAGTTTATTGACTCATCCTACGTTATTTATTTTCCTGCGTTCGCTTAGGATTCTTAGCTTGCCTCAGATTTCCTGATCCTCATTCTAGTAGATACAATATATTCAATGTTCTGTTTCTCCATGTGTTCTCTATAGGCTATTTATTCTATTATTTGCAATATTTTGTAAGTTTAAAAGCACTTCCATCCTATCTTTTTCTTGTTGTTTTTTTTCCTTAGGCACCACAAGGGCCCCCAGAGATGGGGAAGTACCAGGGGTGGACTATAATTTCATTTCTGTTGAACAGTTCAAAGCACTGGAAGAGAGTGGAGCATTATTAGAAAGTGGAACGTATGATGGTATGTCCCCAAATATTGACAACAGTAACCCAGAAAACTATCTGAATGACTGGAATTATTTCAGAGGGAATTTGATCAGTAAAATACCATTTTACAAAGAAGTTTTATCTGTCGGTTTGGGGGAAATTTTTCTCTTAATTAGGGTAATTGCAATTTGCTAGTTAAAATGGGATTAAACAATAAACCAAAAGCATTTCATCACATTATGAATAATATACTAAAATTATTCAAATTAGCTAGTTTGTATATTTCATAGTAATTCATATTCATCATATGAGCTCAGCAAGTGTTGGTAGATTGCTTTCTATTTGTGATTGAGAATTCAAATACTGTAGACTTTAAAAAATCTATTTATACTTTGGATCGCTTGGAGAAAAGAGAATATAGAATGGGGGAAGAAAAGCAAAAACAGAGTATTTGGTTTTCTTTTCATATATCTCTCCTCTACCCACTTGATTCCAGGAAGTACAGATTTAAGATCAAGTTCAAATTTTATTGTTCATCCTCACTGAGGATATTTTCCCATTGGTTTTTAGAGAGAGTGGAAGGGAGGGGAGAGACAGTAGAGAGACACATTGATTGGTTGCCTTCGGTACATGCCCCGACCAGGGCCGGGGATCTAGCTTGCAATCTGGTATGTGCCCTTGAACAGAATCGAACTTGGGACCCTTTAGTCTGTGAACTGATGCTCTGTCCACTGAGCCAAACCAGTGAGGGTGTGTGTGTCTTTTTTTTTTTTTTAAATGGGATCTCAATCACATTCCAGTGGCAGACATTCCTTAGATATTTACATATTTATTTCTATATGAATCACCTATTGGATACAGATATTTTCTCCTATTCTTCCACCCAGTAACCTTTTCCTGTGTTGCTTCATAAACAGAAATCCTTAACTTTCGTCCACCGGGTTTATCACTGTTTTCCTTATGATTTGTACTTTCGAAGTTTTAAGAAGTCCTTCTCTGCCCTTAGATCACAAAGATATTTTCTTCTGTTAAGTGTAAGCACATGTTAGAAATATGACGAAGTGGCAAATTGTGCCCAATTAAAGGAAATGCAAATTGAAATAACAATCATACACCATTTCACACCCATCATGTTGACAACAGTTTTACAGGCTGATAATGGAGGGAATGGAAACTCCCATAGGCAGCTGGCGAGAGTATAAAATGATGCCTTCCCTTTGGAGAGCGCCTTGGCCACAGCTAGTAACTTCCAAGATGCGGGTGATTGACGCAGCAGTTCCCCCTCAGATGCCCATGGGAAACCCTGTCTGTGCGCATGTGTGGACAGTTCCAGAATAGTCCCTATAGCACTGTTTGTGAGAGGATGGAAACAACTCTCTTCTCATAGGGGAATCAACCAAGTACATTTTAATTTGTTCATAAAAATGGACCATCCTACAGCAGTTAAAGTGAACTAGAATCTACGCGTCAACAGGAATAAGTCTTAGGAATGTCTCTCTATATAAAAGCCTGATATGCAAAGTGTCCCCTAGGGAGTTCGACCGGGAGACCAGGAGTTCGATCACTCACTAGGATGTGCACTGACCACCAGGGGGCGGCGTGGAACAAAGGAAGGCCCCAGCCAGCAGCTGCTAGGGACCCTACCTGTGCATGAATTTTGTGCACTGGGCCTCTAGTAATTGTATAAAAAGAAAGTTGCAAAAGGATGCATGCAGTATGCTCCTCAGAAAAAAAGATATGAAATGTCATAGGATGCTTGTGAAGCTTTTATGAACAATAATATTTATACATTATGTGTGCTTATACGTATGTCCTCACATACACACATGCAGGGAAGTGACATGCTAACTTCAGGATGACTCGGAGAGAGTGGGAGGGCAGAGACAGGAAGTTAGGGCTTTAATAGTGTATGTGACCATACATGTATGTGCTTCAAGGGGAAAGGGGGAGAGCTGAAAGAATCCGGCAAACTAGTCCCCTGCGGATGTGTAAATAGGTAAGGAGGTTTCGAATACTCCTGTAAGACTATTGTCCGTGGTTGTATATATGTTTAAAATAGCTAATAGTTCCTTCGTAAAAATGAAAACACCTTCAGAAAAGAGAGAAAAAGGAAATGCCTCAATACAGCTTCAAAGGATGAAAAAAAATTTCTGTGAATAACTATAGTCAGGGTTCACAAAATTTGTAATTATATACCTTGCTGTAACCTGCAATCTTCATATTTAACAATAACTCAAGAAAAATAGATCAAATTTACTTATAAGCATGTTTAGTACTAATACCAGTAATTTTTTAAAAATAAGGGAACTGCCAGAATTTATGATCAAGTCCTAAAATCTTATCAGTGTCTATGGATAACAATCACAATATCCTGAATTTTTCTCATTTTTCACCCTAGAAAAAAATTAAACTTTCTGGAGCTAAAAAAAAAAAAAAAAATTACCAAGGATACACACTACAATGTGTTTCTAGTAAAACTCCCACCCTTAGGAAAAGTGGACTTTTCATCATCATGGTACGTCCACACCCCGTGGGAGTGGGATCGCTGCACACGACGCAGGGACTCCTAGCGCATCCTTATCCCCAACCAAACCTCCGTTTGGACCATTTCGCTGCCCTTTGCCAGCGAAAGTGTGAACTGACTTTCCCACCAGTTCCTTGCTCTACTTCAGCGACAGAGACGTGTTTTGATGCCAGCCTTTGCGTCATCTGCGTGGCGGGAGTGACTCCATCTCAAACATGGATTTGAAAGCAAGGGAGTAGTGGGGTCAGGCAGGCAAAATGTTGTTGCAAAGCTTTATAGTTTGATGCCACTGTTTTGTCTTGAGCATTTGAATAACAATCCCACCTCAAGTCACGTTTCCAAAGAATTCACCTTCGTGCTTTCCCCTTCAAAGCACATCCCACCTAAGGTAAACTGTGTTATTTGTAGACTTGCCTCAGTGTTACGATCCACAACCCATGCTTTCTTCATCCAGGAAAAGGAAGCCATTATACCCCCGTGATTTATGTTGTGGGAAATGAGCATCTTAATTGCCTCCTTAGGAGCCAAGGAATTCGATGAGACAAAAAGTGATTTAAAAAATAAAAGAAGGTCATGAATATTTTACTCCACAATCATATTTGTCTTCCTGTAACATTAGCATAGTGATTGATACAAGGTCAAAACTAGCAGGAGCCACAGACTGTTAACGCAGGTAGATCTAGTGAGCATTTTCCCATTATATGTGGCTGCCTAATGAGAGCTACATGACAAATTGAGAAGATATTCCATTGTTCTCATTCTATTCTGGAACATTTATTTTTACTGCAAAAATGACTGATCCTGAAGACTTAACATATTAAAGCATTTCTTGCTTCCCTGAGAGTAAGCCAATATTGAAATATGCTAATAATGTCTCTATTTGTTCAACAAATTGTCAGATAAAATGATATAATTAGAATCTCAGGAAAACTTTCAAAAATTACTTTTACAGAAACAGCCTACATTTCAACACAGACTGGGTAGTTCTTAGCTTCATCCTTTGCCCACATATTTCCTCCTCTTACCAAAATAGTTCATCATGTTGCACATCAGCACACAATTATCTGAGTTGGTTTCCTTCTCCTTTACTCCCACTTCCATGCCAGGGAATCTTACACGGGAGCGTTAATGCATCTAAATTCACAAATGAGGCCCTACTTTAGAAGCCCTGCAAAACAGCCCTGCTGGGATCAATAAGCCACACACACAAAGTCAGCTTCCTGGCTTTATATCAGCGGTTCTCAACCTGTGGGTCGCGACCCCTTTGGGGGGGTGGAACGACCCTTTCACAGGGGTCGCCGAAGACCATCGGAAAACACATATATAATCACATATTGTTTTTGTGATTAATCACTATGCTTTAATTATGTCCAATTTGTAACAATGAAATTGGGGGAACTCTATTAAATGGTCGTGGCATTAGGAAGGTTGCGAGCCACTGCTTTCTATGGTGAAGGGCACTTAGGAAATCAGTTATTTTTGCTCTTTCTGCCTCCTCCTCTTCCAGGCAGTGTCTTGGCCTTTTGGCCGGTGGTGGTTGGCTGTTCAGCGTAAGGTAACAGGGCAGAGACGTCCACGGGGTCAGATTGTCCTGACTCTCGGTTCAACGTCAGTGTTCCCAGCTGCTGTTCCTGTGTTCACTTAGGAAACTTCTACGGGACTCCCAAGCCTCCAGCAGAGCCCAGCCCTTTCCAGCCCGATCCTGTGGACCAGGTCCTCTTTGATAATGAGTTTGACGCCGAATCCCAAAGGAAACGAACCACCTCTGTCAGCAAGATGGAGAGGATGGACAGCTCTCTCCCCGAAGAGGAGGACGATGAGGACAAGGAGGCCGTTAATGGCACTGGACATGCAGGTTCGTAGAGGGATGAAGGACTTCTAAGTGACTCTCCCGGTTGGCTTTAACGCGACCCTGCCTTGGAGGTCGTAAGGTTTCCCACAAAGCCCATGCCGAGTGAGGGGGGGGAGGGGGTCTCATATGTTTCTGTAAAGGTTTTTGTGTGGAACAAAGTGTATCTCTGTCCCTCATCTTGTAAGGCTGCTCCAAGTGGCCATTTCGATACGTCAGTGATAAGCTATCCATAGCGATAATGTGAGATGGCATTGCCCTACTGCTTAAACGATGTGGGATTCACTTCTGAAGTTGGAATATGGGAGTCTTGTTGGCCTACGTCCTACTTTGCAGGATATGAACGAAAGTAGATGTTTTAAGATACAGCCTTCAACCAAAACAAAGCACAGAGTTTTGGAGATGTGCTAGTCAACGTTATCCGAGAGGTTTGCAAGCAGTACTTTGATTTTACGTTCAGAATCACTCAAAGAAAATTTCCAAACTTGCCTCTTCTATTTTTCATTAAATGCAAAACCAACAGGAACTTACTGGTGGAGAATCTTACTCTTTCGAATTCCCCCCAACATGTGGCGATTGCTTAGGAGACTTCTAGTTGAGAGTATGGGTAGGAAACCACAGAATTGCAGTAGACCTGGTTTCAGTGCTATTCATTATAACACTTCCATTCAAGGCATGACGATAAAAGCTGCGTGAGGGGTGGAATTTTTGCTTGTTTTGTTCATTGTTGTATCCCTTGCAGCATAGACATGGCCCGGCATGTAGCAGGAACTAAAAGACATATTTCACTGGTACCCAATTTGATCATTTTCCCAAAGCATCCTGGTGTTTTCTTTATCAGTGATTAACATTTGCTGTCTACACTGTATTTGTTGTTTCAGTGCATTCATTGTTTGCATTCCCCTCCAGAATGTGAGTCCTGTTTTATAGTCCTAGCATCCCACATAATTATGCCACTTCATACATTTGATGTTTAATGTATTACCCCAATATATTTTGGTGAAAAAAGGTCTAAAAATGTTTAGGTGAATTCACATCTTATTTTTTAGGGGTTGTTAAGGGAATTCATCATATCGTAGAGCCTTCTGATGTTGATGTCAGCTTTGCTCACCCACAGAACTAAGTTTGTTAACATCTTTAAATGTTTAAGACTGGCATTAGAGACCGGGAATTTGTCCCAGTGTGGGAATGTACGTGTTCTCGGGTAGGTAGGGCAAGGAGGACATGGCTAGGGCGGGGATGGGGGTGAGGAGCAGTGAGAGGTGGTAAGTAGTGCGGTTAAAGGATGGTGGCGCTTGGTTAGGGAAAGGATGGGTGGAGTGCAAATACTACTGTCAGGACAAGGAAGGCTGTAGAAGCATGTCGAAGGCCGCCTCTCAGAGTCTCTGATGCGGAGGCGTTGACTGCAGTCCGGGCTTATTACAGTTGGGTTGTCTTGTAAGTTCTAGAAACAAGTTTCAAGTTCATGAAATGTGCACTCCCTGCAGTGACCCATGTTTAGTGTTTTTACCTACCTTATAGACTCTGGGACTCCAAAAGGATTTCACTGTCAACAACAGAAAATTTTATTTAACAACAGGAAGTCTACTGCGTGTCATTCTGCAAGGCCTGTGTTACATGGGTACGAGGCAGCTTGGAGTAGCATAGGCCACTGGGGTTGGAATCCTGGCTTTGCTGTCGATTAGCTGCGTAACCTTGACTACATTAACTTAACCTCCTGTGCCTTGGTTTCCTCATCTATAAAATGGGAATAGTAAGACGTACTCACAGGCTTGAGAGAGGATTGTGAGTTAATACATGTGAAGCGCTTAAAATAGCGCCTGACACGTGAAGGGATTGTACACGTGCTGCTGGGCTGTTGTTAGTGTCCTGTTGACTGATCTGTGTTCAGTATGAACTGACTTGATTCTAGAGTTGTTTTTTGCTTCTTTCCCAGACTAGCCCCCAAGGTGCTGTACGGGGTTAATGTCACTTAGCAAATGGGAAAAAACGAACAAAAAAACCTCAGTATGTTTCTGTTTGTTTTTTCTAAAGCTAAAGCAGAATGTGGGCCCAGAAGACAAGGAAATGTGTAATAAATATTTGGCATTTTGTTACAAATGAAGAGTGCCGTTTGAAGACAGTATAAGCTCACCTGCTTTGCATACTGTTCTGTTTTGAATAGAAAGCAGAGAGAGGCATTCTGAGTCCTCGGATTGGATGAAGACCGTCCCGAGTTACAGCCAAACCAATAGCTCCATGGACTTCAGAAATTACATGATGAGAGATGAGAACCTGGAACCGCTGCCCAAAAACTGGGAGATGGCCTACACGGACACGGGGATGATCTACTTCATTGAGTAAGCCAATGTCCGTGTCTCCTCACCAGCCCTGCCACCGGGAGGCTTGTCTGAGAACGTGCTGAACCTCCTTTCTCAAGGCCTCCATGTCTGTCTTCTTTCTTTCAAAATATTTTCCATCCACGTTATAGTTGATCCTTAATCTGACTTTTTTTTTTTTTTTTTAAATATATTTTATTGATTTTTTACAGAGAGGAAGGGAGAGAGATAGAGAGTTAGAAACATCGATGAGAGAGAAACATCGATCAGCTGCCTCCTGCACATCTCCCACTGGGGATGTGCCCGCAACCCAGGTACATGCCCTTGACCGGAATCGAACCTGGGATCCTTGAGTCCGCAGGCTGATGCTCTATCCACTGAGCCAAACCGGTTTTGGCCTTAATCTGACTTTTCTCCTGGACGGTATTTTGTTTTTACTTGACTTAGATGAAGGAGTAGTGTATTTGATCTCTGGTTTTATGAAAACACGAGGATTGAAGATAGATTTATCACTAAGAATGAAAAATGTAAGGAATAAAGAAGGTTTGGTTTGCTTTCTTTAAAAAAAGATGCTTTCATTGGTGAGAGAGAGAGAAACATTGATGAGCTGCCTCCTGCACGCCCCCTACTGGGGATGGAGCTCGCAACGTGGACGTGTGCCCTGACCAGGAATTGAACTGGTGACCTCTGGGTGCATGGGACGATGCTCAACCAACTGACGCACACAGGCCAGGGCTGCGTCGCTTGTCTTTTTGTTGTTGTTTTTTAACTTTTGTGTATATTGTCCCACTTAACACACATGTCAGGAATTATCGTATGAGGGGGACATAGTTCTTTTTTTTTTTTTTTTGAGTTGATACCCCTCCCCCAGGAAATGGCTTTTTCGGGGACATAGTTCTTATCTGAGCTACATATTTTCAGTCCTAAAGATTGGGGTTGATGTTTTCAGGCAACAGAGTCAAATAGTATATGAGGGGAAAAAATCACTGGTCCTCAGAAGAATTGGTATAATATAAATCCCCACAAAAAACTATTTTATGAATAAGCACTATTAATATGCTTATATTTACAGAGATATAGAGTACCGTATGTATTCAGTCAACCTAAAGGTTTCCATTGCTTGCACCTGAGAATATTATGTAAATAATTTATTAGAAGTTTCATTTGAAGTATTTTTATATTCTCATGCAGCTGTAATTCTCATCTTTAAACGAATTTACCCGGAGGTAGAATATCGAAGTAGTGAAGTTACAGAATATACTAATTAAAATACTGCGGGCTGGATACTACACTCAAAAGAACATATACACAGACATGAATTAGGAGTGAGAGATTTGAGTGGGTTTCTCAATTGGTCCCCAATTCCACATCCTTCAGATAGAATAAGCATCTTGCTGTACCAAGTGAGAGTCTAGCGTTTCAAAGACAAAGATTTTGTGTGCAGGGTATTCTTTTTACCATGCGTGGTAAATGATTGATTTCGTTATATATTTATGTAAACATTAATGACCAGGATTACACACAATAGACAAAATCAGGTATACTCTTCTCTGTGGCCAATTTGAGGAGTTTTTCAGGGTAATTTAGACTTTGCCTTTCATGCTGACTTGGGAACTAACCCCCTGGGTAAGATGTAGAGTCACGAACAGGAGCTAGAATATCTTTAGAAGCAGATTATGAGACATCAGATCTGACAGCACCTCCCCCTGCAAACGGAGAAGTGAGTAAATGACGGGGCTGGGGAATGTATACAACAAATGTCTTTCTAGGTGAACATTTTTAAAGTGGATTGCGGTCTACCTATAAGATTGGATACTATAAAACCTTTAAAAGAAAAGCTTTGTGACATTGAACTTGGCAAGGACTTCTTGGGTGTGACACCAAAAGCATAGGCAACGAAAGCTAAAACAGAGGAAAGGGACCACATCAGACTGAAAGCTTCTGTGCAGCCGAGGGAAGCAATCAGCAGAGCGAAGTAGCTGCCTAAGAAACAGGAGAAAATATTTGCAAACCATCGTCTCATCAGGGGTTAATATCCACGCTAGAGCTGAATATTATTTGCTGCGAGATTAAGCCTTCTTGCTGCAGCTCATGTGCTTGGTCTGTGTGACTGCTGCCGTTAAGTCATGCATCTGTCAGTAAACAATGCCTGTCTGCAGTCTTTAGCTATTATGTTTCAGGCACAGCCCCGATGGGCATGTCTTTCCCTTGAGAAACAGTGGGTAAAATCCCAGTGGGTTGCCTACACCTGCTAACCTAGCGGTACAAGTTTTGGATCATTGAAACCAAAGTTAAGCTTTTCTAAAAGTTATGAATTTGGTTTTATAAGATATGCCCATCATTTGTTTTCAACCATATGCATGCTGCTAAGCCTCAGTGGAGACCTGACCCTTTTCGTTTTACTAAAATCGCTTTAGCCAGTTTTCGTTTGGGGAAATTCTCTCTGACAGAACGGGTAACAGACTTCCTAGAAGGAACCCCAGGGTCTCCTACTTAGATTACCCATACTCGCATACAGGAGGGTCTCTACCACAGTCGAGAGTCAGGCCTGGCACTGTGCAGGGAGGGCTGCCTAGCTAGCCCTCTCAGTAGCGCAGGGGTGAGGAAGGGCGTGGGAGATCTGATTCATTTCCGGAAACCACTGGCTCCATTTCCTGGGAGCGGCCAGTGTCGAGATGAGCGAGTTGATCTCAGGATATAGACGCCAAGAAAAGATAACTTGTCACAATGCTATCCTCGCACTCTTTGAGAATCGCTGTCATTTATATTTTGTTGCCTTCCTATGTATTTTTCTTTAGTGATTTTTTCTTGCTTTCCTATCCTCATATTGCAGACACTTAAACTGTAGCACCGTTGGCCCAGCAGTGGTTGTAGCATCAGTGCCCACTGCACGGTGGCCTGGCCTGCGGTAACCGGGGTGACCAGTGGTGAGCTCAGGCAGACACTGCTCTTTGAAGGCGTCCACGGCCTACTCCTTAAAGAGGGGGGTGGGGTGATCTTTTTGTTCCACCTTTTCTTCCTATTAAATACGTGGTCCATACTGATAAAAACAGTTTCGTAGAGTTGAGTTTAATTATACCCTTCATTAAAAAAATTTTTTTTTATTGATTTCAGAGAGGGAGAGGGAAAGGGAGAGATAGAGAGACAGAAACATCAATGATGAGAGAGAATCATCACTCGGCTGCCCCCTGCAGACCCCCTACTGGGGATCGAGCCCGCAACCCAGGTGTGTGCCCTGACCAGGAATCGAACCATGACCTCCTGGTTCATAGGTCGATGCTGAACCACTGAGCCACACCGGCCGGGCTGTACCCATCCTCGTTACTTGCAATGCCACAGAAACAGGCACTATAGAGCTTTCCCTTTCATTTCACTCTACATGATGTTATTTTAAATAGCCCCGTGAGTCCACAGGCTCGGTCTGATCATGCATCTCCATGTTCCCAGCCCCCAGCAGTGTCCACACATCACAGGGACTCAAGAAATACAGCGGTTAATGAAGGGAAGGAGGAAGGAATTCGGGCAGCAAGCGAACCAGGTTCTCACGCGGCCTTTCCTGCTGTTGGCTGTGCACGGCGGGGGCCGTGGCGCGCCCTCGCTCAGAGAGGGCCTGTTACTCTGTCCTTGCTGCTTATCTCCTCCTTAGAACCTCCATCCTCAAATCAGTGCCTCTAGCATTGCCTCCCTTCATGGCAGTTTTGAAGCCACAGACTGAGAACAGTCGGATTACTGAGTCAGAGGTAGGCAACACAGAGCCCGTAGGAGATGACTCTTCTAACAACGTCTACCTTGTAGTCACTTTTCATCTTTGCTTTTGATATATGTTTCTTCATCTGTATTTTACTGTTTCTAATTGCAATCTTTATTCTGCAGCCACAACACCAAAACGACCACCTGGCTGGACCCTCGCCTTTGTAAGAAAGCCAAAGCCCCTGAGGACTGTGAAGATGGAGGTAGGTTCCCGAAGGCAACCGTCAAAACAATCCCAAATGAATATTTTAATAAGTTCGGTACATTCTCGGCCCCAGGGTAGCCTCACCATGCCCGCTGAGCCTTCAAAAATATATTTAATTTAGTATCACGAGGATGGATCGTATCTCTGGCTAATCCCTAGGCATTGAGAGCAGTGGTAGGAACCCAATGACAGTCTTTATAAACCCCACCCCACAAACAGTCCTTACTGCTCAGTAGTAAAACGGTTCCTCTAAGAATCATCGGGTAATTATTATTATTGGATAGTAATTCTGCCTCGTATATTATAGACTGTATTTAGTGGCAGAGTCTTACAAGTAAGTATAGAATTTACCCCACCCAAAATGGTTTGCTATGCCTTCCTGAATATAGGCTGCAGAAGAATAAAATTTGTTTTGAAGAAATCGATAAGCTGATTCTAAAAATATTGATGTCAAGACAAAGGCTCTATTCCATTGTGTATATGTGCATCTTCTTTAATCATCTATCGAAGGGCACTTTGGTTGTTTCCATGTCTTGGCCCCGGGGAATAATGCTGCAGTGAACATAGGGGCACCTATATCTTTTCAAATCAGTAATTTCAAAGTTTCCAAGTAGATCCTCGGAAGAGGGGTTGCTGGGTCACATGGTAACTCCAGTCATAATTTTTTGAGGCAGCTCCATACTGTCTTCCGTAGTGTTTTTAACCAGTTTACATGCCCACCAGCAGTGAATAAGGGTTCCTTTTTCTCCACAACCGCATTGACACCTGTTATTATGTTAAGAAATCATTTTTAAAATCATTTTTATAACATGCCCCCTTTGCGTATAAGGTTTTCAGCAGTAAGTTTCTGATGGTGAAATCAGCCCTCTGAGGGTAAACTGGCATGTATGACCCTGTAGACTTGGACTGTTTAACGATTGTGAATGTGGTATTAGTCTTCTCAGCCATGCCTCTCTCGCTGGTCTCCCCCTGTTTCCTGCCCACTAATTGTTTCAGTTCAATTCTCTGCTGTTTCCTGTTTTCCCTGTAGAGTGTATTTCCGTAGCTTTAACTATCGATTCCCTGTAGTTGGGTCCCTTATCTACGTCTCCAGTATTGTCCTCGGTTCTAAATGCTATTTCTGTATTTCCTATTGACTTTCTTTTTTATTGTCCAACTAGCACTTCAAATAACTGTATTTAAAACTAAACATTTTTCTCCCGAAGTCACCCACCCCCCCTTCTGTCATCGACGCCATCCGAATAGTCACCCGCGCCCAAGTCCTTGCAGCCATATTTGCTTCCTCTTCTCTTGCTCTGTTCCCTATTGCTCTTTCCTTTTCTACATTTTGCCAGTATATTGGTATGAGAGTTTTCCAGCAAACAGACGCATTGACAGGACTGTACAGTGAACACATGTGTGTCCACCACTGAGGTGTTACAACGAACACTTTGCTGTATTTGCTTTTCCACACAGCTGTCTGCCATCTATCCTCTTTCTCTCTATGCCTTTTCTTCTACATCTGTCTCTCCATCCTCCGATCACCACACACTTGCATTCTCCTTAGACTTGCTTTCTTCAGTTACTTCTCCAATACATCCCTAATGCCAGTGGCCACCAAAGTGTCGGTGTTCAGACTACCTTTTGGTGTACAGGAAAAAAGTGTTAGAACTTATTTTCCACAGTGTTTCTTTTAGGAAAAAAGTAGATTAAGCTTCTCTACTACTTTAGAGACAGACTGGCAATCCTACATGTGATTCTGTGTGATTATCACAGACCCACCCAGGGTGCCTTACTCTCGTCAAGGGCGCCGTGGGCTTTTGCAGTTGACTGTGTCCGTTCCGTGGATTTAGAGACCATGTTGCACGGCTTTTAATCCAGACCAAACTGAAAGGTGACTTTAAAATTTTTCTGCAAAAGATAGTACCGATTGAAGATCATTCAAATAATAAGCCCAAGCTAACAGTAGGAACACGGCAGAGCTGATGAGTTTTATGTCACCTTTTCACTTTTTTAAACCAGGTAGTATGGACCGGGTCGGGTACTGTCCATGGTTTCCGGCATCGCTGGGGGTCTTGGAGCCACTCAGACTCAAACTGTTTGCTCTTGGAAAGGGAGCCCTCAGCTCTCTGTCTCCCAGAAATGTCAGTTCACTCACTGGCGAGTCCTCTCCTGTCGGTTTTGAGTCTGGCATCTCACTCCGTTCTTTTTTCTTTCCTTTTCTTACAGAACTTCCTTATGGCTGGGAAAAGATAGAGGACCCTCAGTATGGGACATACTATGTCGAGTAAGTCTGATCCCTCGGTTCATGTTCTCCCAACTGTGCTTCCTCCGCGATTATGCAGCCTTAGGGCATCCACGGTGCAGACTCCATGCTCCTCCGCCAGCTCCCAGGGTTTTCCGGGAGGGGAGGCGGGGGGAGGGCCTGAGCCTCACTCTCCGATGCTGGGCTTCCTGGAGTTGGCTCTGGAGGGAATCGAGAGGGAAGCTGCCGGATGATGAGTAGTTATGGGCGCTACTACAGCCTCCACCGAGAGAGGTGGACAGCGGGCTGTGGGGCGAGGGCGCGGGACGGGTGAACGCTGAGGCCTTTCTAGCACAGACGCCGTAGGGTCCGAGATCAGTGGGGAACTGTAAGGGCAGCATGTTCCATGTGACCCAGAACGCTGAAGTGTCTGATTACAAGTGTTCTCTTTTAAGGAATGAACCAAGGAAAATGTAGTAAGGGATTTTTTTTGGGGGGGGGGTCGCGGGGGATGAATGGAAGTTGCTCCTTACACAGCTGTTTTGGTTAAATTTAAACACATATGTTGGCAGGCATTCCAAGCCCCTGCCTTTGTTAGCCTGAGAAATTAAGATGGCATCAACATCTAATTTTTCTCTCCGTTCTCCCTTTATCGAATTGTTGTTATGACCATTGGGGCTGCTTTCCTTCCAAATGCTCTCGATACAATTCTGACCTCAGGCGTCTAGTGCCAGGCAAACAACTGCATGAGAAATGTTACTGTTTCCTGGGAAACGGGAGCCTGAACCTGCTGCCTGGCAAGTGAAGGCGAAATGACATTATTACCTGGCAAAAGCAGCAAACCTGATACCCTTCTAGCTCTATGACGGCTTATTAATTTGTTATTACTTGTTGGCAAAAACAAATGCCACTTCCTGGTATTTGTCCTGAAAGTAAGTACCTCTGACTCCGGTTGTACTAGTAACTCTAGTGTTTATTCCAGTGTGTGTGTGTGTGTGTGTGTGTGTGTGTGTGTGTGGATTGTCCTCAAGTCACTGGTCAGGGAGGTTTGTGGAAATCCTTAAAAATGTAACTTGTACCCAAAGGAAGTGACTAGCTTGACGCTTAGGTCTCTAACTTCTCAACGTCAGTATTTTGGCTCCTTTGCAAGGCTGTGCTAATTGTATGTCCCTTGTGCGATTTAATGTCTTGCTGCTACTGTGATGTGAAAAGTATACAGCAGCTCTTTGGTTATGTTTTTCTAAAGCATATGTAGTGAAAATAAAGAAACAATTATGTTTTAAGGCCAGGGCGTATTTGAAGGCCAACCAGAAAGGTCTCGTGAGCTTTTCCCCCTGGTAGCTTCGTCTATTGGGATTGGTGGGCACAGCCGGAGGCTTCTGAGATAATGGTCCTCACGCTCTTATCGTCCATCCCAAACGCATTCGAACACGTGGTCGGGCGGTGAAAGCCCTTTGCCTGTTAGAAACCCTCGGGCCCGAGGATGCGGGCGTCACTAAGCAAGGCTGTAATGTTGAAGCAACGTCAGGGCAGACCCTGGGCGACCCGCCCCGGTGGCCGCGGAGGGCCGCGTCAGAGCAGCACGACGGGATTGGCTGTGGTTGTTCCCAGAACTGGCTCGTTTCACAGGAGGGTGATTGATTGGATGGAGGAAGAGCAGGCTGTACTGAGAGGCACGTCCCCGCGGAGCCCGCGGAGCTGCGGACTGTGGCTGGGTTCCCAGATGAGTGAGGCTGGAATCTGGGCCGCAGGCCTCGCAGTCATCCGCGGCGAGTTTGCTGATGGAGGTAAAAAGCTGTTGCTTGAATGGCTACTCTTTGGCTCTCTCCGTTTGTCAAACCAGATGGCACCAGATCGCTCTTGGCAGGAGCCTCGCCGTAGTAGCACCAACTGCGGTGGCAGTGTTTCTGTGTCGGTATTTAGTTCATTGTACGAGATTCGGAAACGGATTAATCTGTTTCTGAATATGAAATTGTTCCAAAAATGTGACGGCAGGCCTTCCCAAAGAATGCCTGTATGTATTAGGAATAATGTTTTCTTATTGTTTCACATCAGATGTCTCACTCAGTGCACTTCGGTGACAGAGTCCAAATAGACGTCTCTAATATCTCAGGTTCTTCCTAAAAGAATAATGGTTTTGTTTGCTGAGATGAAATTTAAAAATCCACATAGCATGCACAGACCTTTAGTGCAGATGAGATTCCCAATTATATGTAATATTTCTGATCATGCTTCTTTGCTACTCTGTTTAATTTTTCTGATAATCTTCCATCTCCTCTCTTACTTCACAGCCAGTTCTATGGAAAACAAAATCTGTTCCACTTAGCAATAGTGTGGATTACATAGTAACTGAATGAAAAAGAGAGTGTTTTTACTTTTTTGTTTTGTTTTTGGGTGGCATTAATCTAGGTACCTACGGTGACAGGTGCAGTTACTCCCTTCACGACAATCTTAGATTCTTCTGTCAGAGAATTTTCAGGGCTCCTCATTTGCATACTTCTGGTCTCTTCTCCCACTCATTGCAAAGAGGACAAATACAAATGACTACTTTTATGTTCTAATGCCTGGGCTGAAAGTCATTCTAGCCCTAGATGACATTGGGGTGAGCCAAGGTCCTTTCTAAACAGGTTTGTTTTTTTTTTTAAGGGTCAGTTTCTGGTTGTTTTATTTTTTCAAGAATACGAAAATGTCAGTATTTAATAAATAAGTGTAAAAATAGTACCTTGCCTAACACCAGACGTCTTCATTTTCTCAGAGGGTTGCAGGTAGCTCAGCTGATAAGGCGCCCCTCGTGGTAAGAGGCAGAAACATGCTTGAGTTTTAGGGACATCAGAACCCAGAGTGTCTGTCACGCAGAACTTGCCTCCGTTAGAGCTCCGAGACGAAGTAGCGAGTCTTGTCTCAGCGTTAACACTGCATTCGACACAGAGACACAGAGGCCTACCCGCTCCCCCGCCTCCACCTTTAATGTCCACACGTGGCAAAGTAATCATTCAAGTGCGTGACTGTTTCTGTGCAGATTCTATAAACCTCAGCCCCTCTAAAGGCAATCATAATGTGAAATTCTGTTGACGTGATATTTAATTGTTGGTGTTCACTAACGCCACTTTTAAAAAACGGGTTGCACTGGATGATGCGTATCATTTGGCTGCAATAGATCTGTGCTTTGGAAGTGCTCGAATGTCATTCCCGTCGCTTCTGTATTAGACCCGTTGGTGATCCTAAGCACCTGGGCAGTGGTTGCATTCTTACCACGGCCGGGTAACCAGTGCCCTGTCCCTCTGTGATGCTCACCGACTCCTGTTGGCTGACCGCCCACCCTGTCGTCTCCCTCCGCTCTGCTTTTCGCTGTACGCGCTCCAGGAGCCCACTGTGAATGTCCCCAATTCAGCAATGCCAGTTACACTTGCGTGGCGTTTACATAATCCATTTAATCATTTTATAATTATGAAAGCATTTAAGCGTGGAAGAGTTGTTCTGTGCTATCATTTGGTAAAAGCAAACCTCTTTCTTAGTTGCTGCTAAGTCGATGCAGGTGAGTCCGTGGAAAAGTCGGTAAATTTCTAGAAGGCTCTGTACTTGGATTTCTTCAGAAGTGTCTTTACAGCTGCTTTAGTTTAGAGAAACGTAACACCCTCCTGCTATTAAAAAATTAATCCATTACCAGACAGCTCTGATTGCATCGGTATGAGGGCTTCTCCTGCAGTCTGAAGCTGCCGTTGGCTATCTGGGGTACGTTGATGAAGAAGCTGAGTGCCTGCCTCCACAGCTGGGACTGCTAGGCACCTTCTCCAACTTTTCTTTGTTACAAAAGCCCTCCTCCTGTGGCCTGTCAGCTCCTGTGCGTCCCATGCCTGAAGGGACCCATTTATCCCTTACGCCATGGTGACAGAATGGTCTGGTAGTCTCTTTTAAAATAATGTAACTCACCCTAACCGGTTTGGCTCAGTGGATAGAGCGTCGGCCTGCAGACTGAAGGGTCCCGGGTTCGATTCCAGTCAAGGGCATGTAACTTGGCTGCAGACACATCCCCAGTAGGGGGTGTGCAGGAGGCAGCTGATTGATGTTTCTCTCTCATCGATGTTTCTAATTCTCTATCCCTCTCCCTTCCTCTCTGTAAAAAAAAAAAATCAATAAAATATATTAAAAATAAAATAAAATAATGTAACTCTTCCATCTTAAACTGAAATGCCTATTGTCTTTTCTCCATTTACAGCCACCTTAACCAGAAAACCCAGTTTGAGAACCCAGTGGAGGAAGCCAAGAGGAAAAAGCAGTCAGGGCAGGCTGATACGGGGCCTTCCAAACCAGGTAAAGGTCTTTCCTGACCGTGACATTCATATACTGAACGAACGGGAAGCGACTGAGCCTTTCGTAGTTGGGGCTCTCACATTCAACAGAGAACGTCTAATTTTTGTTGCTATAAAAACAGGACTAATCGTAATAAAGCAGCAGAGGTTTTGCGGCCACTGAGAGTTTCTCGTGCTGCTTATACAGAAAGTGTGAAATCGTTGGGAGCAGGGACTGAAGCCTTTGCTATGGGTTTGAGGCTCTGATGTGAAGATCGAATTGTTTCGTAAAGTTTAAGGCCAGGGCAGTGTCAGATCTCTCATTCATTGTGTCTCCCAAGCTAATTGCTTAGGTCTGACATCAGAACCCATTCAGGATCCTTCATTAACTGATATGAACAACTACTAAAGAAAGTCACCATATTACCTGCCTCTCAAATGGGAAGGTGTTAATAATACTAGGATCATGTGGGGACATTTTTAAACAATAGATCCTGAGAATTTGGGGAGCCTCGCCTGTGTGCATTTTGAAAACACTGCCCAGAAATTTCTCACATTCTATTCATCTCTCCCCATCTCCTCCCTCTGTCATTAGTAGCCCTAGTAACGGCCTTTGTGGTCATACTGTGAGGTTGAGTAGCTCCCCACCTCTGTTGCCCATGAGAGAAACATTCTTTCTTATAGCTGCTCCTCGTCCCTTCCCTTAAGTTTTCATTTGATTTAGCCAAATATTTTTAGTTTAACCAATATTTTTGAGCACCTACCATATGCCCAGTGCTTTGCTAGGCATGTGGTATTCAAAACCGATTGGGGGCGGGGAAGAGAGGGGAGCGATTAGGGGTAAGACGGGTCTTGCCCTCAAGAGCTCACATCGGTGCATACCAAGTGGAGTGGATGCAGAGTTCGCGTCCCTGACTTTCAGGAGCTTAATACTAAGCTGTCCCTCCCATTTTGACTCCAGATAAGGGAGTCTTTGGGGTGAGAGGAAGTAAGTACAAACAAGGAGGAGGAAAAGCAGGTGCTTTTACCTTTCAAATAAATGGAAGAACCTTAGAAAAGAGTAATGACACTCGCTGAGTTTTATTTTTCAGTGATTCAGTTTATGAATTTAAATTCTAACTGTTCTATTACATTAGAGTCCCTCTAATTTTTTCTTTCTCTGTGGTTCGTTATATTTAAATTATATAGACGACCTTGAATATTGCCTTCAAGGGCCCTGTTCATTGTGGGGATTTTTGTTCTCAAACCCATTTCTCATTTTCGCACAGACACAGAAAAGTCCCACTTCACGCGGGATCCGTCCCAGCTTAAAGGCATCCTGGTCCGGGCATCATTGAAAAAAAGCACAATGGGCTTCGGTTTTACCATCATCGGTGGAGACAGGCCTGACGAGTTCCTGCAGGTGAAGAATGTGCTGAAAGACGGCCCTGCCGCTCAGGACGGGAAAATTGCACCAGGTGAGCGATTTAATAAACATGTGAGTGTGTGTGTCCTGGATATTATACACCATCGCCATTAGCCTCTGCGGCAGCGCCCGGGTTCAAGCATTTTTAAATTTCTGTAGCAAAAATGTACGAGTAAGCCCTGGCTCAGTTGGTTGGGCATCGTCCCATGCATGGAAAGGTTGCTAGTTCTATTCCCCGTCAGGGCACATGGCCGAGTAGTAGGCTCGATCCAAGGTAGGAGGTGTGCAGGAGACAACCCGAATGTTTGCTCTCACATTGATGTCTCTCTCTCTCTCTCTCTCTCTCTCTCTCTCTTTCCCACTGCCTTTCCCTCCCTCTAAAAATAAAAAAATAAAAAAAAAACTATATATTTTTTAAATGTATGAATAAGTAGATAATTCTTATATTAAAACATCAATATTATTATATATAATTTTATATAGAGAGAAGAACTAAATAATATAACTGAAGACTTCTGTGTTAAAATAGTTTATCCTTTAAGTGCATACTAGTTTTACTGTTTTTAAATTTTTTTATTGATTTGAAAGAGGGAGGGAGAGAAACATCAATCTGTTGTTCCAACCATTCATGCATTCAGTGGTTGATTCTTATATCTGCCCTGACAGGAATCTACCCCAACCTGGGTGTATCGGGACAGCACTCTAACCAACGGAGCGACCTGGCCCAGCCAAAGTGCATACTAGCTTTGAGGGAGGGCCGTCTTTGCAAATAACTGGAAACTTAGAGGAAATGCATTAATTTTTTAATAGTTTGTATAATTCTGAAATAACCCTTTGGCTGTACTAAGCTAAAGATTTATGAACCATCTCAGAAAACTATTTGATTGTTTTGTTTTCTTCGATCATGTGGGGTATTTTTGGAGCTACCTAACACTGACCTATAACCTGTTTTGAAAAATGATCCATTGTGATGTTTAGAATGACGCCACACAAATGGTTATGTTCCGAGTTTTCTCCCAGGTTGTCTTGTTTGCTTGGTCTCACTGGTCGGGAATAAAGCTGAGCAGCTTTGTGAAAATGATAGACGTGGATATTGCCATTGCTGCAGAGCTGCATGCGTTTGTGTTTAATAGCTTTTCTAACTTCTTCATTTCTAGAAAGTTTTCTGTGGCTGACAGTGTCTGTGGCAGAGGGGATTCAGGACTAGTTACAGACTATGAGGGGGGCTCAAACACATTTTTCCAGAAGGGTTTAGTATCCCACTGAGTTTGCTTCCCATACTGTTGACTAGACTTCTCTAATCCTCTGTTAGTTCACACACCATGTAGGCCGCACATGGACAGCTCCCGCCGCCATAGTTCTTTTCATGGTGGATGTTGGCTTATTTCCAATTAGGATATGGGATCTCTCAAACTATTCCTTCCCATTTAGGTGATAGAGACTCAAAACATGAAACTTACAATAATCAAAAGTTGTACTTGTAAAGAAAATTATTTTTAGCTCTCCTCTATTACTTTATAAAATAAACTCTAGAGATTAAAATGAGTAATAAGGGGATTTTTTAGTTCTCAATTTTGACTTTTTGAACATTTTGTCCATGAAGTGGACATTGTATATGCTGTTGGGATTTTATAATATTCAAATTTGTCTAAATTTATCTAACTTGCACAGCAATATAATACTTCCATGAAAATTCTGGAATTTTTACTAGGGGAGGAAAAGTCAAAACTTTGTTTCTAATTAGTCTAATTTCTGTATCTTCTTAGATTGTGGGCAAATTTCCACAAACTAATGTTTTTTAATACCATTCATGTTGATTTTTTAAAAAATATGTTTTCATTGATTTCAGAGAGAGGAAGGGGGAGAGAGAGAGAGAGAGAGAGAGAGAGAGAGAGAGAGAGAGAGAGAGAGAGAGAGAATGAATGAATATCATTGATTGGCTGCCTCCTGCACGCCCCGGACCTGGGATGGAGCCCACAATCCATGCAGGAGCCTGACCAGGAGTCAACCTTTCAGTGCCCGGGAAACACCCAACCAACTGAGCCACACTGGCCAAGGCCGGCCATAACCTTTTAAATAGTCATATTCAAAAAAATAAAAGCAGCAAATGGATAAGACAACAGAGCACACGTTTTAAAACTTAAGGCTGCATCAAAAACACACAGCTGATGAATGTCAAGTGGCAGTGGTCATAATAATGCAAAATCAGGGAAGCAAAACCAACTAACTTTTCAGGATTAATTTAGCTGACTTTTCAGTGTTTTAATATGTTCTCTGCTTCTGTTGACTGTTTTTGTGGCTTGCTTCTCCTTATGAAATCAGAATGACAGCAAATTGAAACTCTAGAAAAAGAAAAATGCTAAAATACATTCATAACAACATTAGTCTAATCTTTAGCCCTACATTATGAATTTTAATGACATCTTAATGGCTTCTTAAAAGTCGAGAAACAAGGCAGTGTTTAAAGATGACCTGTTGGTACAAGTAGTCAGTGGAGCACGTGCTCCCCGTCGGTGTACCGGACACCCACTACAACGCACCCAGCCTGTGTGGCCACGTGGGTGGGACCCAGAGGACATGCTCACAATGACAGTATGAATGTGCAGTTATTCTCAGCATGCTTCCCTTGAGAGTGAGGTCATAAGCCTTTGCTGCAAAGATAATGAAGATTTATGCATTTGTCTCCCCCAACAATAAAAACGAACTTACTTGGTGGCTGCAGTATTTCTAACACGATTATCTTCTACCAGGCGACGTTATTGTCGACATCAATGGCAGCTGTGTCCTGGGCCACACCCACGCAGATGTGGTCCAGATGTTCCAGCTGGTGCCCGTCAGTCAGTACGTAAACCTCACCTTGTGTCGCGGTTACCCGCTCCCGGACGACAACGAAGACCCTGCCGTGGACATGGTTGCTGCTACTCCCGTCATCAACGGACAGTCACTGACCAAGGGCGAGAACACTCAGGATTTTAAGTCGGGGGCGATGGCTCTGGACCAGAATGGAAAACCGGGACAGGTCCTGGTCGGTGACCGTCTCAACGGGCCGTCGGACGCGAGCGAGCAGCGAGCGTCCATGGCATCCTCGGCCGGCTCCCAGCCCGAACTCGTGACTGTCCCTCTGATCAAGGGCCCTAAGGGCTTTGGGTTTGCGATCGCTGACAGCCCCACCGGACAGAAGGTGAAGATGATCCTGGACAGCCAGTGGTGCCCGGGCCTCCAGAAGGGGGACGTCATTAAGGAAATCTATCACCAGAACGTGCAGAACTTGACGCACCTCCAGGTGGTCGAGGTGCTGAAGCAGTTCCCAGTGGGCGCCGACGTGCCCCTGCTCATCCTGCGAGGAGGTGAGTGCAGCGCGGCCGCCGGTCGCTGCTCACGCATGCGCATCTGTTCCTTGTCCTTCCTGCGGACTCAGCTGGGCCTTCGTGGGCATGTTCCGGAAGGTTCTGTCTGACTGCCTCCGTAAGCAGTACCCTTTGCAGCAGGTTCTTTAGTTATTAATGGTTTCCCTCCTGTCCATGGTGGATTCCCTTCCCTCTCTATTCGTTTAAAACTCGGATTTACGGCTTTAATGAGAGGGGAGAGACCCACCTTCACGTGAAATAGATCCTCTTCCTTTCGTTTTCTCTGTGAATGACGACGGGAGAAGTTGACTCTCTCCAGCCCCGGTGCTCGGCCTGGCCCTCGGTGACGTGCAGGGATGCTGGAGCGGCCGGCTCGCAGTGGCCGAGCGGAGGGCCGGCAGTGCGCTCATCCGTTCCGTAGGAACAGTCAGGATAGCTTGCTTCCACCTTAAGCTTGAGTCTCTATCCTTAAAGGTTCATTAAACCCACAATGCCCACGTGAGAGAAATAAAGTTTTTATTTTCCGAGGTCCTCAGCCGACGGGAACTGCTCCGGGCGATTATACGTCCCGTTCCAATGTTAACGGGCTTCCTTCAGGCCACACCGGAGCGAGGCTGGTGCTCGGAAGAATAAAATCTGGCCTCCACGCTTCTCTCTCTCTGGCTTTTAGTTTTCATTTTTGAGGCACATGAGAAGTGTAGCTGCATGGGGCGTTTCCCCCCCGTATTCTCATTTCTTGAACGAATTTGTTTCTTCTCCGGGGGGTGAGGCAGAAGGTGCTGAGGGTTCGGGGAGAGCCTCTCTGCTAGGGCTGGAGGGTCCCCGGGCTCGGCGGACGTAGCAGACCAGCGCTGGGCGCAGTCGGGACGCCACTTGCTGCCTTGCTCCCCGCTGGCCGTGCGGGGTGGGGAAGTTGTGCTACTCTCTCTGAACTTGGTTACCTCGTCTGTAAACGGTAGTAGCATTTATGCCTCAGGATTGTCACAGAGATGAAATGAGGTCGTCTGTGCGCGATGCCTGGCACGCAGGAGGCGCCAGACAGAACCGCCCAGCCCGCACCGTCGCAGCTCGATCATCCTGCACGTTAACTGCATGTGTGACCTGGACATGCTTCCTCTGTTTTTAAAACTCGGCTTGTGTGTTTGTTTGTTTTTAAGGTCCTCCTTCACCCACGAAAACTGCCAAAATGGTGAGTACACGGGGGGCCCTCGAACGCTCCTTCCCAGCACACAGCCCACCCCCCCTCTGCAAGGACCGCCCCGTGGTGGTGCCTGTGGGACAGGAGAAGTCGGGGTCACCCTGCCCGGGCTGTGTCAGACCCTCGGGGAAGCGGGGGAGTCAGAAGAAGGCCCGCAGAGGAGAGCGGTGCTCTCGGGGTTCAGTGTGTGCGTGGAGGCCCGGACAGCAGTGCCCTGCCCCCCGGACAGCAGTGCCCTGCCCCCCAGCGGGGCAGCGCGAGCACAGTGCCTGCTCAGGGCCCTCCCTGCCTGGAGAGGAGCTCACGGAGGGCCGTGGACACTCACCTCCTCTCCGTGTGCCCAGAGGGAAGACGTGGCTGCCTCGCCCAGTCTCATGGGGGCTGTGAACGCCCACCTGCAGGTGACCTCGCAGGGAGGACTGAGCGAGACTCTCTAGGGAACTGTGGTCCCCTGTGCTCAGGCCGCTTGTTGTCAAAGTGACGGGCTGTCAGCCTGGAACAGTGTTTCCTCAGCATCCCCCTGGGTCGCCGAGGAGCCGCCCGAAGGACCCATGTAGAGAGCGAGGCCTATAAAGGAGGCACCAAATAATGCTGCAGACGCCGTGTCAGGCGCACCGTGTGGCCGCCCACTTGCAGCGCGAGTGTAGCCGCGATGGTGTGGACGCGGACGCACAGACACTTCATTGTGAATCTGAATTCGTTTCGTTCGCTTGCGTTGTCTGTCCTCTCACGAGGGAGAGGTGGTCGTGCTGAACCGTAACCAGGGGCTGCTAAAGGACAGACCGTCGGAGGTGAAAGGGGTGGATCTTCCCTCACCAAACCTGCTGTTCTGTGGATCCAAAGGGAAGGAACTCTGCCCTTTTACAGAGGCTGTACCACTCGGGCCCGGTGTGCTCAGAATTCGTTTTTTCCTGTTCAGTTAAAATTGCACTGTTGTTTCCTGCATCCTCTGGTTCCTCCAGGAATCATTGGCCACCCCTGTGCTTCATAATGGGTGCTGGTGCAGCACCGTGACCCTAATGCTTCAGAGCTGAGGGAGGTCTCCAGTGACCCCACTGCTCCGACAGAATCCCAGGCGCCTGGGGCGGGGGGTGGGGGGGGGGTGGGGGCTGTCCGCACCTCCCCCGCCATCTGCCTGGTCCGGGTCAGCGAAGGGTCCCTCACCTTGCAGGGCAGGCCCCGCACTGCCCCCTGACAGACGGCGCCCCTGCAGCCCTCCAGGGTGGATTATTTCATCTTCCACCCCCTCTCCTCACAGTAATTCAGGACACGCTGTTCTCAGAACCATACTTATTGCTTAGGCTGCTCATGGGGCTTCATTTTTAGGATGTTATTAAAGAGCTCATTTCGCTTGGCTATTATTTAGCGCAAGTTCCGCCTGAATGGGGGAGCGTGGAACCGTCCTCCTCCAGTTCCCCCGTCTGCCGGCCTGGCAGGGGCGCGTCTCTGCTTCCGACGCTTGAATCGGCCACGGAGGCTCCCACAGAGGCGTCTTCCCCGCGGAGTTAGTTAGCACTTCCTGTCCAGTCGCTTAGAAAGAATATCATCCTCAACATCGTCCCTGGGCACTGGGTCCAGTGAGTGGGGTGGGGAGTTTCTCGAGAATTTTCTGTGTCCCTCCTGCTTCCCTGCCTCCGGTCTCCCTTCCTCTCCAGGCAGCGTGTGTCCGGGTGCAGGACAGGGCAGGAGGGCTCGGCCAGGGCTTCCTAAGGCCTCGCTGTTGGCGTCCCTGCGGGCCTTTTCTAATGGTAGTGAACTGTGTCGACCGGCCCCTCGACAACCACCATCAGTTGACATACCCGGTTTAGACAACCGTTTTACGAACTCATCAACCATCTGGCTGTTTAGAATACTAAGTAAAGCCCTTCTCCATTCCAGAAAACGGATAAAAAGGAACATTCGGGAAGCGCGGAGGCCGTGAACGAGCCCGTGCCGCAGCCTCTGCCTTTCCCACCCAGCATCGTCCGGTCCGGGTCCCCCAAGCTGGACCCCTCAGAGGTCTACCTGAAGTCCAAGACGTTATATGAAGATAAACGTAAGCAGTTGTGGGATGTCTCAGGAGAGCATGTGACAAAATCAATGTGAAATTTTTTTAAAAGCTGGGACCTACCATCTTTCAAAACCATGTCGAAAAGTCACTTCTTCATTCCATCCTAATATGACTCTGGTCTTCCATTCGCATTCAACATGCATTCATTCATTTTCTTTTCTTTTTCAAAACCACATGTTAAGTGCCTACTATCTACCCAACATCAAAGTAATGGGAATACAGAGATAAATAGGTTACGTAGGCCCTGCACCCGAAAAGACGGCGCCGCTCTGAGCGCTGGAGTCGGTCAGAGGCCTGAGGGGAGCCGGCGATGGTTTTGACCGTAGGGATGATGCTACTGGACTGTGTCTTAGAAAGACGTTGCGGCAGGGGTGTGGGGGGTGATGACGCAGAGGGTGTGCCATCTGAGGAGGAACCCGGGAGCACGCCCCGCGGAGTCCCGCTGAGAGATGAGGGGGAGAGCGTAAGGCAGAAATTCAGGTCCATCCTCGTTTACTTACTAATGCTAACCTCTTCCGCAGTAAAATTGCAGATTGAATTTGGTTTGCTTTTTTTTTTTTTTTTAGGTTTGCTTTTTTAATGTATTTGTTTTTAGGAAAAAGGTCTAAATCTGCCTGGGAAGAGACGTACGTAGATGGAACTGTTATATGTAATTAATTTCACACTTATTTCACCAGTTGTAGATGCTCATGGTGATGGTGCCAGGCCGTATTCAAGGAAGAGGAAAACAGGCATAAGTGCCGAGAAGCAGTCATTTAAATTGGTGTGACTGTGGAGAATCCCTTTGCTCAGACCCCCACTCATGGCCTGACCCAGCCTGAGGCTTGATAGAAACTAGTCAGCCCCTTGGGCCTCACCCACACAACAGATGAGTTGGGCTCCTGAGGCCTTTTATCTCTAAAGTTCTAGGATTCTGATAGCAAGTATTTCTCAGAAGAGATCGCTTCTAAGGAACGTTGTCAGGAATGACTCTATACGGTAGCTCACTTTTGAAAGCACTCCCTGACGTGTCTCTCTTTTCCCTTCCTGGCAAGTGCTTCCTGCTTATAAGTAACATCCATGCTTTCGCAGAGATAAAATTTTAGTCATGCAGTAGCTGTTCCTGACTTACTGTTCGGATGATTACCCGCTTTGGGGTTAAGAGCCAGACCATGGAAACCAAGCTGAGTTTAAACCTCAGCTCTGCCATTTCCCTCCGTGTGATGCTGGGTCCTCAGTTTCCCCAGCTAGAAAATGGGGCCAATGATGGTGTTAACCGTTACTTACTTTTAAAATAATATCATTTTGCAAAATTAGGCTAAGTCAGCAGTTCATGTGGAATGCTTTTCTGAAACCAAAGCATTAGGTTAGGAGCAGAACTAAGACATTTTACGGACTCTCTTTTTCCAGGATTTGCCCCAGTGTTAATTTAGGTAATTGACACTATCAAATATCACACTTAAGTTAGGTAATTTTGAATTTAATATTGTAATGCTGATTTGAAGGCATGAGGAATTAATGGCAGTGTTAGCACTGAGCACATGAATGTGAGGGTAAGTCTTTTTTTACATTTTTTTAAATTGATTTCAGAGAGGAAGGGAGAGGGAGAGAGAGAAACATCAACGATGAGAATCATTGATCAGCTGCCTCCTGCACACCCCACACTGGGGATCGAGCCCGCAACCGGGGCATGTGCCCTGACTGGGAATCAAACCGTGACCTCCTGGTTCATAGGTCACTGCTCAACCCTGAGCCACGCCGGCCAGGCGTATGGGTAAATCTTGATACAAAGTTTTGTTTGGAACTCAAAGCAAAGATTTACAATTGAATTATTATTTTTTTTTTTTGGTGTTTTACTTGGGTAAATTTTTGCATCTCAGAACATTCTAAGGATGTAGTTTATTGACTCTATAACACTCTCCTACTAAATACTGAACTTAATTTCATTTTACTCCTTTTAACATAAGCCACAGTATTTATTTATGTATTTAATATCTTCTGGTTTTCCTTAGCGCCAAACACCAAAGACTTGGATGTTTTTCTCCGGAAACAGGAATCGGGGTTCGGCTTCCGAGTACTGGGAGGAGACGGCCCTGACCAAGCTGTGAGTGTGAATCCTGGGGACACGGCTGCTCCTGGCACAGCTGTTAAGTGGCAGTTTGGTAGAAGAGGGTGTTTTTGTCATTTTCTGTTTTGTTGTTTTTTTAAAGATTTTGTTTTCTCTGTCAGTTTCGTTAACATGAGAAGAATTGCATTTCTATTAAGTGTCGTAGTCCCTCCTTAATTTGGTGCAGCTAAAGCTGGAGGTGAAAACTGGATATGTTGGCTGTCAATCAGACAGGAATTAATTTCTCTGTGTGCCTAGGGCTTATTTAAAACCCTTTCCTTCCTTTTGCCTTCATTAAAGAGATCTTAAGGCATTTTCCGTTTCTAAGAAACCTGTAATTCAAAATCCTATTTACCACGGTCACTCTATCTTCCAAATGTTCCGCCAACAGTTGGCACGAGCCATGAATATTATGTCACCTCATCCGTATTACTCGCCTTATTATTAATGGGTTGACATTTTTATGCTCAGAAATTTGCCATTTCATTTGTTACCTATGAAACCAGAAAGATATAAAATAATGAATGTTTCTGTCCAGGAAGCATGAGGGTTATGTTTTGCAAAGCATTTAAAATCCAGAATTTTATTAATACGCGATTCTGGTGTAAAATTAAAGAGCAAACGTGGTGGGTATCATTCTTAAGTTCTGCCCTTAGTTTGAATGACTAAGAAGTAATGTGCTTCTTTAGAATTTAAGAATGTATTGAAGTGGGTTTTTTGTCTAATATCAAGAAAGACTGAATTATGATGATGCTTGGAAGTTAGGTGAGTAACAATAATCTTTTCAAATGACAGGCTTTCTTCTGTTTCTGAATAGAACATTTGATTGCTATAGTATAAATGTGTCCCAGTGAGTCCTATCGGTTACAGTTAATACAGTTTCCCCTATGTAGGCCAGGCATAGGGACCTTCATTATTTCTGATGATATAGTTTTGTTTGAGCCCAGCTGGTGTGGCTCAGTGGTTGAGCATCGACAGATGAACCAAGAGGTACCAGTTAGATTCCTGGTCAGGGCACATGCCGGGGCTGCTGACTTGATCCCCACTAGGGGACGTGCAGGAGACAGCTAATCAATGTTTCTCTCTCATCATTGATGTTTCTCTCTCTCTCCCTTCCTCTCTCTAAAATCAACAAAAATATTTTTTTTTAAAAGAGAGAGTTTTGTTGGATTGCTTCCTGTTTTGTTGGCACTCATAGTGGTCATTTAGACATTTTAAAAATTTATCTCAAACAACTTGGAAGAAACCTTTCTCTTCAATGTCAGGTTTTGGCAGCTCTGAAGTTAGCCCCAGCACTGGGGCCTGCCTAATTGCAGGACTTTAACGGCAGCCAGCGGAATGACCTAGACACGCTCACCTGGAAGCCGCTGTACCTTAGCCACTCTGTCCCCTAAAAATAGTCACTGCTTTGAGATTTAGGAACCAGAAATGCTTCTGTTTGATGTACTGAACTTGGACTGATAGCGGCATGCGACGGCAGCGGCGTGAGAATTACCCAGCTGCTGTGAACAGCGTGTGAAAGGTTTTCCTGATGGCGACAGACTTTTGTCGACTCTTGTAGCTGCCCCACAGAATTGGGCTTTTGAGTTTAATGGTTTGGCTCTGTTGCAGTGATGGTGGTGATGGCGGCACTTTTTCAAGTTATTGCGCAACTCGGTGTTTCCTGTCTTCTTTGTGCCCCGCCCCGAGGGCCCAGAGGGATGGTGTGGTTACTTAAGGGGCCGCTGTGGGGAATGGCCACTGTCTACGATGTCGCCTTTCTAAATAGGACCGCCCCAGAGCTGAGCGGCCGTCACCTGTCGGTTTGCACAGCGCTGGGTGGGGGAGCCTTAACCAGTCGTTAAGGGTCTGGGCCGGCTGTCTTGTCAGATCTACATCGGGGCCATCATCCCTCTGGGCGCCGCCGAGAAGGACGGCCGGCTGCGCGCGGCCGACGAGCTGATGTGCATCGACGGGATCCCGGTGAAGGGCAAGTCCCACAAGCAGGTCTTGGACCTCATGACCACGGCTGCTCGCAACGGCCACGTGCTCCTAACTGTCAGGAGGAAGATCTTCTACGGAGGTACTCGCACTGCTGCTCCGACGAGTTAAAAAGAACAGAAACTCGGGCCCCTTCCTGCGGGGGGACGGGGGGATGGCAGGTTCTTTTACATAATCTGTGGAATAGTGTGTGAGACAGCCCATTGGGCGGGACCCAGGGCCTCATTATGGAAGGTCAAAAGGATTCAGAAACAATAATCACACTGTCAAAAAAGAAAAAGGTGGGGGTCCATAAAATTAGATTAATATATTGATGATTTTACCAGGTTAAACCTGCTTTCTGAAAACAAATACAAAGTTATCTAGTCATACTGAGGCGTCCCACTCGCTGAATATCAAAAGATTTTGGATCCTGATGAAATCCTACATTTTCAGAGGACAGAATGCCTCTACTTGAGAAGTTTTGGTATCATGTAATTTAACATTTATTGAGAGCTTACTGTGTCCCAGGCCTATGGATTCCGTCATTTAACCTTCACAACGCTGTGATGTAAATACTGTCATGATCTGGTTTTACAGTTATTCCCAGAAAGGTTGGGAGACACAGAACTGGCGGGGACTGAAGTGGGTGTTTAATTACAGAGCCCGCCGTCTAGACTGTGCACTCAGATACGAATCTCCCTCACATTTTTCTCATCAACAGCTTTGTGAATGTTAGATAGGAATTTTGAGAGGTGAATTCTTGCCACTTACAGTCTTAAAAGGACAGCCCTGTAGTGCGGACGGTGAGCCCCCCGACGGTGGGGGCACGGACCCCTTCGGTGAGGAGTGCCCGCGCGGCACAGCGAGGACGTCCAGTGTCTGCTGACGCGACGGTCTTTGCACATTACCCCGTTTTTGTCTTTATTGATTAAGGTCTGCATTACTCTGAAAGAGCGGGGCACTGTGTTTTTGATGGCAGCATCCTAAGCAAAGCCCACGGCGCTTCGGGAAGATGGGGCATTTAGGGGTGCACACAGATGCCAGTGCATGCGGCCTCCGTGTGAGCCACACGCAGGGGAGCGGCCTGGCCACCCACCGCTGGCTCCCTCCGGGGCGGCATCGGAGGCAGCGTCAGGCCCACGTGGCATCACTGGAGGCATTTAGCTAATTCATCCTGACCGTGAATTATGCCCCGAAATCCTTCATTTTTTTCATTAATGATTGGACGTTGGTGGCACTTGGTTGAGATTCAAAAGCAGTGCTAGGATCGTGTCGATTTTGAGCCAAAACAGACAATGTACTTGTGTAGTCATCGATGGTGGTGTGTTGTGGTTGTTAATGGTGGCTTCTATCAACGTATGGCACAGAATTTGCCTATTTAAAAAAATCAGGACTAACTTCCTCGGAGAAATCCTTGGAGAAAAGGGGGAGGTTAACTGGCCATTTGCTGGGGACGCCGTGGGCCGACTCTGCCCCAGAGAGGTTGCTGTTCTGTGGGCAGCTCGCCACGTGCCTGCGAACTGCTCCTGGCTCCCTCATCCGGTGCCATCACCAGGAAACTGCGGCCTAAACGCCGCCATGTGGGAGCACTGTCCCACCTGTGATGGGCGGCACCCTGTCCTGGTGCGGCCGCTGCCCAGGCGTCATGAATCTCAGCCCCGGCTCTCAGGGCCATTGAAAGTTGATCTTAAAGGGAAGCTTACTGCACCATTTCTCATCATTGGCACTTGTTAAAATTACTGGTCAAGGTTAAAACCTTTCTGGAATTCTAACAGTTTCAAGAACTGTTTTCCTATCAAATTTGACGGAAGCTTTGAAAACCCCCTTGATAGTGAGGTCCTATTGTGTATTTCTCTAGTTGTTGACATTAAGGGTGTTTCAGTCCGCAGACAGCTGCCGCCCACATCTGCCCTCAGATTACGCCCAGAGCTTGGCGGGCAGCTTTTCTATTCTGTTATTAGAAACTAATTTTTTTGTGGCAAGCTTAAGCACAAAAACGCTTTCGTGCTCAAAAAATTATGATGTGTATTGATCCATGTTTATTGTAGAGAAACAGCCTGAGGATGACAGCGCCCAAGCCTTCCTCTCGACACAGAACGGGTCTCCGCGCCTGAACCGAGCGGACGCCGCGGCCAGGCCTGCGCCCCCGGAGGCCTATGAGGTCGTCTTGCAGCGGAAGGAGAATGAGGGGTTCGGCTTCGTCATCCTCACCTCCAAAACCAAGCCGCCCCCAGGAGGTGAGGGCCGCTGGGCCTGCCGTCGCGACCTCCGGGTCCAGCTTCCTGAGCCTCCCACTGGGGGTTCACGAAACTGACCAGGAATGAGGCTCAGGTGGCTTAGAGACGTCACTCTTTAAGAACGATGAATATTTCCTTGGTTTCCTCCTAGTTTATGTGTCATCTCAGATTCCAGGAACGAAGGGTTCGCGGCTCAGTTCGCATCAGGATTCTATGGCAGTATGTGGGGGACGGGACCTGACTCCCCGGGAGAGGACAGAGCTGAGTGTTCTAATGAGGGGGCACAGGTCGCGTTTTTAATTCGGAGAAATCGTGTATGCAGCAGTGAATGCCATGCTAGAAGCAGTTGAGAGGAAGCAAAACAGATTAACAGAAAACCCTTGACCCAAATATGTCTTCAATTGTCCCTTTGTGTTATTTAACAGTAATTGCCGTATTTTACCTCTAAAGCGACCTTCTTGTGCATGCTTCATTGAAAGGCAAACATTTTGTCAGAACCTTTGAAAATTAATCTAGATATCCTGAACTGGCGTAACGGAATATGCTCACCTGTGAGGGATGAATGTATTCACTCCCTCACCAGAGAGGACTTACTCCCAGCATGTTCAGGGCTGTTATGATTCACCAAATAGAAAATGTGTCTCATCTTAGTGTTTCTAAGAAATAATTATCTCTAAATGTAATTAGAAAATCCAGATGAATAAGAGAACCGGCAAATGATTCTTTATGTATCATGTTTGTCTGGTAACGTTGTTTTTCTTAGTCAGGTGATAAGCATCTCTGACCACATGACAAATGCCTCTTGTCTTTGCCTGTGGGTTGATTTCTTGGGTCGTGAGATCCTTTCAGACGAGATGGGCACTAGAATCTTAGTGACAAAAGCCAACACTTTTGGGAGCCCAACGAATTTGCAGAAATCTCGCTAAAAGGAATGCCCGCGTGTGAAGGAGGAAGCCAGTGACATGATGAGTTATGGCTCTAGTGTCAGGCCACTGCTCACTGCTACTGCTTTCCCTTTTCCATAAGCAGTTGCCATGGTAACACTTGGAACTGTCTCTGGTGCTGTGAGGATGATTATGTGGCCTGATTCAAAAACTGAAAGAAAGCAGCTTTTAGGTGCCTTTTATGTTATGTCGTTGGAAATCAGGATTTCCAAAAACAACCATTTCAGATCATCGTATTCTAAACCTCAGTACAATAACCCAGCCTTCCAGATTAACCAAGACAATGAAAGATTATTACTCGGTATGATGGATGCTACGCACTTTTTATATCGAAGCTATTCCTTTTCTCAGACTATAAAAATCAGGGGGGAGTCCACCTTCACCATAAAACTGAGCAATATGGAGGAATTCAGTAAAATCAGTTGCATTACTTAAAAAGTAATTTCTTGCTGTTTCGGTGGTTGTGTGTGCCATCGGTCTCTATAAGATAGTGTCATCGGTGTTGGGCTCTGTGACCTGGCGACCTTGGGTTCAGGCCCTGCTGGAGTCTTGTAACAGCTTCTGATCTGGGCACATGGTTTCCCCTCTAAGAGCTCCAGGTTCCTCTGTGAGGGGAGGACGGTGGTACCGATTCCTGTCTTGCTTGCGTCTGCGGATTAAAGGAGCTACAGCCCAGAGGCCCGTAGCCTGGACCCGTGCTGGCCGGTAGCCGCTGCCGCCACCGCCATTATCCTCGGCATTATTTGTGAAATTGTTTGTCACTGTCTCTTGATCTTTTTTTAAAAGAAGCTTTGAGAAGTTTATTAATACTTGAGTAATGAGATGGGAAAGAAAGCTCAATTAAAATGTAAGAGTGAAGCAGCAGCTAATGTGCGGCAGGAAATGAGTGTTTGCAGCTCATTAATTATCAGCTTGAATAGTAAATTCGGCTTAGGTTGGCACTGCATCTTACATCAAGTACTTGGGATTTCAGTCGGGTGCAAAGCCAGAAGTGATCATCGCACTGACATGCTCGTTAACGGGCTCACAAGACGCGGAGCTGCGAGCAGCCTCCTAGGACCCCGGCAGCTCCTGGAGACGGAGGGAGGCCGGAGGCCGGGCCGGTGAGCGGGACGAGGGGCCCTCACGCAGACGGAGCCAGCGCCGCGCACTGGGAGGCAGAGGAGGTCTGGTTTAGGGAAGAGAGCACATCAGAGCTCAGGCGGGGGCCTGCCTGTCCGAAGGCCTTCCTTTATGGGCCTGGCTTTGGTCTAGGTCGGTCTCCAGCTCAGTATGGACTGTTTTCCTTCGGACACTTGTCACAAGGGCAGTTCCCAGTGGCGCCTCTCGCAGCAGTTCTGAAGTCTGCGGCTCCGCACGGTGACTCTGTCCGCGGTCGCTGGCGGGCCCCGCGGCATCAGTGCTAGGTGAGGACCCAGAAGAGACTCCTGTTTCGGGTGAAGAGGACTGGCTGGCTCTTGCTTTGCCAGGACTTCAGCGTGTTCGTGTCTCTCTCCCTCATCCGAGACTTTTCAGTGCTGGTTGCAAAGGGTTCCTTTGAGGAGGGGCATTTCCAGCTACTGCCCTCGCTTTTCCTGAAACGAGAGCTTTGGAGGGCCTGTGAGACGGGCTGAGGCCGGAGCTGGATGGAGGCGGATGAACGGGCTTGATGGCAAAGGTCTGTAGGCTTTTCTACCAGAGAAGCCGCGGCAGGCGGCGGACTGTGCTGAGCTGTGTGTGCTCCGAGGGGCGGCCTTGAAGTCCCGGTCCTTCCTGGGCCCGTTCAGAAGCTGTCTTCCTCCTGGTCTCTCGCTGTTCCTAACCGGCTTGGCCGTGTCGCTGTCCGCGCCGAGACGAGGACAGTCCGATGCTTTTGCTGTCCCTCGTCCCGGAGGCCCCGTCCTCGGGTCTGAGAGGGAGCCGGGACTCGGGAATTCTGGCTGATGCTTTCCCGAGTCCGAGCCACGCTCTCAGGCCGAGGGGCTGGCCGTTTTCTTCCCGGGGGACCTAGAGGGAGCGCTGCGCCCGAGGAACTCTTTCTGGGAAGGAGAATAGCCGAGGTATCGATGTGCAGAGTCACCAGGGCCCCGTGTCAGCCCCGCGTCTCTGGTCGGCCACTGGTGGTGCCATTAGTGTTGGCTCCCACCTGACACAGGACGTGGCCCTTCCTCCTGCCACTTGCCTCTCCACCTTGTTTGTAAGGAAAACAGCATTGTACGTGCTTGAGATGATTCAGAGCTAAAAGGCACTTGCTTCCCACATCGACCTCCTCGGCTTTCAGATCAGATCTCTCTGTGAAACCCTGGGAGGGCCGAGGAACAGCAGCGTCCGTGGGGACGTCAGTCACGGCCAACAGCAACTTCCAGTCCCAGGTGAGGGCCTGTCAGGCCTCCAGCCCTCGCTGGTTTGGCTCAGTGGATAGAGCGTCAGCCTGCGGACTGAAGGGTCCCGGGTTTGATTCCAGTCAAGGGCACATGCCCGGGTTGCGGGCTCGATCCCCAGCAGGGGGCATGCAAGAGGCAGCCAATCAATGATTCTCTCTCATCATTGATGTTTCTATCTCTCCCTCCCTCTTCCTCTCTGAAATCAATAAAAATATATTTTTTTTAAAAAGTAAAATGTCTCTAATAGGCACCAAACAAGACCAGAAATACTTAAGCAAGGAGCCCATTGCTGTGGGAGTTAAACCTCATCAGAGTGCCCCTTAAAACTATTAATTGTCCCTTCTCATAACAGGCAGCAGTCACAGGCCCAGGAGCCTGCGGGGTCCACGGGCTCAGGCGGGGCGTCTCGGAGACCCGGGAAGGAATATCCGTGTCTAGCACAGATGCCCCACCAGTAACAGGAAAGTGTCCTGATAGTTCGTCGGGAAAGCCGTTAGCCTGTGAGCCCGGCGTCCGTATAGAACCGCCCAGGTCTGTGCAAAGGGCGTGGCCCAGCTTTGTCCGGTCAGGGTAGGGTTTTATCCATGGGCCAAATAATGTTAACATAAAGCGTTAATGTTCTAATTCCACTTCTTAAAATTCCTAACTTTAAGAAGATCTAAAGGTCTAAACACAAGGAATTAATTTTGCTCTAGAACTAAGTACGATTCATTTGAATGGTCAGTCGTTCCACTACACGTGGACTTCTAACCAAGAACTTCCGCGTCCTCCCTGGAGTTTGAACTGCGTTTATCCACAAGGTCCCTCGTGGGAGTCAATGCCCTGTGAGATCCGCAGGCTGTCTCATTGTAGCCGTTTCTAACACACCCACGATGCGACAGCCGGAACGGCCAGCGACAGACAAGGGCCAGCACACTGGCAAGATGCTCTCATCGTATCAGCGAGGTCAGGCATCTCTCAACAGGACTGTAGGATGACGGTATAAAGACTGTGAATGGAAAACAGCAAAGGGGTTGGTATGCTGGGGCTGCAGCTATGTGAAGAGAATGCATGTGGCCTGGCCAGCATGGCTCAGTGGTTGAGCATCGACCTATGAACAGGAGGTCATGGTTCAATTCCTGGTCAGGACACATGCCCAGATTTTGGGCTCAAGGCCTAGTAGGAGGCATGCAGGAGGCAGCTGATCAATGATTCTCTCTCGTCATTGATGTTTCTCTCTCTCTCCCTCTCAGAAAGCAATAAAAAAATATATTTTTAAAAGAGTGCATGTCGGCAAGAAGGGAACGGTTATAGATACGGAAATAGCAGCATTTAGATAGGAGGCTCACATTTGGTGCTTTTTTGCTGTATTTTTCAAGAATTTTCTTTGATGTTGTGTTGAATTTTTAAATGATGCTGATAAATCTAACACTAACAGATATTTTAAATAATTGAAAACCTGGGGATTTTTTTTTCTTACAGTTATTCCTCATAAAATTGGCCGAGTCATAGAAGGAAGCCCAGCTGACCGCTGTGGGAAGCTGAAGGTGGGAGACCACATCTCAGCAGTGAATGGGCAGTCCATCATCGACCTGTCCCACGACAGCATCGTCCAGCTGATCAAGGACGCCGGCGTCACTGTCACGCTGACAGTCATCGCTGAGGAAGGTAAGGGAGCAGTCAACCTAGATGCCCCGAGGGGCCCAGAACCTGCAGAAGGCATGGCTCCCTCTAATGTGCCCTGGAGTCTCATTGTTTGCCTTTTCTGTTATATATATATATATATATATATATATATATATATACATATACACATACACACACACACACACACACACACACACACACTAGAGGCCCGGTGCACAAAATTTGTGCACGGTTAGGGTCCCTAGTGGCTACCGGCCTTCCTTAGTTCCGTGCCGCCCCCTGGTGGTCAGCACACATCATAGCAAGTGGCCGAATTCCCAGTTAGTCAAACTCCTGAGAGGACACTTTGCATATTAGGCTTTTATATATATAGATATTTCAGAGAGGAAGCAGGAGGGAGAGAGAGATGGAAACATCAATGATGAGAGAGAATCATTGATCGGCTGCCTCCTGCATTCCCTACACTGGGGATCGAGCCCGCAACCCAGGCATGTGCCCTGTCCAGGAATGAACCATGACCTAGTTCATAGGTGGACGCTCAACCACTGAGCCATGCTGGCTGGGCAGCCTTTTCCATTTAATGGATTAAAACATTTAAAGTGTCAGTAGCTCAAGACAACAGTAGCTGCGGCTAGTGAGTGGTGGCCATTTGTGTGCCGGGAAAGTAAGCAGCCAGCAGCGAGAGATCGGTAGACTTTTCCGACCGTGTGTCCTTTTAAATAGTCTTAAGTCTGCTGGAGTGAGGGAAACCCTGAGGAGCTCAGAGTCACGGAGCCTCGGTCAGGCCCAGGCCAGCTGCCTTCGGGGAGGTGGCTTCCTCTGGGCGGCCCCTGTAAGGGGGGCCGGGAGTGGGTGGGAATGGCCAGTAAATGGGGCGTGAAACACACTTAGTGTCTCGCTTTGCATTAAAGCTGCCTTTGGTCAGGAATTCCTGCTTAGGAACCATCTTGAATAGCCCCGTTCTGTTCTCTGTGAATTACTAGTGCTCATCTCATCTTTCCCGATTGTGTAAAGCCACTGAGAAGCCTGAAACAGCAGAGCTATGAGGCGTCAGTCTTGCATATTAAGATGTCGGGCACTGCAGTGCATATTGGTGTCCGTTCCTCCCACGACCTCTAACCCAGTCCGTCTGTTCTCTTCCTGCGGCCCCACCGCCCTGTTTTCATCTAAGGAGTCACCCAAACGTCCTGTCTGCCCTGGGTCCTGGGCGGACACCGCTTGCTGGGGCCCCCTCATGCCCTTCTGAGGCCCGGGTGATGGGCTCAGGTTTCAGCCCCATCAGCCCTGCTCAGTCACGGTCTTACTCACTGCGCTGTGCCCCCTCCCTCGGTACTTCAATCTCCTACGTTTGCTGTTTGGACGGGATAAGACATTAGAGTTCCCGCGTTAGAGCTGTGCGTCTGACCCTCTGACAGTCCGGGCCCATGACTGCCTTTGAGCTCTAGCTGCTGCACTCGGTACCAAAGCTGCCTTCAGGACAACAGGCCTGGAGCTGCTGCCCAAGAGGCGGGAACAGATGTGCCTTTTCCTCGCCTCTCTGTGCTCTTAGAAAGCTCTGCCTGCGTCTGTTTTCTAAACGCTCGTCCACTCTGGGGTGGTCGTGGGCTGGAGTTCAGTGTCAGGCGAGATAACTGCTCCGGATGAGGGATGCAGCTGGAGGAGCGTGGGGCTGGCGGACGGGCCTCTGCTCCCGCCTCCGCAGACCTGTCCCCTCCTGCAGTGGCTCAGAGGGGGGGAGCTCCGGAACCCACAGGGGACCAGGCGAGGAGGCGGCTCCTGGAGCCCGTCCTCACCGGCAGGACCCACGTGGGTTCCTTTCTGACCGTCCTCTGTGTGGACGATCCACATCAGGGTGGCGGCGGGGAGTGTGTGGAGTAGAATGTGACTCCCGTTCTCCTCCGTAAACATAAACATGACTCCGGGGACACGGGGAAGGCGGCCACGTTCCTCCTCCCACAGCCGGCCACTGAGGCGGGAAGCGGCACCATGTGTGACCGCCTGGTGCCCGTGGACCCACTCGGCCTCCACATTCTTGGGGACAAATGCTTAGTTCTGTTTCCCCTCCTTTGAACAGAGCATCATGGTCCACCGTCAGGAACAAACTCAGCCAGGCAGAGCCCAGCCCTGCAGCACCGGCCCCTGGGACAGTCACAGGCCAGCCACGCGCCTGGCGACAGGTGAGGCTTCTCCTCAGCACCCACTGCCCCCGCCCCGCCCCGCCGTGATGCGGAGCAGCCGGAGGTCAGCACGCGAACCTGCATCTTCCACCTTCAGGTCCTTCCTGGTCCCCCTCCCTCCATCCCGCCCGACACGCGGGCACTGGAAGGTTCCACGGCCCCGCGGGCTCGGCCACTCGGCCCTGGTTGGGGAGGGAAGCCCCAGCCCACAGAGACTGCTGTCTCCGAGGCGACCCGAGCAGAGCAGTGCTCATACCTATTATTTCCACTTCGGTCACAGCACTGGCCGTTAACACTCGGTTACGGGAAACTCGGCGCAGCCCCTCCCGGCGTTGGCGCGCAGAGCCGTCTGTGTGGCGCGGTCGGCTCCCGGGCCGCAGGCTGTCGCTCGGGTGCAGTTCCTTTGGCGCGAACTGCCCGGGACCCCTGGCCCTGCGGACGGGACGCTGGCGGAAGGCCGGTTTCTGCCCGGCATCTCCGGCATCCCCGTCCGGTGTAGCCTGTCCCCACAGCAGTGTGCCGGCGGGTGGCCAGGCCCAGCTCTGAAAGGAAATGGGGACGGTGCCTTGACGTGCAGCCGGTTTTGATTGCTCAGTTCAGAGGGGGCCCTGGCTTCTCTCCCGCAGTGAGACTTACAGACACTCGTGGGCGGACCACAAGCAACTCCCCCAGCCCGACGCGGCCGTGATCTCCGCTGTGGGCAGTCGGCACCACCAGGTGAGATGCCCACCTCCCCCCCAGTTCACACTGTGGTTTTTATTGCCAATCAGGTAAATTTGTTCAAGTCAGTCACTCTTGAGGACCTACTGTGTGGCTGGCAGTCCGTTTGCTTCCGGAGAGAATGGAGAACGAAAGGAAGGTTTGCCCAGTGGGTGGAGAAACTTGAACCCTGGTTGAGTGCTTAGAGCAGGGCTTGAGTTCCTCAGAGGAGCGGTGGGTTTTTCTCTTTTCAGGAAAATTAGTTAAAATCTACTTAAAGGAAGCACGTCCCCAAATTCTGTTCTCTGATTGACCAGCTAGTAGAGGAGACATGTAACCCCCAGATTTCGGCTGCATTTATAAAAACTGCGTAGCCCTGGGCCCGCAGCGTCCGCTCCTTCCTGCCGCCATGCAAGTGCTGCTGACGGTAGATCCTGTCCCCCCGCCGTGAGCCAGCGGCCCCTGCAGCCCGTATCCTCCCTTCCTCCCCTCAGGGCCTGGGCTGCTACCCGGTGGAGCTGGAGCGCGGCCCCCGGGGCTTCGGGTTCAGCCTCCGCGGGGGCAAGGAGTACAACATGGGGCTCTTCATCCTGCGCCTGGCCGAGGACGGGCCCGCCCTCAAGGACGGCCGGATTCACGTGAGTCGGCCTCGCTCTTCACCTCTGCTTTGGCTCCAGCGGGAAGTAGTTGCTGAAAGGGTGTGCGGACGGCTCTTGAGTCTAAGCAGCGAGATCTTGCGTCACTAAAACCCGAGGGGCACGTGCCTGCCAGTTCCCTCTCTGACCCAGGGCGCCCTTCTCTCCGTCCCTCCCCTCCCATCGCTCCAGCACCCTCGGCACCTTGGGTAGTGTCCCTAGTGGGCGCTCCACAGGCATTTGCGGGAAGAATAGAATGGGCGGATAATGCTTCTAGCTAATGAGAGGATTACTGTTACTATTTAGGGTTGGTTCCTGGAACCGATTGCTGGTAGGCAGGACCTGGGTTATCCGAAGCAGTTAGCACACAGTGTAACTCGCTAAAACAAGAACACGTGAACTTGTAATAGCTGGAGAGCTGTTGAGAGTATCTGTGGGTCTCAGGCTGGTCCTTAAATCTGCTTCAAATGTAGAGAGGAGGAAATAAGGTTTCCGGCAACGCTACTGAGAAATCGGCCGAAGTGGGAAAAGTTCGCGTTAAGGAATAATGTCCATGTTTAACATGGAACAAAGTCAGAAAGTATAGGATCCGCCATCTCCCAGGCAACACGTTCTCCCTGTGTTAGTGCGAGTCTCACGGCCGTGAGGTGGGAGCCGGCCCCGTACAGAGTTCACCTGAGGCTCAGCGAGACGGTCCCTCGCCGGGTGCCGCAGCCTGTGGCGGCTGCAGAGGGACCAGGCCTGTCCTGCCGATGCCATTGGGAGGCCTGTGGGCTCTGGACATGTTCTGAGATGATCATGTGAACAACTGTTAGAAATACTATTTTTAGTGGATGTTTTAAAAACTGTGAGATTGCCTTAAAGATAGTGTTTTTTAAGACAGCCAAATTTTTCTTTATCCCTTCTTCCTTCTGTTCTCTTATTCTCCATCCCCCACAATTTTTTTCAGTAATACAAACCTGAACATGACTTTGTGCTATTTGCCAAACAATGTATTCTCATCCCATTTTAAAATTTTAAAGTAACCAAGCTGTACAAGGATGTCTGCATTTCCCTCTCAAAGTGCCGCGGTCTGCCCTGGGCCCTGCACTGGTCCCTACAAAGCTGAGCTGCCAACATCTTCAAGCCCTGGCCCTCTTCCGCTCCCCCCCAGTTTAGCTTAAACAAAAACGACACCTGGTGGCAAATCCGTTCAGTTACAAATTTTATGATAATTTACTTGTGCTAAAACAATAAGAACTGTACAGGTCTGGATAGTGAATTTAAGCCAAAGACTGTGCTTAAACTTCATTATAACCTCAGTCATGCTTTCTAAGATGCACCCAGAGCACGCTTCACATGCTGTCTGCTCTAATTCTCTCTTCTCTAGCTACCAGCGGGATTATACAGCTAGTGCTAATTTGTCATCTACTTCCTCATGAAAATGTTTCTTCTTCGGTCACTTACAGGAAAGCTGGGCTTTTTAAAAATCAATTATCTTGCTTTTAAAGATTTCTTTTCCACTTTGTGAAATCTATTGATCTTGTTTCTGATATCCTCCTCCGTTTTTTTCAAAAGTATACAGCAAAACACTTACTCTCCTTCAGAGTTTACTTGCAATTGTTACATTGTGCTCTCTACAGTGAACTAATTCATACGCATGCCCTACAGCGGTTCTCAACCTGTGGGTCGCGACCCCTTTGGCGGTCGAACGACCCTTTCACAGGGGTCGCCTAAGACCACCCTGCATATCAGATATTTACATTACGATTCATAACAGTAGCAACATGACAGTGATGAAGTAGCAACGAAAATAATTTTATGGTTGGGTCACAACATGAGGAACTGTATTTAAAGGGCCAGAAGGTTGAGAACCACTGCCTTAGGACTTTTTTGGAAAGCCCGAAAATAGGTAACTTGACACTAACATACATTTGTGCTTGGTTTGTAATCATGTTCTATCCCTTTAAGTCCTCCCAACGCCCCCATTTCACAGAGAGGGAGGCGAGCCCCCTGTGGGGGAGGAGGTGGGTGACGGTCGCGGCCTCCCGCTGCTGCTCCTGGGAGCTTAGCAAGCTCAGGTAGCTATTGCTTTCACTAATTTTCCCTTGTTTTGTTCTGAAGCCAACACCCTTAACTTACTTTTCACTTTGAAATGTAGTTTCAAATCTGGAGTAAAATCCCTACCATCATCTTGAATCAGGCCTTGTGCAGAAGTTAAACTTGTCCGTGTTTTTCCTCTAAAAATAGCAGACATTTCTAGGAAGTAGCAGAGGTACTGAGGCATCTTATTCTAATCCCTAGTTTTCTAGGGCAGCAGCCACCAACCGGTGGTCCGAAAGATTGGCGACTGCTGTTTTAGGGAAATCATTTTACACTACAGTAATGAAATATGAGCCGGTTATTGGATTTAAATCCGTCTCCACATTAATATATTCTCCAAGGTGAGTTTTAGTTTTAATCTATGAATATTTCATTTGGTTCTTGATTTCAAGATGCCCAGCTCCTGCTTCCTAGTCATGTAAAGCTAGACATTCCTCTGCTGCCACCGTCTGCCCCTCAACGCGAGAGCGGGCGGCGCTGTGCACAGGTGAAAGGTCTTACCAGTGGAAGGGGCGCTGGGCCAGGCTGAGCGGCTCTCGAGTCCACGGAAGCGAAACGCGTGACGGTGTGTTGCTCCCTGTCTAGGTCGGGGACCAGATTGTGGAGATCAACGGGGAGCCCACACAAGGCATCACGCACACGCGCGCCATCGAGCTCATCCAGGCCGGCGGGAACAAGGTCCTCCTGCTGCTGAGGCCGGGGACGGGCCTGATCCCTGACCACGGTGAGCGGGGCGCCTGCAGCTGCAAAGCGAGAGGGTCTGGAGGGTCAGCAGGAGGAACGTGCACTGGGAGGGAGAGTTACCCGCCCAGCCCCAGCAAAAGCCAGAGTCAGCTACAGCCAGCGGCACCGCATGGTTTTCATCAGTTATAAATAATATCACAGAATAGGTGGCTCCAGGCAGGACTTTGCTGGAATGGGATACACGTGAAGCTAATTTCAGCAGAAAATGCAGAAATGTGCCTGTAAAGAACAAGGTTGTCAGAGGCGAGTGGTTTAAATGTCAGGAAAAACACCTGAAACCTCTGCAGCTGGCATTTATTCCGCAGCGGGAGCTGCTGAAATGTCTGCCTGGGTTGGTGCCCTGGCCTAGAAGGAGGCGGCCCCTCTCAGCCTGCGATCCTCCGCCTGTCGCCTTCCGCCGCTGCGTGTAGCCGTGCGCCCGGCGACGTCTGTGCTAACTGCGCTGCGATGTGTCACACAGTCCTGGGCTTTCTCTCTTCCTCCTTCAGGTTTGGCTCCTTCCGGTCTGTGCTCCTTCGTGAAACCTGAGCAGCATTAAGGCTTTCAGGGCTTTTCTTGGTCTTTCCTTAAAAAGACTTGGTAAATCTGCATGTCTTGTCGATCACTTCCGTCTTTTATTTTTTTTCTTTTTAGTTAAATGATGCTATGAAATACATCTAATTCTTCTGCTGCACTTTTCAGTTTCCTTTTGACATTATTGACAAATGCCCGCGGACCACAGTGCGGTCTCCTGTATTAGCGAGTTAGCATGTCCTTAGGCTGTGGCCATTGGTTAGAGCTAAATTAATACGCCTCTTGGACCAGGTAGTTTGGCCGAATTTTAAGTTTTAATTGGGCTTTACACATAGTAACTGGAAAAAGTGAATCCTGTCATTTGCTGTATATTTAAACGCCCTACCCTGGATGTACAAATACAGCTGTCTGCACACACCTGCCTTTCTAGAGACACTAGGACTAGTGTGTAGAGCGACCTAAACGCCTGTAAACGGTTCCGATGCTCATCTACTTCAAATGGCTGTCATAGTTCAAACCTTACTGCTCCCCACTCAGCCTTCTAACACTTAACTGTGTTCCACTCACCTCCTCCCCAGGCGATTGGGATCCCACTCACCCTCCATCTCCCCACGTGATCTACGACGAACAGCCACCATCGGCCCCGTCCTCGCGGTCCGCGTCCACGTTTGAAGAGCCGCCCGTGCCGGTCACTGGAGACTCCGCGGCGAGGGCTCAGACGCGGGACCAGGCAGAACTCCAGGACGCGGCGCCTGGGAGGAAAGGCGCTGCCCATCAGCCTCTCCTCCAGAAAAACGCGAGCAAGAGGGACCCGCCTGCCAGCCACGGCGACAAGAACCTCTTACAAGTGGAAAACGGCGTCTCCCAGCGGGGTAGGTCCGCCAGCCCTAGAAAGTCCGCCAGTCGCTACGCGGAGGACCATCTAGAAACGCTTCCCGGTCCTCTCAAAAGTGACCCCAAAAGAGGGCCCCGGGACCGGTCCTCCAGCCCCGGGAGAGGGGAGAGTAAAAGCGGGCCCAGCAGAGGGCGCTCTTCAAGCCCCAAGAAGCAGCCGCGGGCCGAGGGCAGCGGAGACCGCCCAGGGGCGCCCGCCCAGCCCCAGCCGGCCTCGGCCTTGGACGGGGCCGGGCGCGAGGCGAAGCGGGGTCCGCCTGGGAAAGCCAGAGCGCGCTCTCCAGAGAAAAGCAGCAAGAGGCCGGAGGAGAAGTCGCTCCCGTCCAGGAAGACTCCTCTGGTTGCCAGCCAGGCAGCTGGGAGTGAGAGAGGAAGGCGAGCCCCCTTCGGAGAAGCGTCGGGAAAGAAGCCGGAGCCGGAGCCGGAGGCCGACAGCGGCCGGCGGGCGCCCATCACACCGGGCCCCTGGAAGGTGCCCAGTGCCAGCAAGGCCTCGGGCCCGACTGCGGTGGCCGAGAGACGGCTGTGACGGTCGTGTAAGCATTTCCCCCAAAAGTCGTTCTTCCGGAAACCCTCACGCCTGAGAACATTTTGACTTCGCCGGTCGCCGGGGCCCCGTGAAGGGCCCTGGTTCGCTGAGCCGCCGGCCCGGGCGCCTGCCTCGCCCTCGCGCTGTCCCAGCAGACGGCGTCCGGGACGTTAACTGGCCACAGCTCACTGTAGGTCTGTGCCAAGCTCTCAGAAATGGCTGCCCGCGTCCGTTTCCTCCTCCTCGCGAGGATTCCCACGGCCGTGACGCCGAGGGTGGCCTGGAAGCCACGTTCTCATCGCATGTTGCATGTTTACAGAGGCCCCTCGAGTCCCCGCAGGAAGGGGACCTCGCTCGCGGCTGCAGGTGGCGGTGCCTCTTCCGACAGCTCCCGCTGGCGTCCCCGCTCAGAACGGCGACGGTCACTGTCCCCGCCGCAGAGAAACGCAGGTAGTCGGAGACGGACCCCGGTTTTCTGTTTCGGTGCCGCTGGGGAAGGTGGTCCAAGGAACTTAAAGGTATTACTTACCACTGCCCGTGCCACGGAGCCCGCACTGAAGCCAGGCAGCGTCCTCCTCCCGGCCCCCCAGCCGCATCGTGGCCGCTCCTGGGGAACGCCGTGTGCTCCTGGCCGGAGAAGAACTAGCAGGCTCCGGTTTCTGGCCGTTTTGGTGGCACCTGCTGAGTCATTGGTGGTTAATTCATATTTGAAGCGTCACAATCAGAGCCCGTCTCTGCCATGCCAGCAGCTTCAGAGGCTGTGACCTCAGCCCCCTCGCAGCTGAGGACATGCAGGGGACAGGCCTCCCTCGCTCCACGGACTCCGTCTAAAGACGAGAAAAAGACAAGAAAGGGAGCCCACACCTCCGGTCGCCTGTGCGGACCCGCGGTCTCAGAACCACAGGAGAGGCGTGTTTGCAGCCCCTGGAGCAGCGGGCAGTAGCAGCTAGAAATCGAGGAACTTCTCAGAACAAAACCCTGCGGGGTGTCTGGACACACTGCCTGTCTCTCCGGTTCCTCTGGTTGTTGTGAAAGGTCGTGTCCAGGCCCCTCCCTCTCGGCGTCCGGCTGTGACGCTCCCTCCTGGGATGAGGGACTCAGCCCTGTCCCGACCCCCCTCCCGGGACCCCGGAGCAGCGCAGAACGAGGCTTGGTTACGCTCAGAGTTAGCGCCACAGACACGATTTACTTCCCCCGTCGCCCACAATCAGTGATAACCCTCCTATTTCTGTTAACTGTGACATGACTTGGATGTCATGTGTTGTCAGTCTGTGGCTGTTTCCTAAGTAACCTGTCACTGTATTGATTCTATTCTGACTTAGCAATGTGGCCTTGGAATGCTAAGCAAATATGGATGTACTGGTTGTAAATGTTTATATACTGTACAGTACCTTTATATATACACCTGAGGTTCTGATTAGAGAAAGATCTGTAAATGGCTCGCTATTTTTTATATAGATATTAAAAAAATCAAAAACCAACACGTGGTCTGAGTCCTCAAATAGATTTAGTCCCTCCAGGTAACACACACAGCCCTGCCATCAAGACGATGACTTAAACATATATGTTTACCTCTAAACCTGTTTTATACCTTTTATTGTGAAGAAAATAGCTTTGCATAAGTAACTTACTGCCACCCAAAATCCTTTCTTATACGTACTGGAAACGCACTACCAGCCTTTTCTCACGGGGACAGCGTAAGCCCAGTTACCACAAGGTCACAAAAGCTATTTTCATCAGACTATGTGGTTTCACATCTTAAAGAGTAACTTTAAGAGTATTTACTACAGGTTACACTTACTTTTAGAATGAAGCGTTCTGACTTGATTTTGTTTAATTCTTGGTATGAATAGGCCTCAAACCTATTTCCAGACATGGTTAATTAAATCTTCTTAAAGGGAAAATGAGTTCCTACCATCGCATGAACCCAGCACTGAGAGCAAGGCCCAGGCCCACAGTGGAGGTGGGACACAGCGGAGGATGCAGGAAGTGGCAGCGAGTCGTTTTCTTGTTATTTGGGTGGATATTATTTTCTTACTGATCACAAAGACAGTTCTGGGTGCTGTTATGTAGTCTCACTAGGAAGAGCAGACCAAGCTCCTATAACAGTGATGGCGAACCTATGACACGCGTGCCAGAGGTGACACGCGAACTCATTTTTTTGGTTGATTTTTCTTTGTTAAATGGCATTTAAATATATAAAATAAATATCAAAAATATAAGTCTTTGTTTTACTATGGTTGCAGATATCAAAAAATTTCTCTATGTGACACGGCACCAGAGTTAAGTTAGGGTTTTTCAAAATGCTGGCACGCCGAGCTCAAAAGGTCGCCATCACTGTCCTATAACGTTATCTGTTCTAACCTAGCGGTGCCACTGCAGTCAACTCTCTCAGAGGCCCTGGACGCAGAGAAGCACTTGGCTGTTTATTTCTACGGAGACGCTTGGTTATTTCTTTTTTAACAGTGAGGCAGTCGCCTGTAGAAAAGGCCAAGTGCCCCTACACACATGGCTACGTGAATTTCATGTGTCACAGGTCCCACATGCAAAGGGACTAGGTGGACAGAAGCCAGGGTATTCGGTTTAGCTGAATTGTGACGGTCTGACCTCCCCAGCGTGTCCAGACCACGGGACACGGTCTAAACACAGACTCCGGCCTCAAAACATGATGCTCAGCCTGAAGAATACAGCAGAGCAGCTTAACCGCGGCGTCTCCGGGCCCAGGCACGGTCTGTGCTTCTGAGCAGTGACAGGTTTATTTACTGAGCAGCTCTCTCCTGCTCATGCTCGTAAGGGTTATCAGCAACACAATGACTTGCAGAAAGCATGCCAGTGATCACGTGAAACCCGTCATCTTTGCTTTCACTGACTCAAAGATACCCACTCCCTTGGACCTCTTTTTGATGCTGCTGTGCAAATGGGGCCATAAGAAAGGAACTCTAGCTTCTAGGGAACGCTGAATCCTGCTCACATAGACACCAAGAGACAAAAAACTGCCACGTGCTTTCACTGAGCCTAACACTTCCCTCCAAGTCAAGCAGAACTCTTAGCAAACACACAAAGCAAGAGGCCTACTTTGCCCCTGATAAACCACCACTGCTACCTTGAGTGATGTCTTCTTACAGCTGCAGGCCCCGGACATGCGCAGGGAAGGGGTGGAAGTTCTTGTGAAATTCAGACGTCGCCATTCCCGGTGGGCACCAGTAACTGCGAAAGGCAAAGGGTTCCTTTAAATGACTAAACGGGCCAGTGCGTGTGTAGAGGAGATTAGGTTTAATACATTTTCTCGATAATCCCAAGTCATACATTACGTTTCAAAGTGAGACCCATTCGGTCCATTATGAGTATGTAGATCTAAAAAATGTCAAGAACGAATTTCATTCATTTGAAAGGAGGTTAATTTTACAGTCCACTTACCTCTAAATGCAATGAACCAAAACTAAAAGCATAATCCATCAGCTTATACTTTGGGAGAGAAACTGAAATTGAGAATTCTCTTGTGTCTCTGAAAGTCAAGAAAACCAATCCCCCACCAGGCCAGTCTCTGGTTATTCACCTTTTCAAAGTGATTCGTTTAGATTTCCACGGGCCACAACGTACATGTTCAGGGAGTCGGAGGTTGTACCTCCAGAGCAATCAGGGGGATACCTTTTCCCAATACAACAAATGACAAAATTAAGTGAACCTCCTGTGGTGATTACTATTCCAATTAAATGTACGAATAGTTCTGTCTTTACGTTTTGATTTCTCAGTGACATGAATGTCAGAGTATGTGATATCACTGCTTTTGGGGATCACAGCAAAAGCCCAAGTTCCTAGAAATCGTTATACAGATAACAAAGCACTGAGGGTGAGCGAGTCCTGAAGTGACACTCTCCCATCCCAACAGGAGAAACAACTGCCAGAGTGGTAAATTACTCGAGGTCTGTTTGTCATTCATTCTACAGCTTTCTATCGAGTACCTATGATGGGGTCAGGTACTTACTGTCCTGCGTTCTGGGCACCTAGAGGTGAACAAAAATAGCGCCTGCCTGGAGGGGCTCAGCCCGTGGAAGGTCGAACAAGGAGGCAAAACAGAAACAGGGTCATCAGACTGGGAGAAGCACCGGGAAATGGACCTTCACCAGGGCCATCAGAGACGGCCCCACGGAGGACCCGGCAGCCGACAGGCCATCCCCGGGTGGGCCTAGAAAAACACATTCGAGAAGTCACATGGTGCAGTGGGGGACCCGGGAGGTAAGGGGCTGAGAAGGTGACCTGGAGAGGGGAGCAGGCGTGATAGTGCATGGCTTGGCGGCCGCCACAGGAAGCCAGGAAGGGTTCCAGGAGGAGGAGGTCATCAGAGTCTCCATAGTTTTAAGTTCACTCGTGTGGCTGTGGAGACGGACTGGGAGGCAGGAATGGAAGGGCCGTGGTCAGCATCGTGGTCCCGGTGGAAGTGCGAGGCCTCACCCGGAGCCGTGGAGTGTAGAACCGACAGGACGTGGCGGTGGGTTAGACGTGGAGGAAAAGGAGAGGCGTCGAAAATAAACCCGGAGCCTTTGGCTTGAACAACTAGGAAAACTTTGTTCCACTTACTAAGTGAGAAAAACATTTATTCTTCCACTTGCCACATCCCCCCATCACAGTGCTAGTGCCCCATAGCCAAGGTGAGTCACAGGGGACAGCCACCACCCGGGGTACACACAGCACCTTCCTTAACCAAAGTGACGCCCATGCCACTGTGAGCCCAGAGGCCCAAATAGTGCAGGTGAGAAAAATAAAATTGTGCTATACCGCCACCTGCTGGACAACAGAAGAAACCACACCACCTGTCAGCCTGCTGAATTGTATGTTCACAGCAGCACAATTTACAACAGCTAAGACTTGGAAATGGCCTAGGTGCCGCCCATCAGCAGATGAGTGGATAAAAACACCATGGTACCTTTACACAATGCAATGCTACACAAAAAAGGTAACAAAAAAGGAAGAACTCTTACCATTTGCAACAACATGGATGGACCTGGAGAGCATTATACTGAGTGAAATACGACAGTCAGAGAAAGATAAGCATCACATGATCTCACTCATATATGGAATCTAATGAACCAAATAAACTGATGATCAAAAATAAAAATAGACCCAGAGCCCTAGCTGGTTTGGCTCAATGGATAGAGCGTCAGCCTGCAGACTGAAGGGTCCTGGGTTTGATTCCGGTCAGGGGCACATGCCTGGGTTGAGGGCTCGATCCCCAGTCGGGGCGTGCAGGAGGCAGCCGATCAATGTTTCTCTCTCATCATTGATGTTTCTCTCTCTCTCCCTCTGCCTTCCTCTCTGAAATCAATAAAAAATAAAAATATTTAATAAAAAAAGATAGACACAGAGTCACAGAAGCATGAACAGACTGTTGAACCTCAGAGGGAAGGCAGGGGAGAGAAGATGGATGGGAAGAGATCAAACAATGAACTTGTATGCTTATATGCATATGTAAATACATAGACACAGACAATGGGGTGGTGAGGGCCTGGGGAGGGGGGAACGGGAGTGGAAGAGGCTAATGGGGGGAGGGGAAGGAGGACATATGTAATACTTTTAACAATAAAGATTTTAAAAAATACTAAAATTTAATTTTCCTTCTAAAAAAACTCCCACAAAACCACTATCTAAAGAAAAGAGCTCACCATCTCCAGTGCACAGGCAGAGAAACAATCCGTCAAATACCACTAACAAAGGAGAATGAAGTCTCCAGAACCAAACTCAACCAAGTTCAATGTCATGGAAGACTGTGGCAATGACAGAGTATAAGACTGCAGTCACGAAGCAGCTCAATGAGATACATAAAAGATATAAAAAACAATCCAACTTCTATAGATGAAAATACACTGAGTCGGATTAACAGCAAATTAGTGCAGAAGAAGAGACTAGTGAACTTGAAGATACAGAATAGAAACAATCCAAAATTAACAACAGAGAAAGACTGCAACCATGTATAGAATGTCAGCAAGCTGCCGGACAACTTCAAGCGGCCTCACATACATGTTACATACACAGAGACCAGAGGTGGGGGTGGAAGTGGGTATTAAAAACATCCAAACGTTTTCCAAATCTGTAACTCACAGATCCAATCCAGTAAGTGCAACAAACTTCAAGCACACAAAAAAAGGAAAACACCAGTATACATTATAAATTGTACAAATTCAATGATAAAAACCTGAAGAGCAGCCAAAACATGTTAAAGATATATGTAGGAATGACAGCAGCCTTCCTGTCAGAAACAATGCCATTCAGGAAGCAGGACAGCAAAATCGTCTTTAAAACCAGAATTTTATACCCAGCAAAAATATGCGTTTCAATGTAAAGATTCAAAAGTCCTTCTCAACAGGGAGGGCCTGTACACCTTGTTAAAAGTAGCAGCAAGCCATTACTGGATTCTAAATTATTAGACTTGCTTTTCAGAAAAGAGACATTCACTTTTTGAGAGCAGATTGGGCTTGGGGGACAGGGGCGCCCTGCAAATGTAAGCGCAGAAACTTGTTTAAAAAAAAAAATGCCGCGTTAAACTAGGGTGGCAGAGTGGGGTTACAAAAGAATGGATGGATTATAAAAATATCTACAAGATAATTATTCAGAGACTTGGTGATTGGATGCGAGGTATGTAGAATAAGGAGTTAAGAATGATTCCCAAGTTGCTGATATGAGCAACTATATACTTATGTGCAGGGTGGAGCAAAAGTAGGTTTATAGTTTCGAACACGTGAAACAATTTGTTCTTAACATTAATATTTCTTATTGTATGTTTTCAACATGAACAACTGTGAACCAACTTTGGCCCCACCCTATAGAATTTTTACCGCCTGAAAAATAATTTAAACCAACTTATACACCATCAAAATCGTAACAGAAACTGCATACGAGTAAACTATTCTAATACTGCTTTTAAAATAAGAATCCACAGTCTCAGGAGAAATTACAAATTTAAAAAAACGAAAAGCACTGCATCGTTTGTGGGAGAAAGAAGGCACCGGTCTTTGCTGAAATCTGCACTGAGCTCAGCCTTGGATGTGAGACAACTGCTACTGTTCCTCAGGGAACTAGGAAAAGCGGGACTTCTCTAGCCACCCGTGGCGACACTCGTGCCTTTCAGAACAGTTCCTCCTGAAGGTGAGTCGCTAAGGGGGTTCCCCCTCTACAAATGTAAGTAACTCATGCCCCATTGGGATGGCGTACTTTTGTCACCACGTTCAGTTCAGCAACCTTCTTCCTATGTTTCTGTTTTCACAGGAACCTATCAGCAAACATGTTGAAAAGGGTTTTAAGTATCGATAGCAGCTGTTTATTGTGGATTTACTAAGTGCTCAGTACTCTAACCTGTGCTCAGTACCTTACAAGATAACCTCATTGACAACCCTACAAGGGAGGTATCAGCCCACCTAAAGGGCAAGGAAACTGATACACAGAGAGGTGAAGGAACTTGCCCAGCTCATGAAGCTAATACGTGGCAGAACCAAGGGTTATGAACCCGGAAGTGTCTCACCCCAACCCCTGGTCTCTTGAGAAATTCATCTTTAAGCCTCAGACACCTTCCTGCACATTAGGGTACGTGGAACCCTGACGGTGCGCGCGTGCAGGCTGGCCTCGGAGATACTGCAGGCTCGGTTCCAGGAAAAGCAGGTCAGGATCTTTTTGCTGCTGGAGGGCCTTGCCTTCTATTTGTAAAAAAACAAAAACAAGCACCATCTATGAAGCACAATAAAGCAAAGTACAATGAAACGAGGTATGCCTATACAGACTTCACATATAATAACTGAATTTTCTAACCTTTAAAAATTCACAAAATCTTATTACAGTGTTCAGGTTTTCAATTTGCCTCAATAGATGCTTCAAAACAGGTAACTCAATGACTAAGAACTACGTGTAGCCTGCCAGAGTTTTCACTACCTGTGCATACGGCCGTGTGTGTCACCGGGGATACTGGTAGAGAATCTAAGTCGTCAGAGGCATCGTTTGGCTGAGGATAGACACCGAGGACCTTGAACCAAGGGCTGGATCCGTTAAACTGCACAACAGATAAGCCATGACTGCTTCCCTTCGAACTGCGACGGCAATCAGCCCAGACGATCGATACGGAGGCCGTGTGTGCTGGACGTGATGAGCACGCACACACGTAAATCTCTCCATGGCATGTCATACGCATGACTCGTTCACCAACAACTGTACGCTACCAAATTAACCTCAAATTTATAAACAAATTAAAAACGTGTCCACAGTTTAACAGAAACTCAGTTTAAAAAGTTAATTTTTTCCTTCAATGACAACAAAAAGAAGCCTAGAAACTGACATTCTCCAATAAAGTTCTTTTATTTGAGTTCAACCTAAAATAGTTGGATCTCTCTGCCGGAGAAATGACATCTCCAATTCTGTTCACGTACTAGGAAGGGCTGAATTTGCCATTTCCAATAAAGCATGTTGGCGTCACGCTCCGGGTCCCCGCCATAGTTACCCAGGAGATCATTTCCGGGAAACGTCCAGAACACACGCCCTGAGTTGGAGCGCGGCCCTGGTGCTCCCGGACAGTCTGCAGGGTCCTTGCTGTCCGGCTGCCGGAGCCCCCGAGAGCAGGTTCCGAGCGCGCACGCCGTCTGGACCCGCCTCGTGCAGCGCGGGCGGTGGGCATCTCACGGCTCCTCCGTCGTCTCTTTCCTTAGTGGGTACGTGTCGCCAGCAAGGGGAGCGCGTCCAGGCGCCTGGCTCAGCTTAGGACTTAATTTTCCACAGCTAAGAAAGGAAAGTCACCAAATAAGTTGGTGTTAGGACAAACAGGTGGGGGTTAGAACGCTTACGTGGCTGAGAACCAAGGACCCTTTAACAAGAAGAAAACTGGCCGTTGCAGCCACAGGCCACCGTAGAGAGAAGTGCGAAAAGTGTCCAGGATGGAGAAAGCACCTGTGGTTCCCGGTTCTGGGTGTCACTCATTCTGACTGGACGTGGCCTTCGACCAGAGAGACCCCGCTCAGCCCAGACTATGAATCTGACATGAGATTCAAGCTCCATATTGTGTGCAGTCCAAGAGCACAGGATACTGTGCTTCTGTGAAAGGAGGAAACCTAAGCTGAGAAGCCTGTGGGCCCCCCGTCAAAATGGCTACTTCTTTACTTCGAGAGTTATTTTGCCCTGGCCAGTTGCTCAGTGGTTAGAGCATCGGCTCGTGGACCAAAGGGTCATGGGTTCAATTCCCCGTTAAGAGCACAAACCCGGTCCCCGGCCGGGGTCAGGGCACATGTTGTAGGCAACCAACTGATGTGTCTCTCACATCGATGTTTCTCTCTCTCTCCACCCTCCCTTCCACTCCCCCTGAAAAATCAATGGAAAAATATCCTTGGGTGAGGATTAAAAAAAAAGTTATTTTCATGCCAGACACACACACACACACACACACAGAAGAACAAAGGTAATTATTACATATAGTTTTTAAGACCAAGGCGGATGCTACGGAGTGGCAGTCCTTACTCGAATATTAAATCCTAGGAGATCACTTATAACGCCCGAGACGGCAGACAGGATGACGACGCGTGTGATGTTGAAGATTAAGGGATTCATCGTCAGGCCGTAGAGGCGGAAGGGGGTGTCCAGCTCCTACAAAACCACAAAGAACCGAGATGAGCCACGTGGCTTCTCGGTGTCGGTGACCCGGGCTGATGTGAAGTCTTAGGTGAGGGCGACTGCTTACGGCCGTCTCCCCTTGACCTTCAGTAGCTGTAATAGGAGGTGCCGGGGGCCAAAGGGGAGAACAGAGGGGACGTCTGCAATGCCTGCCACAATAAAGGGGAAAGGAAGAAACAGCTGTAACAGGGCCCACCCTTTCCCATTCGCTAAGTCTGTTAGGCTGGGTCCCAGCAGCAGGTCATTGGTTATTTTTTTAAACGTGATGTAAGAGATGTGACGGACGCCCACAGTCGCCAGCACCCCGTAGCGACGGGAACCTTTTCCTGTACAGCCATCAGCGTGAACTATCGAGTTGGCATTTGAGTCTCCTCGGCCGGCACCGGCCTGTTCCCGGGGTCGTCTCCGAGAAGTAAAGCGAAGGCTTGATTTAACTGGTAGTGAAAGTGTCACAGGGCCCTACTCACCTTCAACAACTTGGTGGACAGTTTTAATACGTTGTTTACTAGAGTAAGCTGTTCCTTCTTGGTTGGTTTTTTTTCCATCTTAAGATATAAATTAATCTAAGGAAAGGAACAGAGATTACGGTAAATGTCATAGAAAAAATACAAATACTGAATTACATCTGGCAGATTGTAAGGGTCATATTCCCAAGCAAAATAAGTTTTGAAATTCCAGCAGCTATTTCTACGGAGCACATCTGTCATGGACCCTAGCTCCCATCCCTGATCAGACATGTTTGGCAAAAAGAAACTATTTAGTAAAGAAGAAAATGCTAAAGCAATTTAATACCAATACAATGAAAACTTTCATTATTTTTTCCCTTGTAGGACAAATTCTTCATTATAATTCTAAGGCAAAAAATAAATAAAAACAAAGAACTAATGATACCAAATACTTTCATTTAAAACTTATGGATAAACAAGAGATAAGGAAGGCCACTTCATAATACTAAAGGGATCAATACAACAAGAAGATATAATCCTGGTAAACATATATGCACCCAATGCAGGAGCACCCAAATTCATAAAAAAACTCCTGGAAGATATCAAAGGAGACATCGACAACAATACAATCATAGTAAGGGACTTTAATACACCACTGACAGCACTGGATAAGTCCTCTAGACAAATAATCAGCAAAGATACAGCAATCCTAAATGACTCACTAGATCAGATGGACTTAATAGACATCTTCAGAACACTTCACCCGAAAGCCAGGGAATATACATTCTACTCAAATGCTCATAGGACATATTCAAAAATAGACCATATATTGGGACACAAGCAAAGTATCCCCAAATTCAAGAAAATTGAAATCATAAAAAGCGTCTTCGCAGACCACGATGGCATAATATTAGAAATAAACTACAATAAAAACAACCCAAAATACTCAAACACCTGGAAGCTGAATAGCATGCTATTAAATATTGATTGGGTTACCAATGAAATCAAAGAAGAAATTCGAAACATCCTGGAAACTAATGACAATGAAAACACAACAATCCAAAACCTATGGGACACAATGAAAGCAGTCCTGAGAGGGAAGTTTATAGCTCTACAGGCCTATCTCAACAAACAAGAAAAAATGGTAGTAAATCATCCAACTCTACAACTCAAAGAATTAGAAAGAGAGCAACAAGAAAACCCCAGAGTGAGCAGAAGGAAGGAGATAATAACGATTAGAGCAGAAATAAATGACATAGAGACCAAAAAAACAATACAGAAAATCAATGAAACCAAGAGCTGGTTCTTTGAAAGGATAAACAAGATTGACAAACCTCTAGCCAGACTCACCAAGAAGCAAAGAGAGAGGACCCAAATAAACAAAATCAGAAACGATAGAGGCGAAATAACAACAGACCCCACAGAAATACAAATGATTGTTAAAAAATACTATGGACAGCTCTACTCCAACAAACTAGACAACCTGGAGGAAATGGACAAATTCCTAGAAAAATACAACATTCCAAAACTCAATCAGGAAGAATCTAAAAATCTCAACAGGCCAATAACTATGGAAGAAATTGAAGCAGTCATCAAAAAGCTTCCAGCAAACAAAAGCCCAGGACCAGACGGCTTCACAGGGGAGTTTTACCAAACATTCAAGGAAGAACTAAAACCTATCCTCCTCAGACTACTACAAAAAATTCAAGAGGAAGGAACACTTCCAAGCTCATTCTATGAAGCCAGCATCACCCTAATACCAAAACCAGGTAAAGACAACACAATGAAAGAGAATTACAGGCCAATATCCCTCATGAACATAGATGCCAAAATCCTCAACAAAATCTTAGCAAATCGGATCCAGCAGTACATCAGAAAGATCATACACCATGACCAAGTAGGATTTATCTCAGGGATGCAAGGATGGTACAATATCCGCAAATCAATAAACGTGATACATCACATAAAAAAAATAAAAAAATAAAAAAAATAAATAAAACTTATGGATAAGCATAAAATTATTTTACATGTTACATACTACCCTGTATTTATAAGAATCACTTCTCAATCGCAATAGCTACTCACATACTAACAAGCAAGTATTTTCCAAACACTGAACGTATCCCATGGCTGATACAGAAGAAATTCAAGAAGTTTATTAAACACTAGAGGCCTGATGCACAAAATTCATGCACTCGGCAGAGGGGCAGTGTGCAGGGGGGGTGTCCCTCAGCCCGGCCTGCGCCCTCTCACAGTCCAGGACCCCTCGGGGGATGTCCAATTGACGGCTCAGGCCCACCTGAGCAGCACTCCCCTGTGGGAGCGCACTGACCATCAGGGGACATCTCCTGTGTTGAGTGTCTGCCCCTTGGTGGTCAGTGTGTGTCATAGCGACCGGTTGTTCCACTGTTTGGTCGATTTGCACATTACCCTTTTATTATATAGGATACTTAAATGACAAATACTCCTAAAATCTAATACTTGATGTAGAATATGAGATTAACAGTATGCTCCAGTCCCACCAATAAGAAAACCTTTATAGTATACAAAGTATTTTCAATCCATTAGGTCTTAATTCTTATAACAATTCCTGGAGCAGGTGGGGAAGATACTGTCCTCATTTTATAAGGAGACAATCACACAGGGACAAAGGTCATGTGGCTAGAAAGTGACAGGCTGAATGCCACCCCGAATCTTCTGCACGAATCTTACGGTGCCATCTCTAACCACTGGGCAAGCCGGCAGGGACAGCAGTACCTGTTCAGTAAGCAGTATGGAGACATTGCTGTATTTCTTATTGGTTTCAGACCCCAGTGAGGCCAGGCGCAGTAAGAAAAGCAGTAAAGCTGTTTCCCAGATCAAAAACTCCCAATTATAAGCGTCATTCAGGAAAGTTTTATGTCCTTGGAGAACCTATACGAAGGACCAAAAAAAGTAAACTTTTTCATTTGTCTTAAAATTTATAATTGCTTCTCTATGCCAGCTACTTAAAAATGTTTACAAGAGAGCAATATCTTAACACCCAGAAGAGACTTAACTCATAAAATATTATCTATGTAATTAGTCAATATGTGTTTCTCCATGTTTACTAGACTTCTTCCTTTGCATGAAAGACAGCAAGGGTCCGGAAGTAACAAAGGGGGAAACATAAGTAAAATAAAACCAAGGCATGCCCAGCCTCTAACCACCGTGTGCCCACTCACAATGATACGGTGACCATTTCCAAAGCCCTAATTTGCCTGTGACTGGTAGCGCTCCCTGAAACGCGTGGCCCATCCCACCAGGACGACTAGAAAATCCTAAGGATCCGTTCTTCTCTCCATTTTAAAATCTGAACAGCAGCAGCGGCAGCTACCAGTTATCCAATACCTGTTATGTGTCAAGTTTTCTGGTAAAAGTTTTTGGTGTGTGTTTTTTTTCTTCAATTTTTTGTTGTTGTTGATTCCAAAGTAAAGACACTCATGCAAGCCCAAGGTAAAGTGGAATTTATTGAGAAATATACAGAGAGAGAGAATGCTCAGAGACCACATGCAGGCTTTTAAAGAACAAAGTCACCACCACAGCAGCCCCCTCCCCAGGGCCACTCCGGCTCCCCTCCCCCCACTTCCCCTCCCCTCTCCTCCTCCCCTCTCCCCTCTCTCCTCTCCTTCCTCCCCCCTCCCCCTTCCTCCCTCTCCCCCTCCCCTCTCCCCTTCTCTTAGCGAATTCCACTGCCTTCCAAGACCATTGTTGACTTTGCCACCATCATGGTGCGATGATTTTATCTTCACTCAAAAATTATCAACTAAACAAAACAAAATGACCAACTAAAATTAAATCAGAGTGATCCTGGAGTCCTAAAGGACCTTTACTCTCATGACAAAAGTTGGGAAAATTAGTAAGTATTCAAAAGAGCAAAAGCAATGTAGACACATTATATATAGACACTTAAATGCAGCGAAGTGTCCAAAACAGAGATGAAACGCTCACCTGGGCACAACAAATGAAAGCAATCGAAAGTGTCAGTAAGAAGACCGAAGAGACAACCACGTCCACGGATCGCTGCGGGCCCCGCCTCTGTGGAGAGACGCGGGTTCATTGCCAGGTCACCAACAGAGACGGCCGCAGCGTGAATTTCACTGCGTTCATGTCTGTCTTGTTTTGTTTCCTTTTTCTTTGGTCTTTCTGCATTAATGTTAAAACATACATTCATAAGAAGTTCCTGACATGGGATTCTAGCGCCTTCAGCTGTAATTAAGCACTGAAACCCAGGCTGTTCCACATTAAGGGCCTGAGTGATTCACTGACATATTTCCAGCTGAGATATTTGCCCCAAAGTCAGAAAAAGATGCAATATCTAATGTACCGCTCTGCCCTGGGAACTCACATTTTCTTTTTCCTTCCTAAGCTCTTATTCACATACACGGGCCTGGAGAGGTATCACCTCCAACCTGGTCCCAGCGAGTCTCCTGGCCACCGACACCATCAGAACGACCAGCCCCGAACTTCCCTGCCCGCGGCTGTCCCTGCAGGAATGTCGGCGCCTCCATGGCCCCTGCCCTGCCCCTCGAAGGAGACTCACCTTCAGGAAGGAGCGCAGCGAGAGCCAGATCTTGATGTTCTCCACCTTCTTCAGTCGGAAGTGAGGTATTTCGTATTTCCTAGCTTTCCTGGCGGAAGTAATATGGCTGAAGAGTTTTGCAAACAGAAATCTCTAGAGGAGGCGGAAAGAAATCACAAAGGGAAGTGGGCACGTGCGCCTGCGCGTTTGTCTGACTGTAAGCGATAGTCCCGGCGTATAAAAATGGCCAAAAGGATTACACTCGAGTCACCGATCACTGGGCCGGGCAGTGGCGAACCGTTACCCGTTCCTCCTCCTGCTGCTCCCAGAGCGCAGAGAGGGCCCCATGCTTCTCGGCGAGACCCGCTCCTCACGTTTGCATGGACTTTTGTTGGAGGCTTTGGGAGTCCCAGCTTCAAAACAAACGTTTACACAGAAGTCTGGCTTCCTCCCAAATTACACGTCCATTCAAAGCCCCGTTTTTTGCACATGCCACTGATGTATTAAGTCCTCAACCCCTAACTCTTATCAAATTTCAATCATTTTAATTCCCACTCGGGTATTTTTCACAGAATCCTTTTGCTGTGAGAACTACTCCATGTGCTACGGGTGCAAACCAGCAAAGGCACCCTGAGATGCAGGCCCCAAGCAGTCAGCGGGGCTCGCGCCCTGGCTCAGCCTCCTACTCCCCGCCCCCCCCCAATCTCTCCCCCCCAGCGTTAAACTCGCAAGTACCAGAAGCCCGCTGCTCCACCCTTCACTGCCCACGTTAACTTTCGGAGAAAGAACAAACCAGGAGAACAGAACTAACCCCAGAAGCGTCAGACATAAACGCAGAGGTGAGCAACTGTATTCCCACCAACCTGTTTATACGTCCTCTCCGCCACACACATCATGAAAAAAAAGATCCACGTGAGACACAGCCGTTCAACAAAGTTAATCACGGACAAAACAACAACAGGGGTAACAGGCGGAGCCCCACAAAACAGAGTCAAGAGCTCCTCGGCCGAGACGGACTTGAGCTGGTCCAGGCCCTTGGCGTGGAACAGGCGATACAGGAAAGGGAAGAAGGCCAGCCCCACGGTGACGGCGTTGCCCAGCATCTGGTAGCCCACGCCCTGCTGATACGCGTTGACCTGGGAATTAATTCAAAATGCCCGGCATTACCACATACTGAACGCAGTTAGGCAGCAGTATTTGTCAAATACTACTTAGGTGATTAAAGACTTAACCTTTACATCTAAAAGAAGTAAAAATAAAAACGATGTCGGGATTTATGTCTTTTATATCTTACTGCAAATCAGGCTCACAGGAGCTAAGGAACATGTGTAGGAAATACCTGAACAACGGGTCGTGCTCAGAGACCTTTGTAACACGACAAAAGTATTACCACCTAAAGACTCTGACTGCAAAATTAAAAATGCGTATGTCTGTGTCTCGGAAACTGCTCGATCACTGACCAGTTCTGTGAAACTGCTGCTGGTCACGAAATAGATTTTTGGGGGGGAAAAAAAAATCCAAAAAGTCACGACGAAGAGCTCACCCTGCTCATGATGATGCCGCTGATCTCCAGCACAGACATGTCCATCTTCTTGCACTCGTTTCCCTCCCAGATTATGGCACTGACTCGGTCAGAGGCGGGACTTGAGTTCTGAAGCCAGAACAAGTGGTTCTGAGAAGAAAAACAGCTGTTTCTATCCACGCTTTCTCTCCTCCATCAGCATGTCCCCCGCGTCCAGCTCCCAGGCGACCTCGGCCACGGCCAGCCTCCTCCTCCTACCGTCTCCCTCACAAAGCTCATCACCCCAATGGCCACCTCCAAGATGCTGAGTTCTGGCCCCTTTTTCTTTGCTAAGCCTTTTTTTTTTTTTTTTAACCTGGAGAGAAGCTGAACGTCTTCTACAGCAACCAGACCACGATCTCCAAGGTTGCTTCCCTCTCTAAACGCGTGGACGTGAGGACAAGCTTGGAGTACTCATCGGACAGCGAGGAAAGCTGTTCCAGAGTAACACCGCTCTCCTGGGAAGCAGGCAGTTAGCTAGGAGAGGCGCGAGGCCGCGGGTATCACGTGAGTCACTGAGCAAGAAGCCTTTCTCCAGTCTAACCAGGACACAAAAGCACAGGAACCCTCAGAAGAGACGGTCGCTATGACAGCAGCCCCTCCTGGGCCAGGTTCTGCCTGTGCTTCTGGCAGCGAGCAGCTCGGGTCCCATCTCGCCAGCATGGTCCTCTCTGGTCCCCACAGGCCTCCGGTGGCCGTCCCTGAAACTAAGGCCTTACAGTCTACGTCAGACAGGTCAGCATCTAATCACAGGCTGCATTTCCAGTGTCCTGGACTTATTCACCGAATCGTAATCTTATCCCAAACTGGACTATAACTTTCCAATCGAGGATCCTATGGTGCATGCTCTCCCTACCCAATGCTTAGCATGTTGATGAGCACGTACTGATTTGGCAAAAAAAAAATTATCAGGCGCCTACTATGTGACATGCACTATGGATACAACGTAAACAAGACAGATGTGGTCCTTGACATGAGCAAGGAAGGAGTGGCCAGAGGTGAGACTGTATCAAAACCAATAAAGGAACAGAATCGAATAATCCAGAAGGGGAGAAGCCAGGGACGTTAAAGGGCTGACATCAGATCTGACACATGACTCGGGCTGCAGCGTGGAAAATGCAGTGCAGGGGCCGCTGTGGGGAGCCACTGTGAGGACCAGCTGGGAGCCGATGATGGTGGGCACTGAGCAGTGGGCGGGGGGAGGGGGCCCAGGAGGACAGACAGATGCTCAACAGCAGGATCGAGAGCCAGTGAGGACCCTGAGAAACACGGGGAGGAGGAGAGGGCATGAATGCCCACAGCTTCTGCCTGGGGGGCTAGTGGTGGCCTTCAGAAACATGGGGACCGAAAGCTGCTGAGGTGTGGGGACTGGGGCATGGTGAATCCCATTTGACATGTGAGTTTACCTTACCTAGTTATCTATCTACTAGAGGCCTGGTGCACGAAATCCATGCACGGGTAGGGTCCCTAGGCCTGGCCGGCAATCAGGGCCAATCCGGGCCTTCTGGCCGGGGCCTCCCTTCATTCCGTGCTGCCCCCTGGTGGTCAGTGCACATCATAGCAAGCGATTGAACTCTAGGTCTCCCAGTCGAACTCCCGAGGGGACACTTTGCATAGAGATATGTAAAAGCCTAATATACAAAGTGTCCTCTGGGGAGTTTGACCAACTGGGAGTTCAATCACTCGCTGTGATGTGCGCTGACCACCAGGGGGCAGCGCAGAATGAAGGCAGGCCCCGGCTGGCAGCCGGCAGCCGCTAGGGATCCTACCTGTGCATGAATTTTGTGCACTGGGCCTCTAGTTCTTACATATGCCTTAAAATTATACTGTGAGTCCAAAGAGTCCAAAGGAAGTCAAAATCATCATGCTAGGCTCCATTTCCTCATCTCTAAATTAGGGATAATAAAAGCATCTCCTAATAGGATTATAAAGTGAAACGAGACCACACGGTGCTGGCACAGGGGAAGCACACAGTACATCCAGCTCCTGTTGCCATCGCCTGTACAGACCTGCTGAAACACATCCTCTTTGGGGTCACGTTTGGTCCCCGAGTGCAGGGTGGGCGCTGTCCCCTCACTGTCGCTGGTGACGGAGGACCTGCACTCCGGGCCGTGCAGCAGGTCGTCCCACAACATGTCCTCGGTCTCCGAGTCGTGGCGGGTGCTCTCGGAGTCTCTTCTCGACATATGGAGGCTGCGAGAGCCGCCACTCATGCCAGATCGAGAGCACTTTAAAGGAAGACAAAGGAATGTCTCACTCTATTTTTGAAGCTGTCACACATCTGAAGTAACAGGAACAAGTTATGGTGACGGCTGGCAAGCTTTCCCACGTCAACCACAAGGCTTCACCTCACATGATGGAGATGCTCTGCCCCTGTTCACAACATTCCCATGGACCACAGGCCCTTAGCTTTCATGAGGGGACCGTCCACTCCCACCTCTCAGGGGTCCTTTCCCAACAGCCTGTCCTCATCAGATGTAACCTCCCCTTTTCAGGTGAATATTAAGCAAGCTTCTTGTTACCTGGGCATCACCTATGACCGTAAGACTAGGTCACAATGGGGCGGTGAGTAAAGGGTGGCAGGGGACAAATATATGGCGACGGAAGACGATCTGACTTTGGGTGGTGAGCGCTCCATGCAGTAAATACACAGATTATGTGTCATAGGAACGCACGCCAGAAACCTATATAACCTTACTAACTAATGCAGCCCCAATAAATCTCATTAGAAAACAGTAAAAAAAATACACAAAAAAGATTAGGTCAAATGAAAAGAGTTCATTCTCTTTCTGGGTGAGAAGCTGTTAGGTGGACAGAGCTGGAGGCAGGGGAGGGGCAGGCAACTATAAACACCACTTTGGAACAACCACCCGAAAAGGGATGAGAAAGTCCCTGCGCTTGGACAGTGCTCTCTCCAGGGGACCCATTACCTGGCTGAAGGCTGCCGATTCGAACTCGGACTCGGCCAGACTGTCGGAATCCCGCATAAAGTGACACCACTTGGTGGTGGTTTTCGTTACCTGCCAAATATCAAGCCAGCGGGCGACAGGACACGTGTTAGCACGGTGTGACTATGCGATGACTTACAGGTTAACGCCTAGACTCACATCAACGACAACAAAGGCCACCTGAGAGCTGATGTGCCTCGGGAGCATCGACTTCCTGCTCCTGACGTCGCAGCCGTTGTCGCTCGAGGCCCCCTCCACGCTCCGGCGCAGGATCATCATCTGGTTCCGGGCCTCCCCGTCTTCCTCACTCGACAGGTCGTCGGACACGCCGTTCCCCACGCGCCGGAAAGCCTCCTGCGGAGAGAGCAGTTCCTCCGGGGCCGGCACGCCAGCAGCTGCACGTGCGCACACCACGCAGCACCACCCAGGACGCAGCGCCAGGCAACTCCACACAACCCACGACCCTACAGCGCTCACCGCAAGACAGCAAAATGCTGAACTTGAAACTAAACGGCCTAGGCCACGAGGCTACGGGGCGGTGAGAAGCACGGGCAAGAGTCGCACCAGGTCTGCGCCCCAGCCCGGCCACCTCAGGCCAGTTCCTGTGTGTCTGGGGCTCGGTTTCCGCCTGAAAAGCAATGGCAGTCAAAGTGCCCGTGTCACAGGCCTGTTGAAAAAATGGCCTGAGTGACTCCAGGCAAAGGCCTAGAAGAGTGCCCGGTTGTAGGAACGACTCAAAAATATTCGCTACTTTTGTGATTTCGTACTGTCACAGTTTAACAAGTGAGAACAACTTTTTGAGATAAAGCAGCAGTCCGTCTCCGACTCAGAGCAGAACACCTCTCCCCAAACCTAGAACGCAGGCTCCCACGCCTCACCACGGCTCACGCCTCTCCCCGAACCCGGCGATGACATCCCCAGCCCCGCTGCCAGGCTGGTCCGCAGCAGGTGCATCACAACTCTAGTCCCAGAAACGGGAAGAATAAGCTACAGCAGCGGTTCTCAACCTGTGGGTCGCGATCCCTCTGGGGGTCGAACGACCCTTTCACAGGGGTCGCCTAAGACCATCGGAAAACACATATATAATTACATATTGTTTTTGTGATTAATCACCATGCTTTAATTATGTTCAATTTGTAACAATGAAATTGGGGGTCACCACAACATGAGGAACTGTATTAAAGGGTCACGGCATTAGGAAGGTTGAGAACCACTGAGCTGCATACAGTCTTACAGCCTCCCTTTCACGGCCTGTGCGTTTATACGTCGCTTATTTGTTAAGAGAAAGTATACAAGCCCATTAGCACGATTTCCCATCTCTCAGGTGTCAGAAGGGAAACATTTCACACAGAGAGAAAAGATCCTGTGAGAGTGACACCCACAGCTCTTACCCTGCGGCACTGCTCCCCGTCGGAAAACTTCGCCTTCTCTGCTGCGGGCCACGTTTTAACCTCGGGCCGAGCCTGTCGCTTCTTAATGATGGGACGCAGGTAGCCGGTGTCCTTGTTGGTTTCAGTCTCTTTGTTGCATGTTAATTTTCCTCGTTTTGTCCTATTTTTTAACAAAGAAAAAAGATGACTGATGAGCATCCTGAAATTAGCATCTTCCATGAAACCCAGTAAATCCGATTTCACTCTGAAAATCTAGAACATTCAGAAACCATCCTGTTTAGACTTCTCGCTTGCTGAGGTGGAGGCAGACAATGATTACCCCTCCCCCCCGCCCTGTCTCTAAAGCCTCGGTCAGTTCCTTGAGAGGAGGCCTGTGCTGCCAGTTTTACCAGGAAGCAGGTGCCGTCCTCCCCACGTTCCCTCAAACACAAACGGCCCCTCCCTCCCAGCGCCTGACGCGCCGCTTTGTAGAATGTCGGTCCCTCTCCTGTGCCTCAAAGCCCGGCCACGCTCAGCTGCTGCGTGGCTCCTGGGGACTCCCCCCCTCCAGAGTGACCCTCCGTCTGGGGCTGCCTGGCCTGCGGTCAGCATGCGGTCATGTGACATCTGTGCCGTGACCGCCCCCTCCCCCCACTAACTCCACAGTAAGCCACCGGGTGGGGAGGCCAGTGCCCAGCACGATGGTCAGAACTCACACACACCAGCTCAGGCGTGTAAATATCTCTTTGGGGAAATATGTGAACATACTTCATCTTCAAAACGGTCACTAAAGAACTTTATTTTCGAGTCACACTCATTAATATGCGGCCAGTCTTGAGTCCACGCGTGTGGTCACAGCCTGCAGGGCACTGGGAGGGAGGGTGTCTTGGACCCACTTCCCTCCGCCCCACAGCCCCCCACGCCAGCTCCGCCTCCCCTTCCCCAGGCGGCGTCAGCGTGGACACTGAAAACGGCCTCATCTGTTCCAAATCCTTCCTCTCCCTGATGTAGGCTCGCATGGCTTACGACAGTCACCCTTTCGGAGGGTTGTATTTCTGGATCCTGTGGCTGATCATCACCAAAGGCCGAGCAGAAGGGGACACTGTGGTAGGCTACCGGGCTGGCAGGTGACTGGCAGACAGCGGGCACCTGCCAGTAAGCAGTTCATGCAGCCCTCCAACGCCAGCCGCGATGAGAACCGGGTGCTCCAGAGCCCAGCCGGCGTCTACGCCAGTAAACACCGATGTGAAGACAAAGTCACGTAAACATTCCCGCACGAGGCTGCTCACCTGCTGCCAAAGAGAGTCCCCCAAAAGCCACTGGCGAAGGGTCCGGGTTCCACAGTTTCGACTCCTCTGACTTTATCAGAGGAGTTATTTCCATTTTCTCGGCTCCCGTCACCATTCACAGTTTTTCGCAATTTTCTATAAAAAACACAAACATTTCAACACTTCAGATGATTCAAGACCTTTTCTATTTCTGCCCAAAATATCCCATCCAGAAAGTGATCCTAACTGCTGCCACCTGAAATTAAGGGTAATGAACTTCCTATAACGAAGATCAATTAGCAGGGATATTTCTGACTTAAGGGCAAAAAGAGGTGCCAAACAAAGACCTGTGCTATCATCCTGTTCAATCATTAGAGAAATAGAACCGCTATTCAAAAACACTGCAGGAGAACAGCTTTCACCTGCATGACGCCGTCCTCCCGGGCACCCCCAGCAGAAGGCACGATGCCTATAAATTCGGACGTCGGAAATCCACCCATTTGGCGCATTTAATCAGGAGAGCACAAAATAATAGCAACTGGTCACTTGGTACTGCTCTCCCATGCAGTTAACGGATGCGTCCTATAAATACCACCGAGACACAGCACAGCACCCGATTCCCTCAGCAAACATTACATCAACTGACCTGAATTTTCAAGGAATCTTCTTTTTGGGGGAAAAAAATTTATTTTGAAAATAATACTCAAAAAAAGAAAGAAAATTACTAAAAAATAAGAATAAATATGTTGAAATTCACTACATCAAATGGAAATAATCTTATTTAGCACCTGCTTAAGGAAACAAAAATCTACAGGTACCCTGAGGAAAAATAAAAGCACATATGCCTAAGAGACCTTTAACAATTGCAAAGCCCACACATAGCACCCAACCAATCACGACATGAAGGCAACGTGGAGAAAAGTCAAATCAATCTTTACTAGAAGTTCAGAGCACTTAGAAGTCCATTCTTATTATGCACTATTGAGACAAGGTGAAATTTTTAGTAGCAGTAACCCAATTGTATCAAGATCCTTGTTTATAGTGAGTTTTCACCAAATTTTTATTAAGACTGAATTCTGAAGAAGAATGTTTTTTCAAAATCATTATTTGATATATTTTAATAAAGAATAATATGAAAATAGTATAGGAATTTCCTTTTAAGTAACTGTCCTGAATGACAAAGTCCCACCTGTGACTAAAAATTCATGACAAGTCTTCTTAGCAACCGGAAGAAAAATGAAAAGCAAAGCATTCTTTCCTTTTTTAGCCAAAAAATAATAAAAAATACATGCAAATGGAAAGATTTATTACTTTAATCCAAGGTTTTTCAGGATCTACAGTGCCTCTCCCAGAACATACCCGACCACCAGTGCACGTCTCAGCTCACCTTCTTCTCCGACTCCCATTGCTTCCCGACGGCCTTGCGATCTGCGTCGACACGATCTGACAGTGGACGGTTCCCATGAGGAGCATAAGGCACAAGGGTCCGAGCACTTCGCTGACATTCACAATGGGCATCATCAGGAACAACACAAGTGCCATCACTGAAAAGAAGAGGTTTCAGGACGTAAAGCCTCAGGGGTCGTCTTAAACAATTCTAATGAGTCTATAAGTTATTTCTACGAAAAATCTATCATTTTACCAAGGACACCAGTAACAGCACGTGAGTCCCTGCCACACAATCCACCTGCACATTAGCTGAGTGAGAGCCGGAGCCCTTTCTGGCAGTGCGAGCCCAAGAATCAGCGCACGAGTCGATGGTGCAGAACGTGTAGTCCAGACAGAGACCACGGGTTTATGAAACCTAATACACAACTTACCTCAACACAAAAGAAACTCTTCAGTAACGAACACGTGGAAAAACATGGAACTTTCTCTTTACAAGTGACCAAAGAAATGCACATTAAAGGAGCACAATACTATTTTTTAAATAATTATTGCACAATACCATTTTTTGTATATCAAATTAGGTAACAATTTTTTAATTTATAATAATGCTGCTAAGACTATGGTAAAACAAGCACCCTCATCTATTATTTTCCAAAAGAACTGTGTCACCAACAATTTCACTAGACAAGGTGGGGCAAAAGGAGGTTTATAGTTGTTTATATGGAAAAAATAATAAATAATAATGCAAGAATAAACTGTTCCATGTACTCACAACTGTAAACCTGCTTGTGCCTAACTCAGTATGTACTAAAATCCTTAAAATGCTGACACCCTTCGGTCTGTCAATTCTGGTTCAGAGAATAAGTGCTAAAGAAATAACATAAAATATGGAAAACTTTGTTCATGGTGGTATTAAAAGAAAAAAATCAGAAACAACCTAAATGCTCACAATTTGGAAACAGTTATGTAAATTATGGATCTATAAAATTTTATATAATGGATTACTGAGCAACTATAAGAAGGCATATATGGTAAATCCATATGACCGACTATTACAAATACATTAAAATGAGCCCTAGCCAGTTTGGTTCAGTGGATAGAGCATTGGCCTGCAGACCAAAGGGACCCGGGTTTGATTCCGGTCAAGGGCACGTACCTCAGTTGCAGGCTCCTCCCCGGCCCAGGCCCTGGTCAGGGCTAGAGCAGGAGGCAACCAATGGATGTTTCTCTCTGTCTTTCCCTCTCTCTTCACTCTCCCTAAAAATCAACAGAAAAATATCCTCGGGTGAGGATTAACAACAACAACAACAAAGACATTAAAATGAGTGTATGCCCATATAATGGAATATTATACAACCATTAAAATGATAGTTATGAACTTCATCACAGTGAAATAAAATTTAAAACTCAGGTCCTTATTCACACTAACTACACTTCGAGCACCAGTAGCCACATGGCCGGCAGTTGCTGTGCTGGGCACTGTGGGTGCAGAACATTTCCATCGGCACAGAAATCCCACTGGGCAGCACTGTCATGCCTTTAGAAAATGAAACTTACAGGTTTGTAAATTCAGATAGTTTTGTCATTTTTATAACTTAATTCAAAAAAACCAACATAACAAACACAAAAATCCCTCTCAATCCTTTCACCCAACCCGACCACCACTGCTCTGTGTGCTAACCCGTGTCTTTTTGCACAGGGACAACCAGTGTCCACTGCCCTCCTGCAGAAGGCATCCCGGGTCGGCAGTGGCCACAGAGTGCTAAAGAGGACAGCCTGGTCCCTGCACAGGGTGAGGAGGGCGAAACATCGGGCGGTGCTGTGTAACAGGCAAATGAGAATGGATCCCTGCGGCCGGGACTGGGGGAGGGGGCTGATTAGGAAGCAGAGAGAGGACGGCCTCTCTGTGGAAGTGACAGCTTCCATCTGAGCTGAGAGCTTAAGGACAGAAAAAAGACAGCCCGTGAAAAGCCTGAGGGTTGTTTCGGAGCAAAAGGCTCTGTGTGAGGGACAGAAAAAGGCCATTGCGTGGAGAGTGAGCACGGAGGAGAGCGGTAAGACATGACGTCCAGCGGTCAGCAGGAACAGGTCACGTGGGGCGTGGCGGGCCACGGTGAGGAGCTGGGATTGATTTTATTTTAGAGGCAGTGAGGAATCACTAGACTAGAGGGTTTCCAGCAGGAAAAGGACAGGATATGGTTCCTGTGTTAAAAGATTCCTCCAAGTGCTGTGACGGGAACGGCTGGTAGGAAGAAGACTCAGAGCAGACGGACGCCGGTGCTGGGGACGGCAATGGCTCGAGACAGATAAATAGAGTCAAGATGTGTTTCGGAGGCTGAACTTACAGGCTTGGTCACAGGCTGGATGTGAGAGCTGATGGCAGGGAAGACTAGAAAGTTAATATTTCACTTGAAAACTGAAAACTGGGTGGTTGATGACATCATTTAATGAAATGCAAGTCCTAAAAAGGAACAAGCTAGTACAAAAAAAATAAAAAGTTTTTGGATAAAAAATCTAGAGTTCCATTTTGGATCTGACTAAGTTCAAGACCCCTGTTACATCTCCACGGAAATGTCAGGCCAGCAATGGCATTTGGAGTCTGAAGCTCAGCAGAGGGATGTGAAGGCACACATTTGAGAACCATCAGTGTATCCATTGTATCCATTATATTTAAAGCAACGGGGCTTGAGAATGCCCAGAGGTGAGAGGAGAATGGGGATCCCGCCTGGAGGTGACCCCGCTCAGTGCCAGACCGAGGAAGAGGCGGAGAGGCCTGGCGGTGAGGCGGAGAGGCCTGGCGGTGAGGCAGGTGGGGGAGGCGAGTTAGACCATTGTGTCTGCGCTCTCCGAGCAAATAATTTTAAGATGATCTCCAAACGCTGTACATCCCTACACGTCCCTTCATTTCTTTGCACTTTCAACCACCAAATGAAAGGGTCAATGTAAGCACCGTTAGGTCTGTACCATCTAACAGCAAAAACAGCAAGAAGAAATGGGCATAACTTGTTCCAATTCCTCCAATTACCTTGCATGAGGTAAAGCAGTAGCAGCCAAACAAAGATTTTTAAAGAGGTAACCTGAATCCACCAGTTGCTGAACAACGGGAAAAACACCACTCGAACGAGCCCCTTCCGCGTCAGAGATGTCCACGGAATTTCAGGTTTGGCTTTGGCAAATGTTGAACCTTTAAATGTATAATAAGACAAAACATCAAGCATCTGCATACACTGTACACTGATGCCCACTTGTAACGCTGTATGATAAACAGGTGAGAGCAAAAATCAGCACATAACAAAGTCAGCATATAGCCGAATAAAAAGAATCCTCTTAGACGTAATAACTTCTTGCCTCAATCATGAGGACACACGCTCAAAATGAGTCAGGCTCACCTGAATGTTATACCATGCTGCATATCTGTCTTAATTATAAGTTCAGCTCTCCCTCTTGACTCATGTGGAAAACCATGTAATTTGGGGAGTAGCCACACAGGACTTAAGCAAAGGGGGAGGGGGAATGCTAATGCCTGAACGGTGAGGTGAGATTACTTCGGGAAATTTAAGTACATTCTCACATAGAGACGATAGCTAAAAGTAACCTTTAGTACCGCATGAAGTAACAATACACACGAGAAACCAACCCAATTTCGAACTCACCTCGGATTAAGTCAACGTCAATCAAGTCTGCCTTTATGTGGCCCATCTTTTTTGGTTTGTTTTTGAAGCCCTAGGAGGGAACAGAAACAGGAGTAAAGAAAAGCCCTTTGAAATGCAAAGGTAGACTTACATTTCTTGGTCTCTATCTCTGACTCCCTCTAACTGGAGAGGCTTACTCCTCACGCCCCTTAAAGGAGCTGGTCCTTTCTAGACTTTTCACCTATGTTATCAAATGAAAACGAGCATGGACCAGCGATAAATACCAAACTATGAAAAGCTCCCTTAGCAACAGAAACACATTCGTTCGTTCATTCCATCCACAAATATTCAAGGTGTGTCTCCCACGTGCCAGACACTCCACTGGAGCTGGGGAGACAGCAGTGTCCTCACGGCTCCATCTTCGAAGGCTGTGCCAGCCCCCCCTCACCTGCCCGTTTAAACAAATAATACGAATGGAGTCGCAGCTGCCACTCCAGAGCAGCTGCCTTGCCCGTCTCACTCCTCCAACCTCTGAGACGTTCGGACTGGCAGCAACCTTTGGGCTGGGCCTCAACAACATTGTGCCCTAAAGGAACTGTTTGCAAGGATAACAAGGAAGCAGGTAATGTGACTAGAGGACTGAAAGGAAACAGTTTAGAATTAGCATCACCAATGAGCTGTCTGCACCTGTAGAAACACCGGCCTTCCACTGTGTACTCGTCCCCTTCCCTTTCTCATAAGTGCCCCTGCCTTTGCCTCCTGATTGGGACACTCGTCGGGCTTCTGCCTGAATCCGCGCTTCCCGACTAGCTTTGCTTTTATAAAATCTGAAATAAATGCTTTTGCCTTCCACCTTGGCCTTTCATGTGGTTTTTTTTCCAAATATTTTTATTGATTTCAGAGAGGAAGGGAGAGGGAGGGAGAGATTGAAACATCAATGATGAGAGAGAAATCGCTGATCGGTTGCCTCCTGCACGCCCCTTACTGGGGGTCGAGCCCACTACCCAGGCATGTGCCCTTGACCGGAATCAAACCCGGGACCTTTCAATCCACAGGCCTATGCTCTATCCATTGAGCCAAACCGGCTAGGGCTGGCCTCTCGTTTTTAATACCCCCAGCATAACTCCAACGACTGACCGATGTAGTCCTACCTTTAGCAGAGGGATGAAAGCATGGGGTGACTGCCCTCACGGACTCTATTTAACAGGGAATAAAAGATCAGTGAGCCCTGCCATACAGCTCGACCTCTCAGCGTCTGAAATTGCCACTGCATTGCCATGAAAAGAATCAAACTGCTCTAGAGCCAGGCACAGAAAAGGAAGTCGCCGCTGACTGAGGGCACGCGGTGAACAAGAGGATGGCGGCAAGGCGAGGCCAGCACGAGGAACGCGATCTGACTCAGATTTAAAGTCCCAGGAAGGTTCCCAAAGGAAAAGGTCTAACCTGAGGCCCGGAGGATGGACACGAATTTGCCAGGATGGACATGGGCACGTGTGGCAGCGGGGACTCGAGGAGAGCATAAGAAACGGGACATAGCATGACGCAAGCTGCAGGAACGTCAACAAGCGGAGATACCATCAAGCTGGGAATGTGAGTTTGCCGGGAGGACACTAGGAAGTCAGAGAACAGTTTCAGATACGAGAACGACAGCCGGATTTGTGTGGAAACATGAACAAGATCACAACAAGCCCGCTTCGGTGAGGATGAGGGGCGAGGGGAGACAGAGGCAGAGGAAACTGAAAAAGCTGCCCCAGTCGCCAGATCAGCATCACCAAGTTTTACCTGGAAGGGCAGGCGGATGTCAGGCCCGTGGGCTCCGTGGGCTCCGTGGTCTCGGGCAGCCACTCCCACTCGGCGGCTGCTCATCAAACTGCTCAGACGCAGCCGACACGCAGGGAGCACGCAGAGCCCGCTGTGCTCAGCAGAGGCGGCCAGGCCGGGTCATCGGGAGCATGAACTGGGTAACGTGTTATCTCAGAAGGTATTAGAAGGCAGAATCCAGAAGTTCTGCTCGTTGGAAATGTGGATCGGTGTGAGACGAAGCCACAACGTGAGCCCTCTAGCTCCTCAGTGAACAGGAAAGACAAGAGAAGGGACAGGACCATTCGGCTCTCATGCCACTCACCAAGCCTGAAGTCTGCAGGAAGAATTCTCCTCCCACCTGAAGGACTGCAAGTCACATGACCACACAGCCATCTTCTCACGGGACATTGGGATACCCACCCACCTATCAACATGCATATTTACTTCTATAACTATTAATCTACCTCAAACATATTCCATATGTCTATCTTATTATTCAGGTAATTTCATTCAATATATTTTCCATTTTTGGAGTATTAGTAAATGGAATTCTGATTCTTTATTTCTGTATATGATTTGGCCATATTACCCAAGGCAATATTCAGATACAATTCAATCCCCACCAAAATCCCAGTGTCATTTTTTAAAGAAATAGAATGAGAAATCATCAGATTTGTATGTAACCAACCACAAAAGACCCCGAAAAGCCAAAGCAATCCTGAGAAAAAAGAATGAAACTGGAGGTATCACACTACCTGACTTCAAATTATACTACAGAGCTATGATAATCCAAACAGCCTGGGATTGGCCGAAAAACAGACGCACAGATCAATGGAACAGAATTCAGAGCCCAGAAATAAAGCAACAGGAGTACAGGCAGGTAATTTTTGAGAAAGGAGCCAGAAACACCCAATGGAGAAAAGAAAGCCTCTTCAGTAAGTGGTGCTGGGAAAACTGGAAAGCAACATGTAAAAGAATGAAACTAGATTACAGTTGTCGCCATGCACAAAAATTAATTCAAAATGGACCAAAACCTAAATATAAGATCTGAAATGATAAATTAAATAGAAGAAAACATAGGTACTGCCCTAACCGGTTTGGCTCAGTGGACTGAGCGTCAGCCTGCGGACTCAAGGGTCCCAGGTTCGATCCTGGTCAAGGGCATGTATCTTGGTTGCGGGCACATCCCCAGTAGGGAGTGTGCAGGAGGCAGCTGATCGATGTTTCTAACTCTCTATCCCTCTTCCTCTCCCTTCCTCTCTGTAAAAAAATATATATATATATATTTTTTTAAAAAAGAAAAATTAAGAAACTTTAGGAGACAATTTTCATGGGGAATATGTATGACTTTCTTGTATACAACATTATGATGTATCCTATTTTTTCTATTGATGATTGAAGAAAGTAGCTATGTTGAGGTATAATGTATACACTATAAAATATCCATTTTTTTAATTGTACAGTTTTAGTAATTAATTAGGTAGATTTCTAATAAGTTTATAGAGTTGTACAACCATCAGCACATTCAAGTTTTGGAACATTTTCTTTCACAGCAATTTTTACTCATTAGTATTATTTTATGTTTCTCTCCCAGTTTATTGTAAGCTCCATGAAAATAAAAGTACTGAGTGTTTTTTGCTCATTATTAGTTACACCAAGTACACAGCCTCCTGCCTGACCTATGGTAGGTATGTACTCAACAAATATTGTTAAATGAAGAATTCATAGCGACTGTTTCAGTTTTATATTTGGCATTTCTTCCCCTTCTTTACTTTGACTTACTCTTTTCTTTCTCTGGATTTTTCATATATGAACTTAAATCACTGTACTCTTTCTTCTTGGTCAGTCTAGACTCTAGACATTCTTTTGTTAATATAGACATTTTGATGAATTGACCAACAAAGTAAGACCCAAAGCATGGAGGCATGGAACAGACTAACATACCTCAATATATGGGGGGAGGGGGGATGAAGAGAAACAAAAAAAACTTATATTTATATGCATAGTTCATGGACACATTCAATAAGGTGGTGAAGACCTGGGAAGGTGGGTAGGGGCTAAGGGCTAGGTTGTAAGGGGGGAGGGGAGAAATGGGAGACATCTGTAATACTGTTAACAATAAGTATGTGTGTGTGTATATATATATACATATATATACATATATATACATATATATATATATATATGGCTGCTAAAATATATGCGCACACACATACATTTTGAGTGATATAATTTCATCAAGTATTACTTGGGAAATATTCTGTAGCTTTTATTATATCTATATGACTTCTATCCTTCAAAAGTACAGAGAGGATGTAACCTTTCTCTATTCAAAAGCCATAAAAAATTTTCCATCTTCTACAGAATAATATCTAAAGTTCTCAGTAAAACAAGCGAGTCAGCTTCAAACTGGTTTATATCCTATCATCTCATCTACAAACCTTATCTCTAATCGGACGGGACTTCCTGCTCTTCCCTTTACTTCCATTTGTAAGTACTTTCTCCTGTGCTCATCACCTAGCAGAATGCCTTGAACACAGCAGCTCAACAGTTGTTTGTGGAGGAGTTCATACCACTTTTCATGATTCAAGTTAAGATTTTTTTTAATTTATATCTTTTATAATTTTGAATTATATTTTATTATGTAATTTTTAATTTTATCGTACTGTGATCTGATATTATTCTTTTGTTTTTTATTTCCTTTTTTATTTGTTTTCAAAATATTTATATTTATTTTCAAAATATTTATACTTGTGTAATCTATTTGTTGTTGTTATTAATCCTCACAGGAGGATATTTTGTTCCATTGATTTTTTAGAGTGGAAGGGAGGAAAACAGAGAGGGGGAGAGAGACAGAGGGAGAGTGAGAGAGAAAGGGGGGGGAGAGAGAGAGAGAGAGAGAGAGAGAGAGAGAGGAAAACATCGATGTGAGAGAGGCACATGGATTGGTTGCCTCCTGCATGTGCCCCGACCCTGGGCCGGATTGAACCTGCAACCCAGGCACGTGCCCTTGACTGGGAATCTAACCACTGAGCTACATTTGCCAGGGCTGTGTGTAATCTATTTTTAAATTACATTAAATACTACTTTGTATCCCATATTTTGGTCAATTTTAAACTTCTAAAAAGGCTTTTCTCCTACCACCATTAGACTGTAGAATTCATGAAGGCAAGAGCCATGTCTGTCACAGTGAGTGTACCAGTACCCTTAGCACCTAGGACATGTTGGCACTTGTTTAGCGTTGCCTTTAATTGTATTATTTCCATTGCTACTAAATGAAAAGTCATACATTAAGGAGTTCTTAGATTACCTTATGAGAGAACAATGAATAAAAATATACGTAACAGATGAGGCTCAATTAAATGCAACAACAGACCCTGAGTTCCTACTATGAACCAAGATGTGTTACCAAGTGAGCAGATACAATGCCCACCCTTGAGGCCTATGAAGACGCACAGATCAACAAATAACCTTGATCAGAGAACTAGAAGGAAGGTATGTGCACAATGGCTTGGAAGTAGACGTTGAGGAAATGTTTAAACTGGGTAGGGAAAGGAGGGAGGTAAGGGAATGTAGGAAACAGTTTATTGTCTTCACTATCTGATAAACATAGACAGAGAACCCTCACCCCCCCACCTCCCAACCCCAAGGCTGGGTGCCTTTGAAGCCCTAGCAAAGGTTGGAGCTGGGCGCCACCTCTGTTTGTCCAGACAGTGGTAGCTGAAACTACTCCCCCACTTATTATTATGTAAATCCTTGCTGATGGGCTAGTCTGCCTGTTGCCAGGGGTCACCTGCCTAAGGGCTATGCTATGGGTGCATTCCAGATCAATAAAAGCTTGGTGAGGCCTGAGCACGGGAGGAAGTCCTTCCCGTTGAGTTGGACTTGCCCGCCTGGCCCCCCAATATTTCAAATTATCTCTTGTCTTTTCATATTCATTTGTGCGCGGCTCTGCTTCCAGTTCCTGAACCCTGACCCACGGGGGACGTGGGAAGGAAACACTCAACAAGGGAATTCTACGGTAGTAAGTGAAATCCTTTAAAGGATAAAGAAACCGAACCCCCGACAAAGCATATCGCGTGCGCCAGATGCAGCTAGAGATCACCAAGGAGATAAACGCCCAGTTCCGTGCCCTTTCCCTTGCACCCCGCACACTAGCCATACTTCTTAGCTGCTCACAAAGGAGTCACAGGAGATACTGAAAAGTGGCAAAATGAAACTTGGGAATTTAATCATCCTAACCCCATCTCCCATTAACCTAAAAAAATCAAGGACTGGACAACACTCTGAAGTTAGCCAAGCACCATGTAGTTCAAACAACTTTCTGGTTGATGGGTCTATAACCAGAATGCACCCTAAACCTGTTGATTAAATGTCCTTCACCAGAGACATGCATGTCCCAGGCCAACCAATGCGACGCAGGTAAACAGAACAAACTATTAAACTGTTACACCCACATACACGTATTTTTTTAGAAACATTAGTAGAGGGTCTGTAGCAAATCTTTAGAAAGGTCCAAAACCACGAATCCGCAGCCCTTACTCGGCACTTTCCAAGGAAGTGAGACCCTGACTGCAGGTTTAAGTATTAAAGTCGAGAGAGAGAGAGAGAGAGAGAGAGAGAGAGAGAGAGAGACACAGACATTCTTTAGGGCAGGGCTGGCGTTTAGGCTTTCCCACATTTCAAGACTATCCAGTTCCAGGTGGCACCAAGCCGCCTTCCCATGACTAATCTGTACCATCCTTCCAGCCCCCATCCATGCTGGCCCCACAGCCCTGACTTTGGCACAGTCGAATGTGTAATGCCCCCTCCCCTATTATAAATTAACTAAGAGGCCCGGTGCATGAAATCCGGTGCATGAAAATCCTATGGCCTAAACCAGCAGACATCCCTCTCGCAATCCGGGACCACTGGTTCCTAACCGCTCGCCTGCCTGCCTAATCGCCCCTAACCCTTCTGCCTGCCTGCCTGATCACCTCTAACCCTTCTACCTGCATGCCTGCCTGATCACCCCTAACTTGCTCCCCTGCCGGCCTGATCACCCCTAACTTGCTCCCCTGCTGGCCTGATCACCCCTAACTTGCTCCCCTGCTGGCCTGATCACCCCTAACCACCTCTGCCTCAGCCCCTGACCCAAGCTGGCCTCCCTCTGCAGAAGGAGACCTGGCAGATCAGGGGAAGGCGCCGCCCCCATTACCCCACTGCTGCTGCCACTGCTGGCCTGAGCCTGGGCCCTTCGCAGCTGCCATGGCTGTGGCTTTGTCTGGAAGGACGTCTAGAAGACGTCCGCCCTAATTCGCATATTACCCTTTTATTAGTATCGATAAGCTGGCACTCTGAATCCCACATCAGTGTTGGTTGCTTAGTTAGCATGAAATAACCCCAAGAATTTGCTTGGTTCTAACAGCACTGTAGAAAAAAGTTTACTCGAAACCCGTAATTGAAAAGGTGATTCCGGCCACAGATGGATTTTATTTGGCTTGGAGGGGAAGAGGAAGAGAAGGAGGAGGGGGAGGGAAGGGAAAAAGAGGGGAGGGGAGGCGAGGGAGGGGGCATGGGTCTAGAAAGTCCAGATATCTCATATAAAAATACACATTCCCAGCTTCTCTTGAAAACGCGGAAGCTCTGTCAATAGTGGGCCTATACTGGCACAAAGCAAAGCGGGGCAGAGTGAAAAAGCCACAGCCCCATTGAATACAGGACATTTGTTTTCTGGTTCATCACAGACCAACCACTTCTTTCTCGTCCCCGGTACTGAGGCCAAAAGCCAACCGTCATTTCCCATGCTGCTTGCAGTGTTGTCTGCCTTACAAACTTCAAAGGCTAAAGAAAGCCATACCTGGTGGACCAGTGCAATCCACGCTTCACATTAACACCGCAAAACAAAGCGAGGGTCCGAGAAATCACTTTACCTTAATCTGAGTCTGTTCGATCGACTTCTCCCATATCTGCTGGTCATAGGCTCCAATCTGAAACAGGGAGAGGCTACTGAAATGACGCAAACCTCACAAAGTCGTAAACTACCAAATATCAACATGATATGTGGCAAATGCCTGTGCTGCTCAGACTTTGACTAAATTAAGTATGTGTGATATCTGGAAAACGTTTCCATGTCTTCAGGGAAACTAGAGAGGAATAAAAGGCAAGGGACAGACAGCTCAATAAGATAGCCGGCAGGACACAGACACCAGGGGGGTGAGGGCATGAGCGTGTGTGTGGGGGGGGGGGGCGCAATGGGGAAAAAGGACACATATTTAATACCTTAATCAATAAAGAAAAATAATAAAAAAGAAAAGTTGGCAGGAACCACCCTTGCCGGTTTGGTTCAGTGATTAGAGCATGGGCTTGCAGACTGAAGGGTCTCGGGTTCATTTCCAATCAAGGGCACCTACCTCAGTTGCAGGAGGCACATGCGGAGGCAACCAGTTTATCTCTGGATCTCTCTCTCTCTCTCTCTCTCTCTCTCTCTCTCTCTCTCTCTCTCTCTTATGGGTGTTTCTTTCTCTGTCCCGCCCCTTCCCTTCCATTCGCTCTCTCAAAAAAAAAAAAAAAATCGATGGAACCTGGCTGGTGTGGCTCAGTGGTTGAGTCAACCCTGAACCAGGCGGTCACAGTTGCGCCCCGGCTTGGGGCACACGCCTGGGTTGCGCGCTCGATCCCCAGTAGGGGGCGTGCAGGAGGCAGCCGATGGATGATTCTCATCATTGATGCTTCAATCTCTCTCCCTTCCTCTCCCTGAAATCAATAAACACATTCTTTTTAATCAATGGGAAAAAAATATCCTCAGGTGAGGATCATTTTTAAAAATTGTTGATGGCGTGCAGATAGAAGTTTCGGGTCTCACAAGGAGCGGTTTGATCAGAAGCTGTTTCCAAGTGGTTCTGGGGCGCGATGGTGTCGCCGCAGAAGGAGGCGACCGGGGGTCGTACTGGGGACCTGGAGCAGATACCGTGTCCCCCCGTCTCCCCAGGCCCGTCGGGGCGCGTGCAGGAAGCGGGGGCCTAACGGGAGCTCCTCGGGGCGCCCCGGCAGGAAGGGCGCTTGGCCAGTAGGACGCGCCGACGTTACCTTCTTCTGGTACCACGATATGGCATCGCGCTCGCCGGAGGCCATCTGTCCCCCGGCCGGAGGCGGGGATCTCACTGCAAACGAAGGAAACCCGGGGTGAGCGCAGCGGCGGAAAGGCGCTCATCCCGGCGGGGGCGGAACTCGGACTCCGCGTCGGCCGCTCCGCGCGCTGCCGTCCGCTTCCCTGACTGTTCGCCAGGAAATGTGGTTTTTAAAAAGCAAACCCCAAAGCGTCCGGGCGACGTTTTCCGCGAGTGTGTCCGCGGCTGCTGGGGGGGAACGGGGGAGAGCGGAGGGGAGCGGAGGGGAGTCCCCGGAGCCGCCCTGCCCCCCGCCCTCCCCGGCGCCCGGCTCTCACCTGGTGCCCGCTGCTGGGCAGGCGGGCGGCCGGGACCGTCCTCTTCAGTGGCCCCGGCCGGGCCGTGAGGCTGGGGGCCAGGCGGCGGGCCCCGCAGGCCGCATCTTCCCCCCGAGGCGGCGACGCCGGCGGGGCCGTTACCATGGAGACCGCGGAGGCCGCCTTCCGCCCGGCGCCCGAGAGGACGGTCTGTGGCTACAGACCCGGCGTCCTCCAAGCCCGACGTACGGGGTCAGCGGAGTGACCCGAAAATAAGCAAAGAATGAATGGGGGACGGAGGGGGCGGAGAAAGGCTGGGCTCGCCGCCGCCGGGCCCCACGGCGGTGGCCCAGGCTCGGCGCCCGCTGGAGAGCCAGGTGCCCCGGCCCCGGGCCCGGAGGCAGCCGCCGGGGAGCTCGGGGCGTCCTCGCGGGCGGTGGTGACTCAGCGGCCGGAGCGGGGCGACAGCAGCTCCGCGGACCCCGTGCGGCCGGCGCGGCTTCCGCTTTCCGGGTTTCGCTGCGGAGGTGGCCCCGCCCCCGCCCGGGCGCCCCGCACGCCCCCGCCGCTCCCCCCGCCTCCCCCGGCCGCCTCCCCAGCAGTGACTGTCCCGGGTTCGCTCCCGAGCAGATCGCTGTCGACAGTCGAATGGATCCCCGCTTGTTTCTCGGCGGTTCGTCCTTTATGGTCGGTCTTCCCCGTGGGCGGTGGCTGCACGCCCCGCACGGGCCTGGCGCACCTGTTCGCGATTTTGCTGATGAACCGCGTGGGTTTGCGCTGTGCTGGGCGCGGGGCTGGCAGGCTGCAGCTGTGACTCCCCGTGGGGTGCTCGGGAGTGAGGGATGCGGAGGGCGAGGCTTGCGGGGGACCGGGCTCTTCCCCAAATTACGGGGGAGGGTGGGGGGGTGCGGGGGCGGCCCGCAGGACCGTCTCCAGGGTAAGAATTCCAGGAGGCTGGCCGAGGCAGGACCCAGGCGCAGCTGCTGCTCCCTGACGTGAAGATTTAAGGATTAAGGCTTTCAGCCGCTCCCTCCTCCGTGGAGCTGTGGTTTGTTTTGTGCTTGGCTGTCATTAGGGAAACAGACCCCACCTCGGTGGCAGCGGTGCCCTGGCTTGCCCAGCCTGTGGCATCGGGCAGCTAACGCTCAGCACGTTGGTTAGACGAGCTGCCACTTCAGAAAGCCGAAGACGTGCGGTTCTGAATGCGTTACAAACATTTCTAATCACCCGTGGAAGGTGGAGCTATCCCCGTCTTATCCATGAGGAACAGGGCGTGAGAAGGGAGCGGTGCCTCCAGAGAGAAGGGGAATGACTTCACCAGGCTTCTTTCTACATCGCCTGTTGGCGGGGTTTCCTTTCTGCTTCTGCTGCTTGGCAGCTTTTCCCTTCTAGGCTACAGTAAACATTACAATTCTGTTGGGTCTCAAAGACAAATGGCCAAGTTAAAAAAGAAACACTGGATAAGTGACAAATGAGAAAGTCACTTTTTGTGTGTATCTAAATATTTGAGACAAAAATTACGTTAGTAGCAAACATTTCTCCTTCATTGCTCGGCACTGGATAGAGGCTTTGGGGGAGTTTGTCGAAGAACTGAATCAGGCAGATCACATTGGGGGAGTCCCTGGCGGGTGGATCACATTGGATGGAGGAGTCCCTGGCGGGTGGATCACATTGGGGGAGTCCCTGGCGGTGGATCACATGGGGAGGGTCAGTATGTAGCAGATCATCTTTCAGAAGTATCTACACTCCAGTGCTTCCTAAGGCTGCCACTGAGCCAACATGGCTTTGACCAGAACTGCCTTCAGAGCCCTGCTCCACCAATCAATCTTCCACAATTTGTCAACCTAGCAAGCCTGCTTCCTCACCTGTATTATGGAGATTGTTTTGTTACTTTCCTACAGAAAAGGCTGTGAGAATTAAGAGTGAGATTCCCTCATATTGTCTGGCCCACCGCAGTTACTCAAAACACATGAGTTCCCTTTCTTTTCCTTTACTAATCAGAGTCAAAGTTTGTCAGTGCTTAGGCTGGGTCCAACTAAAAAGTTCACACAAATAAAAACAGAGGGAAAAAATCCACTGTGTTGTCACTTAATACATCAATGACATCTGTTTGCAAAACTACACACCACCTTAACACTGCATGCATGCACTTTCAAAAATAATGACAGCAGCAGCATGAAGATTTAAGATTGTCCTCAAAAGTAGATCTAAACTAGTTGAAGCAGCAGGAGACATAACTGCCTCAATGTCAAGCATGGTTTTTCTTCTTCCACAAAACTAGTTGTATCTCAATATGGATGGGCTTTTCCCCAGACACCTATGACCTTTTCTAAATTATTAGGAAGTGATAGAGGACATGGATGCAGGGGATTAAATACTTTAAAAACAGGTTCCTGGTAGCTAAGAATTCACACATGCTATTCATTTCATCATGAAACATCAGTAAAGGACAAATCAGACTTTGTTTATTAAAAAAATACTTTACAGGAAAAAAAAAAAAAACCTCTATGCATTCCATTGTCCTATTTTACAAAGAAATAGCTTAACAAGTTAACACACTTAGACAGCTACAAAAAAGCACTGTGCTAAAAGATTATTCACACAAATTTAGGTTTAAGACTATTCATTAAAAACCTTTTTAAAACACTTGTTAATGTCAATAAACAAACTAAGGCCACACAACGCAAATAGTCCGCCAGGCAAATTATACATTTCATCTATATGCAAAGACCTTAGATAAATTAAAGCCACAGGAAAAAAAGTCTTAGCTGCCAATCAAAATGGAGTTTAGTCACAAAAAAACACCATTACATGAAAATTTACAACATGTGATAGAAGTAGTACATAAGTATTTCTTTAGCGAGAATTGAAAAGTGCTATATTAAGAGACAGTGGTCTCAACTACATGCACAAGTGGATCCTAAAAAATGTATGAAGAAAATGGAAGGCCATAATATTTATGGAGAGATACTTGCTTTTAAAGCAACAAACTTTAGCATGGGGATAGGTCCCTCCTATGCTAAAGCAAGACACCTCTTGTACATTTCCTCTACTTACTGCATGACCAATAAATACAGCTACAACCTGTTGTTTTAAATAAAACTTAGCAGAAATACTAGTGAAAGGTTCTTTTTTAAAAACCTGTAGCAATGACAAAACAGATTCATTAGAAAGACACCAAGTCAATTATCCTGAAGGCATAAACACCAATTTTTAATGGCAAATACAGATGAAAATATATTATGGGCTAATATTAATGATCAAGAATATATTCACTAAGGGTTTTCTTGAATTTTGGAGTCTTGTTCCTAAATTAGCTTTCATTCTAGACAATATTTATAGAGGGGAAGGCAATAAGCAAAAGTGTGAACTTTATGCCTCTTAAGACTGATGCAAGATGATGCAAGACATCTTTTCCTAACATTTAAAGAATTTTATTAAATAAGCTCCTTTTTCCTACTACAAGAGCTTGTAATATTAATCATCTGATATTCCAACTGTCTCTAAGGGGGAAGGGCACCTTTCAAAAGTCTTTAAAAATAATGAAGTACCAATGAAACAAATTGTTAAGTGCTGAATAAGCAAATTAATAAACGCACAAGCCAGCCTAGGAATTCCTTCTTAAAGAGTTAAAATTCTGAAGGGGGAAACTCATGTAGGTTTTATTGTTATTGCTTTATGAATTTGGAATACCTCTTTGAATCCTAACCCTACTCCTAGCATATCTTGGTGTAATTATAGAATGACTTCTGGGGCAGGGGGAAGACTTTTATCCTTATTCATGAATACCATAAAATCGTTCTAGTTACGACATTAGAAATACTCACATATTGGGTCCTTTCCATAAGCACATTTAAAAATATGTGCTCCACAATAGCGGTCACCAACCGGTGGTCCGTGGACCACTGATGGTCTGTGAGGTCCGAAAGGTTGGCGACCGCTGCTCCATAAAATACTAAAACTTATAGCCACATTCTGCAAGTCATCTCAAAGAGTTGGCACAACAGATAAGATACCAAAAAGGAAGATCAGCTTAAATTTCAGTTACAACTTCACTGCCATCAATACTTTACAAATCAGAAGACGCCAGTTTGCTCCATGCCTCACTCCACCAAACCAAATAATTGAACGAGTTAGAAAAGTTGCAATCATCTGTATCACTAAACTAGGATACGGCTTGGAAAGCAGTAAGAAACTCAAAACGGGCTTTTCTACTGCTCAGTCTTTAAAGCATGCTATTAAAATCTAATGCTCACTCACATGGGACACTCAGTTTCCAGGTTCATTACTAGCTAAATGTTTCTCTCTCCATCCTATTGCAATTCTAACGTACAATGAATTTATTAGTACATGATTTTAAACATTTTTATACTCTTTTAATGTGTTAATATTGGAGGTGAGGGTAGAATGTGTCAAAGGAAAGTGGGGATTTGCTTTTGATTGTAGGTCTTTGCAGATCCGCTGGTTCCTGAGTGATTAAACACAGTGCTGGCTGTCAGGAGACAGACTCCTTGTGTATTAGCAATGACCAGCTCAGATGACAGGTGGCATCTGCTGGATGGCAAGTGGGAGATGGGGAAATCGGATCTTGGAAGACAAGGAAGGAAAATAAAAATGAAAGTTTTTGCTTTAGCAACCTTGTTCTTCATGATTATTTTAAAAAACAAATGTTGCCTGAGAAGAATTTTACTTTGCACAGCCTCGTAAAGCTCTATGAAATTCTTCTGGACAGAAAAACAGAAACAAGAAAGAACCCAAACCCACATACTTTGTGATTAACCCCACCCCCTGATAACAAAAAACATCCTTAAAGGCAGGTCCCTTAAAAACTAGTCTTGATAAACTAGAATTTACCCTAGAATTTATACCCAAGATTTAAAAACACCCCTGCAATAATCACATTACTTTTCATACCATTCTAATTACCTTATTTACAGAGATAACGAAAACCAACATCACTTCCAATTCATAAATGGTTTACATTGAAATGTTTCTCTATTTGTCTTTATCCTTTTTAACAGAGAATACATACATATACATATATATAAGGAATAATACAGATTCTAACTAATCACTGCAGTATTTGCTGATGGTTACTTTTCTATCGGTTTACACAGTGACCTCTATACTTTGCTAATATGCATTTAACTACACAACAATATTGCACAAAGTAATATTTATATAAGATTTAACCTATTTCAGAATATTTTAGAGAAAAATTCATATTTGATATTTCAAAAGATGCAGCTAAGTTTTCATGGTGACAGACATAAAGCAGCATCTTTTTTTGCCTATGTTAATGTAAATATTCCAAATCTCACCCTCCAGGAAAAAAAAAATCTCCAAATTGCACTATAAACAGGTAGATATAAGAATCTGGTCTTAGGTGTGGGGAGTACTCTTCCTTTAATAAACAAAAGGCCTATAATATTATTAACTAAGAGAAAGTAAAATGTGTATCACATTAACGTTCTAAAATAATAGAAAGACTACACTAGCTATATGAACTTGCCTGTGTAAAAAAAATTTAAATACTCAGGCACTAAGCACTGGACTACCTGAAACTCTAGGATGAAGTCGGTGCCATATTCTTTACTGGAAAGTGGCTACACAGAGTCATAGCAAATAAGCTCTGGTATTCACTGTTAAAACTGAACTGAAGGATCTCAACAGTAGGTCTTTATCGTGAAGAGGTTGGTGCCAGGAGACAAGAAGATTTTCCTAAATGTCATGCACAGAATATGGCAGCCTCATCAGAAAGATTGCTATCATTCCCTCAGTTTGATACTCATGATCAGTTTAGGAAGCAAAAGTATCCACACAAAATGTGAGGATGCCAGGAAGCAGAACAGTAGAGTATCAAGTCAACGTTATCTCTTTTACCCAAAATATTTTCCATAGTTACCTTGTATATGAACCATGGATAATGAATGAGCAAGGACTATACATCTTTAGATATTTTTAATTGAAATATCCACTGGGCTTTAAATAACAGACACAAAGAAGACAGTTTGGATCAGAAAGTGCTGTGCTTTCTCTTCTGTTAAACCAGAGAGCCACTGAATTTTCCTTAGAACTACCTGTTCTTTACGGTTGGAACTAAATAACTTACTTGCTTTTGAACAAGATACAAGAACTCTTTCCTGCAACCTATACCGTTTTACTGTAGAAATTGAATCTGTGCCATAAAGACAGAGTACTAAACCATAAATCTGATCTTCTACCATAAAAACAGCAACTATGGCAAGAGACAAGACAAAATTAAGGGAAATGAATAATTTACCAAAAAAGAATCTGTTATTCCAGAGAGTTATTTTGCTTTGAAGAAGAGATTGAATTATTACCTCACACCTTGAAACGGAAAGTAGCAGCAGACCCACTATTACGTACTGTACTAACGGGATAAGATACAACTCTTAACTTTGCATAATCTGTGTAAAAAAGATATGCTTGACATTTGTGGAATGTCATTTCTCTTTTTATAGAATTATAGGCAAGATTTCTCCAATAAAACTTAACTTAAGCCAGTTATAAAACTATAACTTCACATCAAAATTTAAAAAAGTTAAAAAATGTGTTTGAATATGTACATATCACACAGGAGTGCTTGAATGTTCCTGTAGCTTGTGTTGCTGCTCGGAGTCCAGTCTACTTCCCACCTTTAAAACCGGGACAGGCTGTGCCATCTGGTCTTGCTGCAGATTCAGTTCTGAGGAAGGTGGGACGGAAGATGAAGCGGTTGTGAAAAGCTGCATCTCTGCGCATGTTTCTTCAGGTTCCGTTTTTATCCTCACACACTGGGAGTCAACTTCTAATTCTCGCTTTCCAGTTAAATCGCGGTCCATGTTAGAACTGCTTTCTGTGTTCTGAGTGGCTTCCACAACAGGGTGGTACTGTTTGAGCCTTATATGCCAGGCTAGGCTGCACACTGCGGACACCGTTTTGAACTGATGAATGACATTTCTGGGGATGAAGTAGATATCATTGTCGCACAGCTGAATTCTAGCATAACGAATGCCTTCCCGCCTCATTTGGTTTAGTTTGGCTTCATCCACCCACTGCACACACTAAAGAGAAGGGAATGCATAATGATTTAGTCAAATAAAATGCATAATTATTTAGTCAAATAAAATATTATTATTAGCACAGGAAAACAGAGGGGCCAAATGAAAGCTAAGCAATACTAAATGATAACAGCTTTTAATTTCCTGTAATGTCTGACAAACCTTCTTCCTCATGTTTTACTACCTCTCTAGCAACAAAGGACTGGCTAAAGTCAGCATGGGCCTAGGGAACCATTTAAATTAGTATTTCAAAGTGCAGTTAAAATCAATACTCTTTGCCACACAGGAGGGCAACATTTATCCGCTCCTTTAGTCTTTCATCCTTTTGCAGGTGAGGCACCCAGTGCAATGGGGTTAGCAGCTGAGGCTGAAAAGGGCCAGAACTGGCATCTCAAGTTAAAGAGATTCTCAAATATTCTGTTTGGGAAGCCCTGTTTCAATGATTTTTGACACCCTCCACACACAGCCTTAAATAGTAATAAAATTCACTACCCCATGTATCTAACTGTAAGGTAAAATGCTAAATAAAATGGGTAAAGATACTTCTCTCCAATTTCTCACTCAAAGGGTAATAAAAACGCAGGAGTTATTACCTGGGAGACTGGAGGTTCGTGAAGGTCTAACTGAAGTCTCTGTACAACATCAGTGAAATCCTCAGCATGAAAACAAATCACATCTTTGGTTATGCGAGGTTGGTCACTCCTAAGATGGACACAATGAAGTTTTAGGAAAATCATCTCATAATGGAAATAAGGACAAATTTCAGTGTTCCTGTTCCTGGAAATGCTGCTACTAGCACAGAAATAGGTATATAGCTTCCAAGGACAAAGTATACATTTGCTCCTTTAATCAACTTGAACAATAAACAAAACGCTAAAAAAACTGTTTAAAAATAAGAAAATTAGATTAGTTGTTATAAAACTAAAACAACAGTGACTAGAAGCAGAGTGTGAGTCTAACCTGGTTGCATTTGTAATCCTTTCACCACTTTACCCACCATCTCAATGCCACCCTGTGATATCATCATCAACCACACAAAGATCACACCTTCCAGTTTTCAAAGTATTGAAAGGGGGGAAAAACTGAGTAATCTTTCATTTGAAATACTCAGATCAAACTCTATAATAATATTGAAGGCCCTGACATAAATATGAAAAACAAAGTAAAAAAAAAGTTTTTAAATGAGCTGAATTCTATGTTCTGAGCTTTGTTAAAACTGTGCCCCCAAATAAATGTAAAAGGGTGCAACCATTAAGAAACACAGGATGGTGGTTTCTACAAAAATTAAAAATAGAATTACCACATGATACAGCAATTCCACCTCTAGGTGTACACAAAAGACTGAAAGCGGAGACATAGGATATTTGTTCAGAGCAGCCAAACGGTGAAGCAACCCAAGTATATCCACTGATAGCTGAACGTCTGAACAAGCTGTGGCATATACATATAATGGAGTGTTATTCAGCCTTCAAAAGGAAGGAAATTGACTCCTGGTTCAATATGGATGACCCTGGAGGATATTAAGCTAAATAAAAGAAACTCACAAAAGACAACTACTGTATGATCCCACTGATATGAGACATTTAAAGTAGTCAAATTCACAGAAACAGAAAGTCGAATGATGGTTAGCAGGAGCTGAGGGTGAGGAGAAAAGGGAGCTATTGCTGGTGGGCACAGAGTTTCAGTTCTGCAAGATGGAAAAGTTCTGGAGATCTCTTTCACAACAATGCCCATATCCCTAACACTACTGAACTGTACACTTAAAAATGGTTCAGATTTTACTTTTAATTTTGTTATGTGTGTTTTACAATTAAAAAAAGAAAAAAGGTCCCCAACCTTTTAAATTGAGTCTACATTTTCTTAGACAACATTAACCAACTTTGCAGTTGAGTTCCATTAACTTACCATTCACCAAACTGTACAGCTTTCAAAACCCCAACAGCGGCAGTACTCTGCCAGTCAAACCCCTGGCCCACATGATCAGCATGCGCTCTTGTCCTATCTTCAAAGAGGACTTCCCGGGGTTCACTGGTCCGAGGTAGGTACTGGAGATTTTTTATTTCATTCATTGATCTGGAGTTGATTTGGTTGTGAAGTAAAGGGAAGGACAAAAGTATTAATAGTAATTAGGCAAAAAAGTTGACTAAGACACCAAATTTCAAATAAGAGGAGGGCTGAGAGGGTTCAATGACTTTTATCATTAGTATTTAACAAACACACTCTATTGCAATGTTTAATGTGATTACCTTTCCCTCTTGGTATGTCATGATAATATAGAAACTATGTCTTAGGCTCAAATGTAGTGTTTGAATATATAAAATTTACTTGTCTAGTAACAGAAAATAAAATTCAAAGTTCAAGGCTACATGTGGCTTTACTCTGAGTCATTTTTGACTTTCAAAATACCTGTAACTCTCACAACATTCTAGGTGAATATTTTATAACATTGAATGAGAGTAGGCCTTGAAAGCTTGCCACTATGAGAGAAACCCCAGAGGAAAAGATATAGACTTGACAATATATAAACAAAAATTTCCTAAGGGGGGGGACCTGAAACATAAAGAAATCTGAAACTAAAAGAAAAACAACATTAAAAAAAAGTTAATAGTCATAATGTATAGGGAAAATTTACAAGTCAATATACCCCAATAGAAATACGGGTAAAGGAAATTAAAAGGGAATCACAAAAGAAGTACAAACCACTCAAAGAAAAGCAAATTAAAATGACACATATCTATCCAATCAGATCAACAAAGTTAAGAATGTTAGTAGAGGCTATGGGGAAAAATTTATATTCCCATCCATATAGTAAGGTGAGGATTCACAAAAGAACAAAAAACAAACAGAGGAGGCCTCACTCTGATGACTGTGAGCTGAGTGGACCAGACGAAGGGACTGACCACTAGAGACTTAGTTAAGATAGCTCTTCGAATCATCTAGACAAACGATGTTCAAACTGTGTGCAAGCCTCAATCATCTTTATAAGTTGTCAACTAAAACAAGTGCTTTTGCTTATTTGAGAAAAGTGATTGTTTACCGTCGTCTTTTGAAGGGTGACTTTGGCATATCTGCTGTAGGGATCATCTGCTCTCCTGGCCTTACCCACATGATGGGCCCATCATCACTCTGGGACCGACACTGGAGTCGGAGGCTGGAAAGTGTACCCCAGGGCAAAGTCATCTAGAAGTCAGATGAATTAGTCACATAAAAAAATTTTAGACTATTTACAAAATAGATAGTCTTTAGGTAGCCACCCCACCTAAAAGAAAACTCTGGGAAGCTTATTTTGTGTATGTATATGAAGAAATAAATGTATTAGATAGTAATATCTATAAACAAAAGAATACTGAAGTTAAATATTTTATAGCAACCGTTTTTTAAACATTTCTATTCAAAACATTGGGTAAAATTTCATTTTAACAGACAAGATTAGCTTAATACTTTTAAATGAAAAGTATCCACTTACGAATGATCCGAACTTTAATAATATGAATTAACACTCACTTTCAGAAATGGTGATTCTTCTAACATATCAAGGAACTCTGGGAAATAATCACCAACTTCTTCATCTACTGCTCCAACAAGACTTATCTGCCGCATAGGACCTGCTCGGTAGGTGCCACAGCAGTACGTCCTGTTGACCTGAGATAAAACCAAAGAGGGGAAGAAAGGCCTGAAGGTACTCTATAATATATTTAAAGAATCAGAATAGGGCATTGTTTCCAATGTTGCTATTTCGTCTTCATACTAAGAACTCAAAGGTCAGTACCTTGGACAAAGTCAACCGTTACAGAAAAGCACCCACACACACTGACAAATACATTGATATAAGTTCCACACCTGAAATTGCACGGTGCAAGTTAGTCTATGGTCCCAACATCTCAAGGAAATATTGAAGACATTACGATAGACTTAAACTTCTTTGAGAATAATAATTTTGCACTCTGTAAACACTTGAAAGTGATCTTTATTTAGGAAAATTAGTAAATAAACAATAAAATTGGCAGGGCAGACCATGGTCAGATTAATCCTCTGTATTCATTCTGTACTCTCTACCTTGAGAGCCTTCACATCAGGCCATATAGCAGGCTGACTGTTAACCAACCCAATCTTCCATATAAGATCCTCCACCCTAGGCAGGCTCATCCTTTTCTCTATCAAACTTACGCCAATGATTTTTCTCTTGAATCTGTCCTACTTGGATATCCTCTTTAAATGTCACCTGTTTTTGCCTTAATAGAAAGCATAAATGACCATCTAGTATTTCTTATACAATTCTTTACTATTAGTTCTTTAGAAGCATTTTCAGAACCAACCATTTTTTTTTATAGACAATTTAACATCACTGTCATGCATACCCACACACACACACACACAGAAAAGAAGGTCTTAGATCTTGTTCTCAAATAGCAAACATTTATTATTTAATTCCTTATAAATTTTCCCCCCAAGATCACCCTAGGACTAGGTGATCTTTAAGCAGCAACAGCCCAGCCCAGAATTACCTTGCGTATATTTGCACGAGTTACCTTCCATTCGTTTGTATGATCATCATGCTATAAAAAGCCAGGGGAGGCAGACTGGGAAAGAGAATGGTCATGGGATGTAGGAATAAAGGGAGGAAGAGGAAGTAAAACAGCTTTTCTAAGCATTGGTCTAACCTTTCTCAGCCAAGCACCCCAAAATGATTAAAGCAGAGTTAATTTTCAACATCAGTTCTAGAAATATCAGTCTCTCCCATTCCCAATTACCAGACATTTCTCTACCTAAAAAGACTTTCAAACTATACATGATGGCATCTTATGAGAGAAAATTCTAAAGACTTATCACAATTTAAAGTTCATGTAACTCAATACCAATCCTGAAGTACACTGCCTATAGTAATTTTCAATTTACTTGGTCTGCTAGCTTTGAGATTATGCAACTCAACACATTTTTAATCTGAATTAATATTTTTAGATCATAGTACTCCAAGTTTTCCTAATTTAAATACCATTTAATTCAACAGCACTGAACTTGAAGACAACTTAAAATGCAAATACCTAAGATAATTAATAGGTGACATAAAATATCCTTTCCTATTTAAAAAGAGAAAGTAAACCTGAAATGGGGGAATTGTTAAATTTATGTTTGCTGAGGCTAGAAATGAAGTAATCAGCTATTAAACTCTGGTTTAAAAAAAAAAGCAGTGGTAGTAGTAAAGCTGATTAGAGTGTCTATCACATGAGTAAAAATGTTTAAACGCTAATGTTTGTTCTGCATTTAAATAATTAACAGAAAGCTTAGAAGATGGACGGCATTTATTACCAGAAAGTCAGCAGCTACCACCTATGTGGCACTGATGCCAAACAAGAATATTACGAATTATCCCCTAGTTAGTATCTGATCTACCGTTCTTACCTACCATTCTGGATTTTAGTAACAGAACTTCCCGGGCATACAGCTCAACTAGGCTCCTTGGCAGCTAAGCGTGGCCTGTGACGAGGTTCTGGCCAATGAAATGCTAGCATAAGTTACATATGCAATTTCCAGAACATGTCTTAATAAGTAAGCAGCCTGCTCTCCACTTCCTCTTTCTCTCTTTGGAGGGCCAGGTTCAATCATGCATATGACACCAAAGGGAATGGCAGAAGGAAAGCAGAATCCTGGATGACCTCATGGAACACCTTTGGACTTACTATTCAAGAAACTTTTATTTTGTTCTGGCCACTATCTGTGATTTATAGTGGTTTAGCCTGCAACTTGTATCTCGTATACTCTGTACTGAGGAAGGCAATAGTCTATTGCACAGACAACATCTGGATTATCTCCTGCTCTGGACTAAGAAAAAAAGTCTATAACTAGAGCACTCCCAAAACAGAACAATTAAGATAATCAGAATTTCCAAGACAAGAACCTGAGATTCTAATATGTATCTGAAATGAACAACCCCAGATTATTCTTAGGATCTGGCAAGTTTGAGAAGCTTTGGCCTGGAAATCGCACTCAAAAGCAAAGAACAAGTTGAGTTCTACCACCCAAGTGTGTATACTGCCGTGAAGGAAGAAACAAGTGTTAGGATGACTGGAGGAAGGCAAGTAGAGACCAAAGAACAGAAAAACACTAAAGCTGCCATGGGAGCATGGAACATAATGCCAAGCAGGGAAAAGTTAGCCTTTAGTAAAATCTGAAGGCGAAGTGGGGAGGGGAAGATTGTGATATCAAGGAAGAAAATACCTCTAAGAAAATAGTAACTAGCTTTGCACGCATTCAAAAAATTTAATATAATAGCCATAAAAGTTTAAACAAGTATGTGTGAATACTATATATACTGCTGTCAATATATATGTAGTCCTTTAGATTAGACACTCAACTTTAAAAGTTATCCTGTACCAATTGCTAGGAGAGTTAAACATGCTCAATGTGCTCTCAATACATACATCCCTGTTTGTTTGCTTTTTAACCCTCACCTAAAGATATGTTTCTCTTTACTGATTTGAGAGAAAGAAAGAGAGAGAAACATCGATCAGTTGCCTCCTGCATGGTCCCTACTGGGGATGGAACCGCAACCCAGGCATCGAACCAGCGACCTCTCAGTGTGTGGGACGATGCTCAACTAACTGAGCCACACCAGCCAGGGCTACATACACCTTTTAGTAAGTCATTTAAAAACTTAGAAGATATAAGCTTCATTCATAACTGCCAAAAACCTGGAAGCAACTAAGATGTCTTTAGTAAGTAAATGGATACACTGTGATACATCCATATACGGAATATGACTCAGTGCTAAAAAGCAATGAGCTATCATGCCATGGAAAGACATGGAGGAACCTTAAAATGCATTTATTAAGTGAAAGAAGCCAATTTGAAAAGGCTACATACTTCAGGGTGGAGCCAAAGTTTATAATTATTCATACGGAAAATAATATAATAACACAATAAACTCTGTTTCAAATACTCACAACTGTAAGCCTACTTTTGCCCCATCCTTATATGGCATTCTGGAGAGGACAAAACTATGGAGGGAGTGAAAAGACCAGTGGTGGGCAGGGGTGGGGGTGGGGGTGGGGGTGAGGGAAAGGATGAATAGGCAGAGCACAGATGATTTTTAGGGCAGTGAGTCTACTCTGTATGTTACCTGATAGGTACATGTGAGTCAAAACCCACAGAATGTACACCAAGAGTGAATTCTAGTGTAAACTATGGACTTCAGGTGATTATGATGTGTCAACACAGGCTTACCAATTGTAAGGAATGTACCACTCTGGTGGGGGGTGTAGATAATGGGGACGGCTATGCACAGGTGGGGGCTGCGAGTATTTGGGAAAGAGGTCTGTACCTTCCCCTCAGTTTTGCTATGAACCTAAAATTGCTCTAAAAAATAAATTATTAAAAACAAAACACTAACCTAGAAATACACTATGTTGAAAACCCTGTGTGTGGAGTTAGGGAGAATAGTTATTCAACAGAACTCATGTTTCATGAAGAAACCTATTTAAGCCGATGGTTTAAAAAACAAAGAGGGAAAAGCTAGCCAGCAATCTTCCTAACCTTGTGGCCTGTGAATAAAAAGGCATTCCTGGTTTAAAACGTATAGTAACACAGTAGTATGAGTCAAAAGAGTATAAGCTATACTTAGAATGACAGAAAAAAGAACCAAGCATACAATTTTTATGCTGTTTTATTTTATAAAACTTCTTAAAGTATGTTTTCCTTTTCTCTAACACACTGATGTGTAGCCCTTAAGAGTTTCTCCATTACCATCAAGCTCCAAAGCACTCTTCTATTCTTAATTAGTACCACCAATTCACCACAAAATGTTAACTACCCTAATCAATCATGGCCCCTATAAGCCCATTGTGGGCCCTGCCACCACACACAATAAATGAAGAAATAACATTTGTTGATTTTCTCCGGAACAGTAAACATTACCACGTTATAGTAATAAAAGCAACATTTTATAAGAACTTCTAAATAAAGTTAAAGAGCTATGACCCTCAATAAAAGACTTCAATATTATATAAGTTTTGCAGAAATCTTTTTTTTTTAAAGCAGAATTTAAAATACACATTTGCCAGGTAAAGAGAAAAAAAATCCCATTATGGTAGATACACTTTTTAAATTCATTCCCTCTCCCTCCAGCATATACATATACACACTTTCTTTGCCATACATACGCTTCAATTACTTAGTTGCTGTAAGGTGAAAATAGTCTCAGATGGTGATATTTCAAACAACTCCCCATTTAACCTCACTGTATTTTTAGTGTTTTTGTTACTTGTTTGTAATTCATGTACAGAATTTAAGACCTACAGCCTTGTTGGTTTGTGGACCAGCAACATCAGCGTCATCTGGGAGTTTGTTAGAAATGCAGACTATAAAACAATTCCTCTTTGAAGAACAGCCACTCTTTACACTTGGAAAAGGTCACAAACCTTTTCATTGTGATCTTCCTCACCAATGAAACAAAGGCTAGGAAATGACCCCACCCACTCTGAAATCCTGTTAGTCCATAAGGTGACTAGAAGGATATCTGAACTGCTAATCAGTTTATCAGAGGCCACAGGGTTTTTATAAGGAGGGGAGCCAAGTATTGCATACTTATTGCAGAACACTTCAAGGTTTAAAACCATTAAAAATGTTTTTCTAGTGCTAATAGTTGCCCAATATAATTATCTAAGCCAGTGGTTCTCAACCTGTGGGTCGCAACCCTTTTGGGGGGTCGAACAACCCTTTCACAGGGGTTGCCTAAGACCATCGGAAAACACATATATAATTACATATTGTTTTTGTGATTAATCACTATGCTTTAATTATGTTCAATTTGTAACAATGAAAATACATCCTGCACATCAGATATTTACATTACGATTTATAACAGTAGCAAAATTACAGTTATGAAGTAGCAACGAAAATAATTTTATGGTTGGGGGTCACCACAACATGAGGAACTGTGTTAAAGGGTCGCAGCATTAGGAAGGTTGAGAACCACTGATCTAAGCAAAAATAATAAATTATATTATTCCTGAAAATACATGTGCGTGCCTGCGTGTGTGGTGGTGTGTGTGTGTGTGTGTGTGTGTGTGTGTGTGTGTGTGTATTCTTTGGGGGGGTGGTGGTGAAATACATTTATAATTTTTCTCCATTAACTGACCAAAAGATTCCACAAACACTTGAATGCTTTGGTCAAAACAGTTATTTAGCTAATGACTATTTAAAACTAATTAGACTTGAATAATTCTACAGAATTGTAGCCCTTTAAATCAAGAACTCAAACTTTACAAAGTTATCCTTGCATCAACTGCTGAGAGTTAAATAATCAAATTTGAGGATCAGCTTGGCGCTTTAATTGATATTTATCATGAACTTACCTCCTTTGGTGTTAGAATATTTAAGTTTTATAGAATATTCAAAGGAAAAAAAACCCCACCTATATGTGCATCCTAGCTTTACGACTATAATAGTTTAAAAATATAAAAATAGCAAAAGCTACAGGTTTTCTTGCCCCAAACAAATTATATTTTACTTCCTCTGGCTAGTGGAGGTGAGTTCTACAGTAGTGCTTCTCAAACTCTAGTGTGTATGTGTACTACGTGGGTATCTTGTTAAAATGTAGATTAAGATTCAGAAGACCTGGTTAAGGGTCTGAAAGTCTGCATTTCTTGCAAGCTCTCTGTTGATGCCAAATTCATATACTGAGCACACTTTCAATAGCAAGCTTATTTTAAAAAAGCATAACTTACAATATTAAGATGGCTATGGTTTGCAAAGCACTGGTCTTGATAATGTTTCCAATTTAATTCCCAATTGAGCAACCTAACATTTTCCCCACCTTATCTTACTTCATTCCTCGTATGGATATGACACTTAACCACTCCAACATTCATAAAAGCTAGAAAATTTGTCATCTAACTTCCTTCTACCTCTTTGTCTTTATCTCTTCCCGTTCCACACGTGGGTGCAGCACAGGATTCCATTCTTCACTTTCTCTCTTCCATTCTAATGCTGTCCCTGATCACCTATTGGCTAATGGATTCAACTTCTGCATCTCCAGCCTAGACATGTCTCCCAATCATAGATCCATATACTTAACTACCTAGTAGACATGTCTAATCCTAGTCTTCACAGGTACCTCCAACACAAAACACCTCAAACAGAACTCATCAATACCTTCCACCCCCAAAACAGCTTTGTCAACCCTGTATTGACTTGACCAGCACCACCATCAGTCAGTCCATTGTCAAAATCACATCTTAAGACTCTACGTATACTTCTCCCTCACCAAGTGCAAATAATCCCATCTTCTAATTACTGCTCAAATTTCATTTCTTCCTCTCTGGCATCAATATCAGTTTGGACATGAATCATTTGTCTGGTTACCACAGTAACCTAACCAATCTTCTTGCTTCCAATCTCATTTTCCCACTACTGTGTAATCTTTGCAACCATAACTTAAAAGCACGCCCCTCTTAAAATTCACCAATGATCCCCCATTACCTCTAAGAAAAAAACACTATTTTTTTAGCACATATAACGCTCTTCACAATCTTGATTTATGTCTATCTCTCTGGTCTCAACTCTCACCACCCCCTAAGTCAGCATGTATTCTTGCTATATTAAGCTATTCCCAGCTTCCTGAAAGTGCTGCATTCTTTAATATCTGTGTGTTTGCATAGGTAGTATTCTTTTAATGCCCTTCTTAAGCTAAGTACTAATCTTTCAAGACCCCACTCAAGCATTATTACGTGCTTTAAAATGTCTTTTCTAAGCCCTGACTGGTTTGGCTCAGTGGATAAAGCGTCAGCCTGCGGACTGAAGGGTCCCAGGTTCGGTTCCAGTCAAGGGCATGTACCTTGGTTGCTGGCACACCCTATTGATGTTTCTCTCTCATCGATGCTTCTAACTCTCTATCCCTCTCCCTTCCTCTCTGTAAAAAAATGAAAATAAAAATAAAAAATGTCTTTTTAATCACCTCGAGCCTGAGTTAGGTAACACCACAAACTGTGCTCCCTCTGCTATAACTGCTTTCCCTTTGCATACCTCTATGCTCTTGCTTGTCAAACTGCATTATAACCGCTGGTTTATTCATCTTCTCCACTAAACTGAGCTCATCAATTAGTCCTTTTAAGAACAGAACGTGCAGTACATGATAGGTTCTCAATAAATATTTGCTGAGCAAAGTATCTTGAAATATACTCATGAATAATTATTATGGCTACATATTTAAATTATAACCTCTAATAATTGTGTCTTTAAGGTAATAAAAAATTTACTTCACTTATTTTTGGCTCAACAGAACTTGATAAGACTTCACAAAACACAGAAGTCCAAAACACTTAAGGTATTCACGTAATTCCCAACAATCTAAAGGTATTTGTTGAAAATATTAGAATAGCCTCTGAATATTGTGTTAAACTGAGATATTTTCATTTCACTGACTACTGTGTTAGACAAATAAAAGCACTAGTCTCTCGTCCAATGGCTGAAGGAAGGGAGGAGTATGGTAAAATGATGCACATATTGTTCAAGTGGCCTAAGTTTGCAGTTTGCTCCCTGACTTCTACTTACTGGCTACATAACCTTGGATAACAACAAACATCCCCAACCCTCAGTTTCTTTGGTGGAAAACAGAGAAAAAATTGTTTACCTGCCACATGAGTTGTGTTTAAAATATTCAGATATGAATGTGAAAGCATTTCTATAAATCATGAAGTGCTAAATAAATCTGAACTACTGTGTTAGCTTCCATCCCAACATCTGTCAATGATTCCACCGCTGCAAATCTAAAGTTTCTTAGGCTATACCGACTTCCACACCCACCTCATCCTTCTCCTCAATGACTCAATATTCAGAAATAAAATGAAGTTCCCTCACCAAGGATCATCAGAGCTTGACAATTACTCAATAGTCCTCAATATTCTCATGTGGTTAAAGTATTTAATGACATCAAATTTTTAAATAATCTGATATGTTCTTAGAAAGTGGTTATTTTATAAATATGAAAGTAAATCTCAAGGTAAGTTGTTGGTACAGTCATTGAAATCTCAGCTCCATTGAAAAAAATCAATTGGAAGACAAAAATCAGCAGGGAATATTTAGAGATATCGGCTCTAAATATCTTGATCCACTAAAACTAACTAATATTAAAAAGTCATCATCACAAAACCAAAACTCCCCACCGTCCCAAGTTGCTGGCTTACTTCTCAGATATGCTTGCTGGTCTATCAATCAGAAGAGAAAATGTGCTGCAGCTTTCTAAACTAAAAAAGTGAAAGAGCGTATTAATTCTGCTCTCAGCAAGATCTTTGTTAAATAAGGACTTATGGGGACCATGGACTACATTAGGAGAACCGTTTTCAGTCCCTTTTGCAATATTGATAAAAATAGGATTCCTTAGGTTTTCAGGGGCTATACTCACTCCTTTGAAAAAAAAAAGGAAAAAGAAAAAACAAACTCTACTACAAAAGTCAGCACTTCGGTACCTGATTGTGGTAACAAGGCCAAAATCCAAGACGAAGCCCTTTATTGCACATCGTGTTCCAACATCTTGGGCAGCCCCATCTTGCGACCTCTCCAGATTGGCTGCTCCTGCTCTCTCTACTGCAGAGAGAACTTCAATTAGAGAAACTGTGAAGCTCATAAATCTAAACTGGATACTCCCCTCATTGGAGGCAAGGATGGTAAGAAGCACTAAAAAGATTCAAGTTAGAGGAGATTTCATATCTAAGTGGCTTGAAACCACTCTAATGCAGACAGCCGAGAGTCTTATGACACAAGAGACTATTTACCTACAAAAAAAAAACACCTCTTAAGAATGGCAGCAAATTATCAGATAACCTGAAAAAAACAGGTTATATCATTATAACTCTCTAAGAGTGTCACATTCTCCATGAAACTGTGTAGAATTTGTATCTATACCACAAACTTACAGCTGACCATCCACGTTCACAACCCTTATGAGAAAAGCAAGAAAAAAATCTAGAACATATTATCAACTGCAGTTTATGCCCTAAGATAACTTCAATGAAAAAAAAATGTTTCGTTTAAAACCACTGGATAGGAAAGAGAGTTTCCCTGCTGACTTAAGCCTGGCTGCCCAAGCAAGGCTTCAGAAAATGTCTTCACCCACAGCAGTGCGTAGGCAGAAGGAGCGGCAGCTATGGCGGTCTTCCCAGTGACACTTCCAAGTCACATAGAGAAGGGATGTTTCTGGGATAGACTGCCAACAAGTTACTGAAAGAAAAGCAAAAACCTGGCAAATAAATAGGTCAATGCCCTCGGATGTTTTATGATGACACAAAAGATGAAGTTTACTAGAGTTACCTTGAGGCTACCAGTTCTAAATCACACCGCCCATGCTAACATTGCCTAATCTGCAAAAGAATGCATTAGTTTTCAAGCTGGTTTTCCATAAAGACGTGTAATCATGTGTAACAGTTTATGTATAAAGCATTTCTTAGACCAAGCAAGTCATATGCCACATCCCAAAGAACTTCAGCAATCAAGATTTTTCAATTAGAGAAATAAACAATTTGAACCACATTTACCACCAGGAGTTTTTATTAAAAGCGTGCTGGTATGTGCTGAGCAACAAAATAAGGGTTAGCATGTACTGTAACTGTACTTACTAAATAATGTAACAATGAGTTCGCCTTACCTGAGTGTGGAAATTTGAAATGGTGGTCGTTTCGATATCTTTCTTGCCCAGAATTTCCATTTTCACTGGAGTGTTGGGGAAATTGAAAGCAAAATAGTCCAAGAAGTCCGGGAGATAAGCAGCCGCCCCGTGCACTATTGCTAAAGCATAGTAAGCGGCATTTTTCTCATTTTCACTGAATGTCAAAGCAAGAAACTCCTCAGAAAATCTCTCCATCTCCATTGGAGACAAAAATGAGAGTTCATCCATGTACGCATGAAGGATCAGAGCACCGCCATTGGACTGGTGCTCCTCATGGATAAAGTTGCTAAACTTAGTACCTGTTTTTAAGAAATTTCTACGAATAGAATGCTCCTGGTGGGTCATGAAAGGTGTTTGTACTCCCTGGGGCACCCGATATTCGTGCATGCCCAAGTTTAACCGGCACAGCTGTTCATCTCTCAGATACCTGCAGGACTCCTTGTTAACTCCCGACGTGCTATTTGCTTGTCCTTGGGTGAGGACTTCCTTACTGATGCGCGTCAGGCCGGCACAGACAGTTTGTACTTCCTTATTGTACATTTTAAGGCGTCTTCCTCGCATGTCTTCTCGGTGTTTCTTTTTCTTTTTCTTCTTTATTTTCTTCAAAACAAAATCATCAGCTCTCTGGGTTTTGCCATTTTCATCTGGTGTTTCTGGCCACAATAATTAAAAAGAAGTCAGTTGCTAGGTCTAGTGTCAACATACAAACTTCTTACGGTACTTTATATCAAATTAACTAACCTATTCTTAGTTTCTATGAATTTGTCATTATTACAGCTTACATGTTTATAAAATGAGACAAAAATCTTAAAATACAATAATATTCTGGTTTGAGGATTATGCTAAAGAGTAGATAATGCAAAGGTCAGCATATAACTTAATATAACCTGCAATCAAAAAACAAAAGGAAAGAGAGAAGTTATTGATTTCACATATGCTATGCAGTATGGTAACCACTGTAAGATCTACATTGGAGCTCGTCGTATTTTGCTATCAGTTACACATTACTATGATACATATAGGTGAATCACACAAAGGCAAATTAAGCTGGAAGACACCATTTTGCCTACAAAATCGGCAAAAACTTTTTTTTTTTTTTTTTGCATTCTCATGTACTGTTGCTGAAAGTATAAGCTAGTACAACTTTGATGAAGGGCAATTTGGTACTCTCCAAAATTAATATGTGCCAAAAGCCTTGAAAATATTTCTAATTTTCAGACCCAAAAATTCCAATCCCAAGTAAAAATTACCTAAGAAAATAACTGAAGACACATAAAGACATCTGTGAGCGCACTAGAGGCCCCATGCACGACATTCGTGCAAGAGTAGGCCTTCCTTCCCCCAGCGGCCAGCACAGGCTTCCCTCTGGCACCCGGGACCCGGGCTTCCCTTGCAGCCCCGGCTTCGTCCAGAAGGTCATCCGGAAGGATGTCCAGTCTAATTAGCATATTACGCTTTTATTATTATAGATTATTTAGGAAATCCCCCAATTGTCTATTAATAAGATACTGATTAAACTCTGGTACTTACATATGATAAAATACTACCCAGCCATTGTAAATTATATTACAGATGAAAAGAACTGACAAATTACAAGGTTACAAAATGCCTACATTGTCACTCTTCCAGAAAGCCTTCTCTTAGTAACTCCTACTGTATGTTTCCTATTACTGTACTTCTCATCACAGTACTTACCACATTCAGTGCTATTACTTATTTAATTTTCCACCTTTCCTCTAAATTGTAAGCAATCTACTCTTTCCAGAGCAGCTAACATATGCATAAATTTTATCCCATTTTTATAATATTAAACATTCATCATTCAGGCATTTATTTATTTAGTACCTATTATGTACCGAGGACACTTCTGGGCACTAGGAATGTGGTGTTAACTAAGAAACACATGATCCCTACTCTCTTGGATCATACAATCTAGTTGTACAAGAAAAAGGAAGTTATCAGTAGGTTACTCTAGATCAGTGATGGCGAACCTGTGACACACATGTCAGGTGACACGCGAACTCATTCTTTTGGTTGATTTTTCTTTGTTAAATGGCATTTAAATATATAAAATAAATATCAAAAATATAAGTCTTTGTTTTACTATGGTTGCAAATATCAAAAAAATTTCTCTATGTGACACGGCACCAGAGTTAAGTTAGGGTTTTTCAAAATGCTGACACGCCAAGCTCGAAAGGTTCGCCATCACTGCTCTCGATGCTGGGGAAGCTCTCTTTGGGAGATGACATTTAGACTAAGTCCTAACTAGAAGAGAAGACAAGCATGTTTTTGAGAGAAAAATATTCCAGGGAGAAGCGAAGTACCCAAAGAGAGGAAATATTCTGACTTATCTATAGGTATTTTGTATATGTACAACACAGAAAATATCTGGAGAAATATATACCAAAGTGTTAATGGTAGTTATCTAGGCTGGTAGGATCATAAATGTCTAGCTTTCTTCTTTTTTACTTACATGTATTTTCCAACTTTCTACAAAAACATATATTATTTTCATAATTAAAAAATGTATTTTTAATTTTAAGGGATCGTCATGGATTGGCAAATCCAAAATAGAATGGCATCTTTTATTTACTAGTTGGAAAATATATCTAGCAAGAATTCTTTAGGATTAAGTATCAGGTATTGTCCTGACCCACCTTCAAGCAGTTGTGGTATGTACTGTGTAGATTTTATCCAGCCAACTATAGTATTTCTATCACAATACAACTAATTCAGTGCTAAGATAGCTACGCCCACTAATCCTATCACTATATGTGGGAAGAACAGGCTCAATAAACTTTACAGTAAAAAATTTTCTTGGTATAAAATATGTAAATATATGATAGTTGCAGTAGTCTATACAAAATCATTCTAATAACCAGATACACAAGTTAGAAAATCTTCTAAAAAATTTTTTTAAAGTGCAAATCAAAGACTTTAATGTGATACCAAATGATTTTCATTCTATTTAATACTTGCATTTAAGCAATAAAAAGAAAACCATCTGCAAACATCACTTGTAATTAAACTGAGATCATTTACCAAAATATACATGTATTACTTAAACTGGCAAGAGAAAAAGCACTCTTTTTTTGGAGGGGGTGGGGGATCATTTATCCTCACCTGAGGATATTTTTTCCACTGATTTTTTAAGAGAGAGTGGAAGAGAGGAGGGGAAGGAGGGAGAGAGTGAGAAAAATATGTGAAAGAGGCACATTGATTGGTCACCTTCCCGCATATGCCCTGTCTGGGGCCCCAGACTAGGGAATTGAACCTTCAGTGCCCAGGCAGACACTCTAACCATTGAGTTACAATGTCCAGGGCAAAAAAAGTAATCTTTTAGCCCTGATCGGTTTGGCTCAGTGGATAGAGCGTCGGCCTGGGGACTGAAGGGTCCCGGGTTCCATTCCGGTCAAAGGCATGTCCCTTGGTTGCGGGCTCATCCCCAGTGGGGGGTGTGCAGGGGGCAGTTTCTCTCTCACCAATGTTTCTGACTCTCTGTCCCTCTCCCTCTCTGTAAAAAATCAATAAAATATATATTTTTTAAAAAGTAATCTTTTATTCTACATACAACTAAATATTTGAGTTAATTAAAACACCTAGTAACGGTCATTTATATTTCTTACCAAATAAATTAATCTAAATACTTTTCCTATATATCAAATCAGTAATTTAGGCAACTCTCCCAAGCAATTAAATGTTAATGCCATTAAATATAAAGGTTAAACCAATTTTTTAAAAATTATCTAATTACCCGTTGCTAAATGTTTAGCAATTTCACAGAAAAAAAAAAAATCTCTGAATAGATCCTGTTATTTCAAGCTTCAGAGGATGTATTTGGTATGCAGAAGATGAAATGTGACCTAGATCCAACACGGAAATTAACACCAAAGAGTTGCCTTGATAGTAACACATTTTCTATATTACTATCAGATTACCAATGGTACTTCTAACATGGCCAAATCTCTGTGGGTTTTATTCCAAAACTCATTATACAAGAACCATTCAATTAATTCAGCATGGTCCATCTCAAAACCACCACCACATAAGGAAACGAAAAAAGCCCTAAATTGGTTTTAATCTCATATTTCAACATGATAAAAGTTTAAAATGTGAAATTTTATTCACTAATCCTGTTTTTCAAATTTTGATTTTTATCTAAGGCTAAGGCTGAGATAGAGAAAGCTCACCTTTGATTATAGAGAAATCTGAGACAACTTGTCACACTAGCTGATGAATTTCCATGAATAAACTAATATTAACTTTAAGTTATTATGGTGGTAACTAATTGAGAATGGCACACATATACAAAGTTGTTAAAGGTTATTATACTAAGTTAGCCATCGCTGCTTCATGAAAATGATATCAAGGTTGCCTTGCCTTGAATTAAAAATGTTATTTAAAAGTCAATGTCTCTGCAATATAAATTATATCAAATCAATATGTTGTACATCTTAAACTTACACAATGTTATATTGTCAATTATATCTGTTATTTAAAAAATCAATGTCTAAAGAATGAACCATCTTTTCTTTTTTTGGTAGAGTGTGTTAGTGGTCCAACAGAGAATGTATTCAGGCCAACTATACTTAAATAAAGTAAAATAAAACAGCCTGAAACATTATATGTTATTTATATTAGGTTACAAAGTCAGTAGGTGACAACCAAGATTCAAACTCTTGCTTGTCTGACTCCAAAACTCCAACTCTTCCAATACACTCCGCTCTGTTCTCTTTCTGCTTCTCTCTCACCTCCTCTCTGCCGCTCTCCCACTGGATGATCAACTACAATGACCTCACCACCATCAATGGACTGGAGGTGGCTGGGAGGAACCTCCGATAAAGGCGCATTACTTCAACGAATATTTTACGGAGTGCCCGCCACATAATTCTGCATGATCATAATGATAGCCTTATGTTATACAAAAATACAAAAACTTTCATGGCCTTAAAGGCTTTTTTGCCTCTATCTGAGTAAGGAAAAGTACAGTCCCTGAAGTGGTTGCTCTGATAAATGAGATTATCTGTTTACTTCAGTTCTCTGTATAATCCCGAAGTAATTCCTCACTCTTATCACCAAGACAATCAACTGTTTCTGGATTTAAAATTCCTGCCTGTAGCTCTTTGACATCATAGAAACTTTCAATTAGGAGTTTGCCCTCGCGACATTCCCTGTGATAGCACAGCTGATCAAAGATGAAAAAAATGTGAAAAAGGAAGGCTGACTCACTGGAAATACATAAAAGCAACCCTGTCATTTAATGACATTGGAGAAGAGAGCTACAGGAATCAACTCACCCCTTTCCTTTTTTAAAAAATATTACTACAATAATAAATTTAACCAAGAATAATTAAAAAGAAGCATTCCTTCCTTTGATGGGTTTTGTGGAGGAAGTCTAAGTTTTGAATGCAGTTAAAAGGGAGGAAAAAAATTAACATTTCAAAAGACTCAGGTAACTCAGTTTAAGACTCAAGCCTGTTCCTTATAAGAAATAAAAAAAAGATTTTATATCTCTTAACATTTAGTATCTTCTAGATTCAGTTCTACCACTTTCTAACTAGAAAATTTTAAGCATGTCACTTTACCTCTTCAAAAATCAATTTCTGTACCATTTTCTAGATAAAGCAAGTTTACCTTGGTATTTACAGATTAA